ACTGATATGTAGTAGTTTCTTTCCCTTTCATTCACTGACTCTTGTCTTGCAGATATCACACTGTCTATAACACTTCCCTGAGTTACAGTGGGACAGAGCAAATTTCAGTCTGCCTGTTCGTCTCTTTGAGCACTACTCGAATCTTGATCATGTGCATTTTTTATAGTATCACTTTTTCACTTTTGTATTTGCAGCCAAGGATAAAAGGACAGGATGTGGCATTAGGGATTTATTGAGGCGTGACACTCTTAGTTTGTCAATCGATTGACCTTGTCTGAATTAAAGGTGGGGTAGGCAGGAATCTGTTAAAGTAGCATCTTTTTTTGTGGTTTATATACAAAAAAGCTTTTAATATCAGTCAATAGCTGTTAGTTATTGATGACATTTGGTAATATAACGTTATCACTGTGTTTTGTTATGTCTGTGTAGTCAACATTTTAAATTTTCTGAGCAGCCCGCTCTTTCTGACTATAAACAGAGTCATTCTCCGCCTCCCCAAACCTGATTGGTAGTGAGGCAGACGCTGCTCCCCCGTGTCGTGAGGCATGCTCCACGTCCTCCAATAACGTTCACGAACCCAAACAAAGTTAGCGTGCTACAATATCGGACAGTAGAAACCAACCAGAAAGTACAGAAAATTGTCTGAATCCAAAGTAAATACTAGAGACTCTGGTGGAATAACGGGCGCTTAAAACGGAGGTAGACCAGACAAGAGCTAAAAAGCCGGGTCAACATAAACGATGGCTGATGCTTCAGGATCTCACGGACCCTGTAACCTTTCTGCTGGACAGGTAAACCGCTTTAACAAAGTAAGCCAAGTGTCTGTAACAGAAGTATTTCTTGTCAAACGGACCTGCTGTAGCATGTTGTAGTGCCGCTAAACTGTTGACCTCGGGTCCTGGACTATGTCACTTTATCCTTGTTGTAGAAGTCCTGCAAACATTGTGTTTGCTGGTAGTCTGTTGGCATCTACAGTAGCACCAATGCTTTTGACTTTCACGTTGACTGGGCCCCATTTGTAATAATCTGAAGTATTTATCTGCATTAAATCTAAATTTAGTTGGAACGATACGAGCGAGCAGGAGCGTCTGTTTGTGGGCGGGGCTTGCTGGAGCAGAGAAGGAGGAGCTGAGTTGGGAGGGGTAGAGTTTACATTCAAGATTTCTCCCAAAAACTGGCACTTCCTCAGATCCTGCCTACCCCACCTTTAACATTTTTATAAAATTCACTTTTCTGTTCTCTAACCCTTCTCACAAATACATTCATATCTCCAAGTTACAGAAAAAGGGAACAAACCTATTCCACTCTAGTCAAAAAGTACAAGTGAGAGAACAATATAATGCCCCTGTGCTGCACTTTGTACACTGTACAAATGTATCACAGCTCGTGAGGCTAAGTGTGGGCGACAGCGCCCTAAAGCAGTCTCTCTCTCTCTCTCTCTCTCTCTTTACTTTTTTTTTTCCTCTTCCAGTCAGTGATGTGCAGCCTCACTTATTCAGGTCATGTAAGAGGGAGACAGGCCACCAGCTGCAGAGTCTGCTAGTCTGTTTTCCAACATTTTCCTCACTGAATGAAACTTCCTGCCCTTATTTTTTTTTATGCTTCTGCTAAGGTGTTATGTTGTGACTCAGATAAGCTGCCACTCTGTGAAAAGCAAGAACCGGGTCATAAGAAATTCCACATGTCAGCTCAGGCTGTTGGAGGCAGCGGAGCGGCAGTAAGTGAGCGGTGCAGGGAGTTATAATTGGACTGAATGGACTACAGAGGGGGCTGCTGGTGGTAACGTGTCTTCAGCCGTGTGTTGTTTTGCAAAGTGTGGATGGAGTTGTGAATGAACTTGTGAACTCAGCGGAGAGCAGCTGGTGAAATGAGAGGATGAACGCATTCTTGTGCAGAGGCGGCTGGACTTGTAACAGGCGATTCGCTGGTTACGCACAACTGGACGCCTTTGTTTAAACGCAGACGCTGGAAAGACAGAAAAAATATGGATCATTAGGAGCTCTTTGTGAATGTGCATCTATGCCTGAGCACGGACTCTGGAGCCCGCGTTCAGAGAGTGTTGTTGATATTTATTATGATATTTGTTATGACAGAAAATGCTGCTTTTGCATAATCGAGCTGTCCTCCATTCATGTATATTTAAATCTTAGACATTATATCACATCACTTAATATTCTACAGGGACTGCATTACCATGAAATCTGCATTAATAATTCAGAATTTTAGAGTGGTGCTTGATTCATTCCAGTCATGGTACTATTGGTTCATCTGTACTCTGCAGGATGAGTTAATGAAGGATGAAGTACGGAGGAAAGTGCAAAATGAGCGATATAATTAGAGCCAGTATTTACAGAATTGGAACTTTAAGTTTTTCATTTTAAGTCTTTTTAATAGTTTCTTTAACTAGGGTGACCATACGTTCTCTTTTACCCAGACATGTCCGCTTTTTGGGGTTGTCCGGGCTGTCCAGCCTTGTTCGGCTTTGTCCAAGTTTATAAAATCCTTCAAATGTCTGCGGTTTTGTATGTAAGTTTTGATTTTGTGTTACGTGGATTTACTGAGTTAGAGGTGCGTAAAAGACACTCGATCTGACCCGAAAAACTCCCAAAATTAACTGCGTGTGACTCCATGACTCCGCCCTCAAGTAGTCGTGTCCTCTTTTTGGGAAGTCAGAATATGCACCTATTTAAGTCAATTATGTCACATAAATCTTGCCAATATCTTAAAAAGGGAGTCATATGGATGTAATTCACCAATATGGCGGCTTTTATTTCCTTATATAACAAAATATCGTCCTAATTTTTAATGTTTTTAAGGATGTCATTGGTTCACCTCAAGAAATATACAGAAGTCCATGTAAAAAAGTCGAGTCAGAGTGAGCATGGGGCGCGATTATTCCAAGATAATTTGATGACTAACTTAAATCCACTGATCCCTGGCTAATAAAGTAGCACTTTGACTCTTCAGTTTGGTTACTTTTACGGTTTTTTGTGAGTCTTGTAAGCAGGAAACTGTTGCCTCTCATGAGCGTAAGACAATGACAGGTTACAACGAGCCAACTCGAGGACCTCCCTGAGACCCAGGTCTACCAGACTGTCAAAAACTGAATTGTTGACAGAAGCTTTTCCACCTCTGTTACAGCAGGTGGAGTCATGCCCCAGGTTTAGGCAAACAAGGTGTCATTTTTTTTTTACGTTCTTTCTTCGTCAGATGAGGTTTTATTTACTACCTGGTTTCCTAGCAACACATCCATGCTGTTCAACCACCTGCTCAGAGTCTTGTGTGTGAACACAGGAGCATGTGCATAACACTCAGGCCGGTTTCAGCTCTATTGAGCCAATCTACATCCGCATTATCCACATTTGTTAGTCCGACCATTTCAATTAGACTAACATAATTACATTCACAAGTCCAGTTTTAGTCAGAATCGAAGTGCAGGTAAATATACTGAGTGTGCTGAAATGGAGCCAAGAGAGCATGTGGTTGGAGAAAATAACCCACATTTACACGGAATGCTGTTGAGATTCAATTCTGCATAATGACATATTCCCTATATTTATAATATGCAGGAGAAGAGGAGATTTTCAACAGGTTTCAATATGAATAAGTCAACACCTTTGTTTATGAATTCACAGTTAACAGAGTAAACTGCACCTCCCCATGTCATCACAGTTAACGTAAAATCAATAGTTAGACAGCTCTGATTTACATACAAATGGAGGTTCCAGTCTCAGCTCTCTCTCTCTCTGTGATATTTTCTCAGTAAATGTTTCTCACAGCGCTACTAAAAAGGGGATTAGGGGACAAAGACTTTCTAAGAAATCATGTTTGTTTCTCATAACAGAAACTGAGGTACTGAGATGAGTCCGCGCCAATAAAGCAGCTGTTTCTCGTTACAACGCCCTAACAAAGTTACCAAAATGTCACAGCAGATACACAAATGAGTTCCACTGAGTTCCGCTTAACTCTTTGGCAGACTCACTCTGACATTAAACAATTTTCTACATGTGACGGTGAGCATATGGTGAGTGTTTATAGTTTGAAGTACCCTTGAATAGAAGCACCTGCAGGCGGCATGACCCACATTTGAAAATGTAGTGAAATTATACATGCAGTTATTAATTTTCCTGCTAAAATATACAAGATTTAAATTTGAAAACATGGTATTTCATGCGTTAAGGGTCCTTGTACTTGGTGGCCAAGTAAGCCAGTAAGGAGTCGGGAGTCAAAAAAGGAAACGTTCTCTGTTTTGATCATAAAATTTGGAAAATAATTAGTATGTAAATTTCTGTGATGTGGTTTTAAAAAGAAATCGAAGATGAAAATACATGCGTGGAAATTTTGTGTTTTAAGTTTCATTCCCTTTTTTTGTTCTCTTCGGAAGTTGTGAATTTGAAGCGAGAGCGTTGCCCCCACTAAGATGGCTGCCACTAGACACGTCGCTAAGCAAGCTGCTAAAGCGCGCTGGCGTATCTAGTCTTCTATATCTGTGCTAACAAGTGCTAAAGTCTTGCACCAAGTCACTACTTCCGGGTCAAAACAAAAAAAAGTGAATGAAACTTGAAACACAACTGTGGCATTTGTTAGCACAGATATAGAAGACTAGATAAGCCAGTGCGCTGTAGCACCCCCCTCAGCGACATGGCTAGTGGCAGCCATCTTGGCGGGGGCAACTTTCTCACTATATTCTACCCAAAAAGAGGACAGGGCTACGCGGGAGCAGAGTCAGGGAGTCACACGAAGTAAATTTTGAGAGTTTTTTGTGTTGGATCGAGTGTCTTTTTGCCATTCTAACTCAGTAAGTCTATGTCACACAAAATCGACACTTCCGTACAAAACCGCAGACATTTGAAGGATTTCAAAAACTTCCCCAGACAAAGCTGGACAGCCCCCCAAAAAGAGGACATGTTCGGGTAAAAGAGGACATATGGTCCACCTACAAATACTGAGTTGTTTTTTCATTCGTCGATTTTTATGATCAAAACAAAAAACGGTTTGTTTTCCATTTTTCGTCTCCTGTTTCCTTCTGGTCGTCAGTAAGGAAGACGGCTTGTCTCCTAATTTTCCGTCGGCCGCTCACGACATGGACCATTTAGGAAGTCCTTGTCTGAGATAAACTTACCCTTAAATGAAAACCATACCAGTCTACATAATGACGTGAGCTTCTGGACTGAGCAGGACTCAAACAATTAAAACAAAGAAATACTAAAGAGTGGAGGGCTGGTGCTGTGCTAAACTGTATTAGTATTCAGATACACACACAAGATAGCAACATTGTCTATTTCAGTGAAATAATAAAAAAAGAGACATTGTATGTAAATATATCTATATATATATGTTTTTCCACATCCAGAGAATAAAACACAACCATTTACATTCAAACAGCAGTGTGGAGTCAATGTGTCAAGACTACCAAAGTTAAATACAGTACAGTATGAACAAAAACTACAGACATCGACCTCAATGCTTTTGTCATACTTTCCATACAACATGTCACAAAGCCTTTTGAGAATCACATTGAAAATATTACACACTTAAATACACAACTCAAATGGTACAAAGGAGCGAATACGCAGGCCAAGGTTCTCTGGCTTGTGCTGAAAGGAGCGAAGCGTCCTTCCAAGTTAAGATGCATCACTACATGTTGAATGATGTGCTTCATGAGGACATCATAATGCAGTATTTTACACCGGTCACTTAATGCAACTCACTAATGTGAAGCTATTAATGACTATGAACTATAAACTGTCCTGCAGGTGTGATGCAAAAAGTACAAAGTGTATGCATGAAGCTGCAGCCTCGGTTCAAACCGAATCCAACCCTGTGCCTTTAACTGAGACAGCGGCAGCCAAGAGATCCACCTCAAAGGTCAAATTATTACATTTACGTCATTTAATTCACTTTCCTGTTGTGCTTTGAGCTGTTTCGTAAGACGGATCCTCCACTTTGAGGAGAACAACAGCATTTCTTTCCTTTTTTTCGTTGAACGATGGGAATTTTTGACTTTGCATACAAAAACTTGTACCAAAAAAGATCCGAACTTGATGCTCAGAGCTCTTCAAAAGACAGCGGCGGTGGTGCAGGAACCTCGCAAAAGTTTCCTCAAGTAGAAGTAAATGCTGGTAGTGTGGCGAGAAGGGTAGAAATAGACCTTTTAGTGTTTGACCTTTGCAGGTTAGACATTTTAAAGAAGAAGATAAGATCATTTTGAGCTTATTTGATCGTATTTGAATGGAGAGGATAGCAAGTAAGTGGTTTTACCCCCAATCTGAAAGACAGCAAATGACCTCCTCTGTCTGTCTCTGTATTTTTGATAAAGTAAAAAAAGAGGGAAACAGTTTAAGTATGTGTTCACATTTGTAACTTGCCCTTTGGTGGTTGTGATGTGAGTCCTCAGCTTGTTTCCTGCAGCACAGACGGCCTAAACAGAAACAGGAGTTTTTCTTTCCTCACTTTATAAATCCAGGCTAAGCAGAAAGCCGAAAAAGGAAACGATGACAAGTCCAGTATCTTGTCACAAACCCACATCGGCAACCTGTACATATCAACCCCCCAACCGCCTCCTCCCTTTTTCCGACACAAAGATCAGACAGCTTCCTCACCGCCGCCCCACATGCTGTCACAGAAGATGGCTGCTCGAACTCCGGGATATTATGTACTCATAAATACTGTATATTAATCATGCACACACACACTCACAAGTTCAACTTGCTCTCCTCTCAGAAACTCTAAATTTATATATATATAAAAAAATATTTACAACAGCTGATAGTGACTTATGTTCCCAGCACTGTGGACTACAAACTTAAGAAAAAGTGAGTGAAGGTTTGTGATCAGTAAATGATTTCTGACGACTTTGTCTGAGCTAAATGCTTCACTATGATCGTTTTTTGCATTATGTTGTTTTTTTGCAGTTTTTGATGCATGATAATATCATCACATGTCGATGTGTTCAGACTGACAGCAGCATTACACTCGCTCTGTACAGAAGAAGAGGACGTAACCACTAAGAGGTGGACCACTAGCTCGTGGACTTTGTTTTTTTTCTGTCTCTTTGGGTGTCTCCATCTTGGTTTTTGGAGGCCAGAGTGACCATGTTTGGATTTGAAGCTTCGCTCTACTTCTATCCTGGATTGTCAGGTGCATTAGCAGCGTACTTAAAGCCCCTTAGAGGAGTTTCTGACTGGTTACGTTCACATTTGCAACATGGCAGTTTATATGTTGTAATTATTCATGCTTTCCTACACATTTTTAATTGCAAATATTAACAATGACGGACATGTTTAGTTGTTAAATTAAAGCAATACTGAGCATATCTAGCAGTTAGAGTCTACATCTGCTGCCTTGCTCAACCCTCCCATTGTCAAAGTGACGGTAGCCTTCATGGTCAAGAAGCTCCAACGATGCACGATCATCTATTTGTCAAGTCTTTACCATTAAAGACTTCTACTTCAGCTAAATTCAGCTTCTACTCCTGCTCTCTTTTTCGTCTTCCAAATGGTGGATATCATGCAGCCCCTAACTAAATACTGATACGAACAGAACTTGTTTGTTTATACCCATGTTATTTTATGCAAATTTAAACATAGTTATCAATATAAAATTCCATTCCACTTAGTCTGTTTGCTAAATGCTTTTGATTTCTGCTCAAGAAATCATCATGGCTGAGGGTTGAAGCTCACCAGGCCCCCTGCTGGCCAGTGGCGATAATGCAGGTTTAAGATACTTCATTATTGGCTTCACTTTTAGATGGAAGAGGCTACATCCACTTCTTATGCATGAGGAGTTATCTGTAGGACTCCCTCTTTTAAAACTTCTTCAACTTTATTTCATCTATTTGCTCTTCTGAGAAAAAAACTATAACTACTGACCACAATGATGTTCTACTTGCCTGCAGAAACTCACATGCTAAGTCTCGGTGGTCTTTAATGGGCCGTTTTCCAACTAACAATAACTGCAGATCGTGTCAAAGGCGCGTCGTTTAGAGGAAGCAGGTGTGTGTTTGTCACACTGGCTTTCCTGGATTGGGAGTCATTTCGAAGCGTGCTGTGGTCCGTCTGAACACCTGCTGATGCTTGTTTTACGGTTTCGTCCAACTACTGCGGTAAAAGTAAGGCTAAGGACAGGAGTGAGCGGGAATGTGACGTGACCTGAACCAAGTCTTTAATGTCTAACTGTTACATTCAAGTGTTATGAGAAGATACAGGAGTATTTAAGTGTTAAATGTGACTTCACTACAGCTTCTCTGTGGATGCTCATGTCAGTATAAGGATCACTTTAGGAGGCTCAAACATTAGCATGAGGAAATCTATAAATTAAAGTACAATAACATTATCCTAAAGCCGGTTTGATTCTGTCAACCATCAACTGTAACGTTAACACAACGCTGGCATGAAGTCCTATCATCCTTAATTGACTACTTTTGCAAAAACGTAGCATGTCCACTTTAATAAATACTGTACGGTATTTATTTAAACGTATATTTAATAAACAATATGTTTAGATAAGTTAAGTTACATGTGAAAGATATTATATAACTCTAGTCTTATATTATTCACCTATTAGATGACCTAATTCTGTGTGGAGGCAGGCAGGGATGTCCAAGTTTGGCACTAACCGTGTAAAAAAAACAAACTAATACAGTGTAACAAAAGGCTTTTGTGCACAAAAAGACGGTCGAGCAGTTGACATTCGTCCAGAAATAAAGTGTAGTTTTCCAAACGCATCCCAGTCCATGTGAAGCAGCTCAGTCGCAAATGATAGACGAAACAGAGCGCAGGAGAGCTCACTGTACGTATCTGTCTCAGCGTGACGGAGGGTTTCCTTCAGGTGGTTATAAAATCCGTTTTCCTGCCTAGAGGTCCAAACATGCTGCAGTTTTTTTAAAGGAGGGGTGGTCAGAGGCAGGGCTGCCGCAGTCAGGCGAAGGGGCTGTCTGACTTTAACATGGAGGTGTCCGTGTCGAAGCAGCTCTTCCCGTTCATGTGTTCTGAGTGTCCGTCGATGCTGTAGCAGCCCTGTACCTCCGTGATGGAGGACGCCGTGTAGGAGGCCGAGCGTAGGGCGTCTGAGTGGTTTCCTATGCTGCTGCCAAATTGGATGTTATACTGGTTCCAGTGTCTCCTCAGAACTGCTTGAACCTGAACAGAGAGAGGAAATGTCACAGACAGATCAATCGAGCGTGATCAAAATATTGCCTGTCTGCGTGTTTAAGACAAACTATTGACATACAACAGACGGGTATATTGACCCGGTGCTTCTGTACGGCTATTACACCCTTCACCCAGCAAAGATAATTAAGCTAACTATTCCCCTGCTTCCAGTCTCGACATAACACCAGCGCTACTCTGACTCTGTAATTAGTGCACAGACATGAAGCTGTGATTATCTACTTAACGTATAAAGAACAGCAATCAGTGATAAATCTGTGTGTGAAATTATTGACAATGAGGCAAAATTCAAGTTGATTCAGATCTGATTAGTGGAGGATAAACAGGTTTGACAGCCGAGTTAATTTATGTGCAAATCATCAGAATCTATTTTTATGAACATTTATCCAAAATATTTTGATAATACATGCCCCCTAGCATTTTTTGGTCTAAAAGAGGTCTAAAGGCTAAAACATACAGGATGTGTACTTGGAGTGTGGCCACAGCGAGTCTATTTTTGCTGCTCTACGCTTTCAATGTGCGTCAATCCACGCAGAGAAGATCGATCCAGACAGGAAGTCAAACACGAAACCCGCGCATGTCATCCAGTATTTCAAAATAAAACATCATATGTGAACTCCCGATGGTCAATCCCTGATCCATGAGGACCCCAATATGACTTTGAAGGTAACAGCACAGTGTAAAGGAACATTGTTTACTTTGTTTAACACGAGTAAACCTGCAAAAACCCAAACTTGCTTTTTCACATACAGTAGAGACTCAACAGCCACTGAATTATATCCAAACTATCAGGAAATCGACCACAGAAAGGGAAAAACAACCTGTTGTGAGCATGTTGTTTCCTCTATACTGAGCCCACCTGACCGGGGCTGCACTACGCTGCTGCTACGCTCCAAATACGCATCCTTTGTGCAATAGACAGCGCTGCTATACGGAGCAAACACGGAATGCGCTCAATACCAGATCCTGTATGTTTTCAGCTTAATAGACCTCTAAATGTAGCCCAGGTGACTGGTCTAAAATCAGGCTACCACAGGTCTAAAAATGCTTCCAGTCTCCAGTCCAAATTTAGACCAAATCTAAATCTGGGCACTGTATTTTGCTAAATGGCTGTCATAATTATTTTGGTTAAGTTCTTGGAGATCAGTTATGTAACTCACAGTTGCTTTTTTAAATAAAAAGTTATCGAATTATGGGTTAAAGTGCAACATCTAAATTCCGTCTAAAAATAAACAGAATCTAGGAGGTTGAAGTTAGGTTAAAAAAAAATAAAAAACAGACTTCTAATCGCCGTCTATTGCTCAACTTTTGTACCTGACACAGCTTCACTTCAAAAACACTGATCTATCCCTTTAAATATCTATAAAATTGGTAGAAATGTGCACCCAATTTAAAACTGAAGTCGATAAATTCCATTCAAAGCTTCTGGACTCATCTGATCAATCATCTTCGTGATGAAACTCGTCCTTGAGAGGGTGAGGACGAGGAAATCCCTGACCACAAAGGGGAAGTGTGGACGTGTGATTTTGCATAAACCTAAAGACTTAAAAAGGTGAAAGTGAAAGGACATGACAGCGACTTACTTCTCCGTTAAAAAAGCAGAAGATCGTGGCCACCAGGAGACCCTGAAATTAAAAAAAAAGACAGCAAATGAGAAAACTGTTGCCACACGCGTTCAGTATCTGCTCGTAACAATCACCTCTAAGTTATTTTAGGGGACCAAGAAGCAGAATAACAACGCATTAAAGTGAATGTAATTTTAGGAGCTGATTGGGCCTGTTGCACAATAAGTACTCCCAGAGCAGCCCGCTGCTTGGACAGCACAGGATGATCAGATAACACCTCGCCAACTGATTTCAGCCCCCTTTCAGCTCAGATAATTCATGCCTTCCTTCCTGCTGTTCTTTCCCGCTTTACAACACAAACAAGGTCTGCGGCCAATGGGAATTCTCAGCTTCTACTGAGAGCTGAGAAAATATTTGGGTTTCTGCAACAGTTCCTTATTGGAAAACAAACGTCTTTGTCGTTGCAAAAGAGGGTCACTGACATGCAATCGAGTTTCACAATACGTGAAATACACATAACAAGGGCAAGAGGACTACGCATTTATAGCACAGAGGATCACTGCAGCGCATGTAACACACTGTAAACTTTGAATACCAATCTAAAAATACACTCTGGGCATGCATGTAAAGGCATAACACAATGCACAGCTGTTTATGTGTTTGTCTTTAACCAGAAATGTGCTAAGACGCTGGAAAAAGTCCCTCAGCCACACTGCTAAATAAATCCCAAAGACCTTTCTCTGAAGGATTTATCGTGCTGCTTTGATTCAGCGGTGGTCTCACCTGGTAATGCATGAGTATGTGCATGATGTAGTCGTAGATCTCAGAGGAGATCCGTCCCTCGGGCTTGTAGGGGAGCAGGACGTACTGGATTCCAAGCAGGGGCACCAGGATGAGGGTGGCTCTCACCGCCTTCATGTAGAGACTGGACTCTGCTTGGTGGGTCACCTTCAGTTTGGTGATGAGCACTCGAACGATGTTTAGTAGGAAGAACAGGTTGACCTGAGGAGAGAGCAGAGAGTGACGCAGGATAAATCAGCACACATCAACAGGATTTGAACAGAAAATTTACAGATACCGAAATTTAATTTGATAACCGACGTCGGTGGTGTGGAGATATTTTGTTTTTTTGAGGTCGAATATGAAGCAGAGTAATATGCACTGTAAATTATGTTGAGTACATGTTCTCGTAAAGTCAATACCTCAAATCACGCGCAAATCAAAAGGTTACAAACCCCGAATGGAGCAAGTAGCCCATGGCGCCTGTGCATCCAAAACAGTCAGCCATTTAGTCTGCTCTGTCCAGCACAACGCCTTACGACAAAACGTCAGAAACACAAAGACCACACAGACGCAGTAGCTTATTGTATTGTTAAAGACGTGCTACTAATAAGCACTGTTAAATTTCATTTTTTATGTCCTGATATAAATCGATATCGACTGAAATTAAAAAAATATATATTGTGATAAACTTTTTCCCATATCGCCCTGCCCTAATTCGGTGTCAAAAAATAAGTAAATAAAAGTTAGTTTTGGATGTGTGTAGGTAGGCTATGGTCTCATGTCCCTTTAAGACGCTGTCCTACGTCAGAGACGTGACTCCACCCCATCCAGTCCGTAACAAAGAGGTAAAGACAGGTGAGGAGATGGAGGACGGTTCAAAAGTTGTAGCGGCTAAAGTAGACAAAATTCATGTGTGAGGAGGCGAGCAGCTTGTGGAGTAGTTATCGTCCATTTATCATTATCAAGGTGAACTGATCAATATATTGTGATATTGGTTTGAGGCCATATCGCCCGGCCCTATCAACAGGTCAGATAGAATAAACCCTCTATCCTGTATGCCCCAGTTTTACTTTTGTTTACACTCTATATTTCTTTTGTGTGTCAGATATAAACTCAAAAATACGAGTAAATAAACACTAAACTTTCACTGCAAGATTATTACATTATGACTTAACAACCTGAGGTAATAACTTGTACCCACAAGACGCTGATAATTATCTTGTAAAACTACGTGTTTACCTTGTCTGAGCGTGTTTTTTAATCTTGTTCCATCAATATAAAAACAGAAAATTACACTTGTGGGACCTCAGGTGCTCTGTTTTAAAAGTTCTTGGACTAAAAAACAGAAAGGCTGTTTGATTTTTTTAACATCAAGTCCACCCGGAGTTGAAAAAGAACCGTTTTTCTCTGAAGTACGTGCGCCAGTGCTGATAAGCCGGATTTCTAGAATACAACAGAGACCAGGGGACCAGTGGTTGGATCCTCAGAGGGGGCGGCTGTATTGATTTCACAAGATAAACATAATTAAGCACGCTATCAAACAGTGTCTTGCTTCCAGGCCCCCCACGGTGTCCTCCGAGGAGCACACAAACAAAGGCCTTCTTTTATAATGCTCGTCGCCCAGTAAAAACAGTCCGCTCAGTGGGTTTCTTTCAGTGAAAACACAGTGTTAGGATTTACTTTGCACTGGTGGATTGGTGTCAGAAAATGATGAAAAGTTCTTACCAAAAGTGCGGCACAGATGGGACCGTGGATGATGTAGAGTAATGATGTTTTGGAGCTGATCCAACAGCTACAGCAGGAGAGAGAGAGAGAGAGAGAGAGAGAGAGAGAGAGAGAGAGAGAGAGAGAGACATTTAAATCAGCAGTATGAATAAATCATATGCTGCAGATTAGAGCGGGATAACAAACAGCTGATAATCATTATCTCATGTATGGAAACGTATAACTGTGATCAAGCTATAATCAGCTTTAAATCACATTTTAAGTACATTCTCATGGCGGGATCTACATCCTCCTTCACTGGGATTTAGTTTGCATAAATCATCTCTATCCTTTTAAAATATTGAACTCGTGGGGTCCCTCAAGGCTCCGTTTTGGGCCATGTTATGTTTTCTTTCTAGGCGCTTCCTCTGGTGTCTATTTTGCAGGGACTTTGAATCATAAATGGAGCTGAACTTCTTGAGTTTAAATGAATAAAAAACTAAAACACTGTGTTTGAAAAAATAAACTGGATGGTACAAATAATGTTTTTGCCTTCTTTTAAGGGATCTGGGTAAATCTAATTAACAAAAAAGATAAGATGTTTAGACAGACTTCTTTCACTTGAGCCCTTTAGTAAAAGGTAAAGGCCTAACTTTCTTCAAATGACTGAAAAAAGGTCCCAAGATCCAGGCTAAAAACATCAGGTGACAAATCTTTTGTGGGCGGTGCTTGCAAACTGTAAAACAGTCTTACTGTAAAGGAAAGTAAGTTTAGGTTTAAGTTAAGAGAAGTTGAGTTGAGCTGAGTCAAGTCATATAATTGTATTAATCCTCAAAGGAATAAGTTTGATTAACTTAACTTTAGGTTTAAGTTAAGCTTAAGATAGGTTTAAATTAAGGGAAGTTGAATTGAGTCAAGTCACGTTGTTAATCCTCGAAGGAATAATTTTTCAGTCAGATAAAGGTTTGATAAACTTAACTTTAAGTCAAAGTTAAGTTTACGATAGGTTTAAGTTTAAGTTTAGTGAAGTTGAGTTTAGCTGAGTCAAGTCACGTCACTATATCAATCCTCTGAGGGATAGTTAATCAGTCACATAAAAGTTTAATAATCTTGATTTTAAGTTTAAGTTAAGTTTAAGATAGGTTTAAGTTAAGTTTAGGTTAAGTGAAGCTGAGCTGAGTCGAGTTATGTAACTTTATTTATCCTCTACGGAATAATTCATCAGTCACATAAAAGTTTGATAAACTTAACTTAAAGTTTAGGATAGGTTAAAGTTAAGTTTAAGTTAAGTTAAGTCATGTCATGTCACTATTAACCCTCAAATAAATAATTTATCACTCACATAAAAGTTTAATAAACTTAATTTTAAGTTTGAGTTAAGTTTTAGATGGGTTTAGGTTAAGTTTAGGTTCAGTGAAGCTGAGCTGAGTCATGTCACTTTATTAATCCTCTAAGGAATAATTCATCTGTCACATAAAAGTTTGATAAACTTAACTCGACCTAAACCTTAACCTTAATCCTTAGATTTCATGCTAAGTGCGATGGGCGACACTTACTTATCATTGTAGTAGTAACTTCGAGCGATTGCATGTATAGAAGCTGGAATGAGAGGAAAACCTAAACAGGAGAAAAACTGAACAGTTACACATCCTCCCTGCTAAGGTGTCAGAAACTTTAAAATCAGTCCACCGGTGCACAGAACAGCAGACACAGTGATTGGCGTTGACCCACGGTCGCGACTTACCCCAGCCTAAGAGATAGTACCACATGAGGTGCTGCTTCTCTGCGAACACGGCCACCACGATGAGGGTGTGCAGGTATATCCCTTCACACAGCATCCAGAAGTAATTACAGCCAAACAAGTACAGATGGATGAACTGGGACACTTTACAGCTGGTCTAAGAGGGGGAAAAAACAAACAAAGACGGTTATCCAGCCCGATCCCTTCAGTGCAATTCAATGTTGAGCTCCTACCCTGATTTATATCTAAATACAGCAGCTTAGATTAAAGTAATATGACAGTATCTACAATAACTCACTGGGTTCCTCTGCACCAGCTCCTGATTGTTCGCCACGGCTGTCAGCCAAATGATGGTGATCACAGAGTTGAGAACGAAAGAAAAGAAGAGGTTTTTGTGAAGAGTGATCCTCTGGCAGCTCAAACTCCTGCAGGAGCAGAAAGATAAAATGACATTTAAGTGCCGTTAACCTTCACGAATATGAACCGTGAGTTATGATAGGACGAGGTTTGTCAACTCACTTAAAATGGAAGAATATAGCGAGGGAGATCAAGAGGGATGTCAGCGAGAGTCCGTGTCCTATGAGGGCTAAGTAGAAAAGGTTCATCGCTGTCTGGAAGAGAGACAAAAGACATAAATCAGATCCCCTGAATCTCCTCTTGAGGTTTTATGTCGGAGAATAATAGATATGTGGTCCAGAGGAGAGCTTATAATGAATAGTGCTGGAAACTGACGCAGATGAAACCATTTCACTTCATCAAACTAAAAGACTTTTGCATTTAAGGATTTGTGATGGCATTAATTTGAATAATTATCTCTGTAGCTTCATTAAAATGTCTTCACTTAGCTGCTGAAACTCACACGGCGTTGAGCATTTCCATTAAAAGTGAAGTGAGAAAAAACAGTGCAGCACCTCAGGCTGATTTTTTTAGTCTGGTAACTCTAAAGGATGTTTTCTTTTGCTTGATCTATAATCCTTGATTTTCTCTTTATTTATCACCATTATACCTCATAATTTGTCCTGCATAACTTGTTTTTCACTAGTTCACTTAATCCATAATTCTAACTTAAATGACTACTTTGGATTTCGATTTTTCTTCTTCGACTCTTCCACTTTCGCTTAGTTCATTCTGCTCATTCTCTCTACAGCCATCAGAGAATAACAGAAACTAAGTGCAGAAACTATTATTTTCCTCCTCTCAGTAACTGCACGCGTCTCTTAAAGGTCAGCGCCAACAATAACTCTTGTTTTACATTCTGCGTGCATTTAAAGCCGTGACCTACCACTCTGCCTTCATTAGTGTGCTCGTTGCAGCGGGTGTAGTTGGTCCAAGTCCGGTTGCTCTCTGGATGCAGAAACCAGTGACCACTGTCGGTGCAAATCTTTGTCACCATCTCTGCGCAGAGAAGATGTTTTACTAAATTGTAACAAATGTTCCTCGTATTTTTATACTCTGCAGCAAAGCGGCATAAAAAGACATTTTCTCACGACACCCCGCAGCCCAACAGAGTTCTGAAACTCCATGAGACTAACACATAAAACCACATGACACCAGAGTGTGCGGTGATAAGAAGGACTGAGTCTAATTAGGAAATTATGCTTGCTTTTTAAGCATTTGGTGTATTCCTCTCTGAGCCTTCTAGGAACAGTGACAGGGCTAAAAGCTTTTCCCATGTCAGCATTCGACACATTCAGTAGTCTCTTTGACGTGCTGCACAAATGTTGCTTCTAAATTTGTCCATAAAGCTTCATAATAGGGCTGGGTGATGAGGGAAAAAGTTTATTGCAATATATTTTTTTCATATCAGTCGATATCGATATAAATCACCGTATCAAAAATTCTCTTGTCACCAAAATATCTCCACGACACCGACGTTTTCTGCCAGTGTTGTGTTGATGTCGTCATCTGTTGAGCCTTCATCTGCATTTCTGTCGGCAGTAGCACTCATTTTCTCTCTTTCTCACCGACAGTGCTGTCAGCTTTACGTGTTAAAGCGCTTTGGTTGCGTGAAGCTGCAGCCTGCTACTACACAGTTGTTGGCTACTTGGTTAAAGTTCGGCACATGATTGGTTTATCTCTGCACGACTTGAAGCAACTCCCCTTTTCACTGGCTATTCATATAGTTCGCCAAAACATGGCAGAATGTCGGCTATCGAAAAGCATATTGATCATGTTTCATATCGATATCGAGGGAAATTAATTTTTGATATCATGATCGTTTTATCGCTCACCCCTATGTATAACCTTTAACCAAAGACAGCACTGCAAAACTGAAGAGGTACAAAATAAATTCAGGAATTAGTATTTGACTTATGGAAGAGCTAGAGCTATCTTAGGCACTTTTCAGCTTTATCTAAGCTGCATCTAATGCTTCAATGTGGACAATGTTTCCCAGTATTGAGTAGTGCTGGACGATAATTCGATAACAATATATATCGATCGATAGACGTGTGGTGCGATAGAAAAAAAACGGGTCGATAAAAAATTCGATAGAAAAACACAGTTTCCCTTTCTTTTTCATCATAGCCTATCATGTAGCTTTTACTACAGTCATTACTTCCTCCCAACCAATCACAAACGCAGACCCAGGTACGCTACGGCACCAAGCCCAGCCCCTCTCAAACCACAACAGACAGCACGTGTATTAGAAAAAATGATACAGCAAGGAGAAGCGGAGGACATTGTCCCGAAAAAAAGGTTTCAGTTGTTCACTAGCATGGCAGTGTTTTGGTTTTTAGAAGTCTGACAAAAAGCGAACAGCGGTCGTTTGCAAAATTTGCAGAGAATTAGTAAAAACCAAGTCTGGTAACACAACCGACTTGTTTTACCATCTAAACCGATCGCACCCGCAGGAGTACGAGCTGTGTCGGCCGCGCCGCGGCTCCACATCGTCGTCGGAGGAGGAATCCTCTGGAACCGCTGCCAGCACCAGCACAAAGCATGGGAAGCAGACCAAACTGGACTTCGTTTCTTGTCAAAATACGACAAAGCGTCCGAGCGGCATAAGGACATCACCCATGCAGTAACATGCTTCATAGCGAGGGACATACTGCCAATAACTACCGTTGAAGAGCCTGGCTTCGACCAGCTTCTAGCCACTCTCGACCCGCGATATGAAGTGCCCGGCCGCAAGTATTTCTCAAACACAGCGCTTCAGGCATGAAAATGGGTCAGGGGTTGAAAAGGTGAGAAGGGTGCGGAGGAAATACGTTCCGGTGTAGCTTCTTAAAGTGGAAGAAAATGAGCTCATATTTTACAAAGACGCGAGTATTTGGATCATGGCTACTAGCAGGGGGTGCATTCGGCAGGGGTGCATTCTAAGACACAACACCGGCTTGATTAAGTCCTGCTTCTCGTGCTTAGTTTGTGTATTAAGTTAATCACATGATAATTAAAAAAAATAAATCTCCCGACCCCGGGAGAAATATTTCAGTGTTCAGACACCAGGCTGTGGGCAGTTTCCCACACAGTTAAAACTGGTAGTATGCTATTCCCACCTAAAGCTATTCTGTTTATTTATATATTTGTTTGTTTTGTTTATTTTCATCAAAAGACTATTTAAATATTTATTTATCAGATTTTCTGGTCACTTATGTCTTTATGTTTGTCAGTATTTACTGACGTCACTCAGGCCACTTAAGTTGATTTCTTTTTTTTTTTTAGTTCTTTTTTAAAAAACTTTCAGTTGTGGTAAAATAAAAAAGGTGGTTGAATAAAGGTTTGAATTTGAATTCAGTGCTTGTGTGTTCTTTATTAAAAGTAGATCATTAAGCAATAGCATAAAACATCCAGGGTTGCAATTAAAATATATGTTAAATAATTATAATAATTATATCGATAATTATCGATATCGATCAATATGATTTATTTTTTATCAATATGCTTTTTTTCTATATCGTCCAGGCCTAGTATTGAGTCTTTCTAGCGCCGCGCTGAAGTGAACCCAAACATACTCACCTGAAGGATCAAAATCTTGGAAGTAGTCCGGACAGTGCTGCTCAGACGTTAAACCCGCCCTGGTGTCGTCCCAACACAGCCAGCCGTCCCATGTACGATTACACATGGGCTCTGAAAGCACACACGGAGAGTCTGTGAAAACGTTCAGATTTTCACCTTCGCTTCGTGTTAGAGTTCATTCTTAAAGAGTTACCTTCTCTCGTTATCATATCCTCTTTCATTATCTTTTGGTAGCACTCAAACTGCGCGGTCACGATCTTGTTCCTGGTGAGTCCCATGTCGTGGTAGACGTTGGTTGGATGCTGCTGCTGGGTTTCATTGACCTCCATGCTCGCCTTCACAAAGATCTGCAAATAAAAAGTTCTTGTTTAGAAATAGCTGGATGACGCTGTTTTTATTTACAGAGCTGGACTGGTTTCTTTCAAAATGAATCATGGAAATAATGACATCCATGCAGAATTACTTCCAGACCAACATTTCCAATTATTACATATTAATGACTCCCAGAAACCAGCTTTAAGCACTCCAATATCAACTCGAAATGACGTTGAGATTAATGAGTTTAATTACACTGATTGGTCAATATTTGTAAAACTAAACTCCACAGTTAAGAAACAAGAAAAACAACAGACTCTAATTTCATGATTTGTTGAGTTTCTCCTCCTAATACAGACAAATGTGATTCAGTAAATCTGTTCTACCTTAGTTAGATTACACAGCAGTATGAGCGCCATCATCCCGCTCCGCCCGATGCTCTCCATCTTCCTCTTGGCCATGTCAAAGCTGGTCGATCATCCACCAGCAGCGGATCTGCAGGAGAATAAACAATTAGCCCCGTCATTAAACTGCAATAAACCCTCCCATAAAGGCCGCTTTACAGCTCACCGTATCTCTGCTGCTGCTGATAAACGATTCGCTCATCTCTTTAATCTTGTGGTGAATTAAGCTGTAAACAGGCGATGTGATAAATGACTCCGCTCTGTTTTCAGAGCTCCTAACAGCGGTAAACTAAATTAAGTTGACCTTCAGTCCGGAGGGTTCTGGTTCCATCTCAGTCGTGACATTTAGAGAGTGGACTGTGTGTAATTAAACACAGTAGACGGCGCGATGAATGGCAGGTAGACGACCGTGAGGTCTGGTCACTTGGCAACACCTGAAGTGCTGCGTGGAAGCTTTATAACAGAAAGACAAAAAGACACCAGATCCTTTTCATTTAGTCCCTTTTAACTGTGACCTTTATTTAAACTGCGGCTCCGCATGGAAACATGAACCCACAACAAGATAAAACCTCCAAGACGTAAACTTTGGAAAGTTTAATGAGGGTGTAGAGGCAAACGCGTACACCCTAACTGGGCTATAATACACACACATAATGTTTCCTCATTGGATACCTACACAAAACCCCAGCAGAGTTTAACAACAATGAAATACAAGCGACATCCGACATCTCTGATCATTTCAAGACCTTTGCAAGAACTACAACCTGACGTCACAATCTGCCGACTTATTAGACTCTTTCAAACTTTCCCTCGTGGTTTTTCTGGGACTACTGCATACCACATACTTCCATGTGTCCTTTACATTCACAAATAAAAAGAAACATGGCGACTGTGGAGGAGTTAGTGATAATGTATATTTTGTATAGGAGACAGAAACAGAGGCAGTGTTGGAGGAGGCGGTAGTCGGTCAGGCCACTTAATGCCTCGCAGTTGGAGGACGGAGAATTCTTTTCTCTAGTCGTACCAATGAGAGAAATCTATGACAATACTCAAAAAGCCCCGCCATTGTCTTCTTCGTTTTTCTCTATAGATGCCTATCAGGCAGCGGTACTGCTCCGTCTGGCCTGTATCCATTAGCTTCAAGGATACGTGCAGAAATACAGAAGAAAAGAACACAAAGCACGGACGAAGAACTCCGTCTTTATCCAGATCCGTTTGTGACATTGAGCGTAAATGAGCCTTTAGCTGTTCTGTCTCAGGACTCTGAGATGTAGGTTTCATTATAACAGCAGCTAATGTAAACAATGATAGCTAACATATAATGAGGAGTTACCTGGGGAAAAGGTAGCTGGAAAATCAGCCAAAATGAAGCATTACAGGGAAAGACTCTTATTGTTGTATTGACTTATTTATTTAGGATATTAACTGCAGTAGAGATAAATGAGTTTTTGTGTGTCCTTTTTTTGGCAAAGGGGATTTTGTATCTGCGGCTTGATGGGAGGCATCGAAAGGACAAAAGAAGACAAACGTCTTGTAAACATGAGAAACTAAAGTTTAGGAAAACAGCAGCGATAAAACCTCAACTTGAACATGGCCGTTATTTTTATGTGCTGCACTTGTGGAAGATGGTGGGACATTGGCTTGTTGATGCCTGCTCCATACAGTTGGAATAACTGTATTAACTAGTTGTAAATTACCCTAAGTAATGACCACATGTTGTACCAAAGTGTGAGGTTAACTTGCCCAACTCCACAAAAATTGTTCATGGAATTTTGCATTCTTTATTACAGGTCAACATTAATACGCAAAATCAGTCCTTATAACTGATACATCCCACTCACCTCTTGAAAACTTTGTCTCCTTAAAACTAATCAAAAAGCTTTTTTTATCTTTTATTTTTTTACAAATAGTAAAAACTACTTGTTTAGGTTCAGGAAACATGCACTAAATCATAAAAACGTGAGAAATCTCAGGAAACTCTGTGAAAAGAAGTCTAGATCAGGGATGTGCTACAGTTTTGACACGACATGACTGGCACTTCAGGCCCACTACAGTAAAAATATAAATAACTCCTTTAATATACTCATAAATATCTCTCTTTACATGCAGAACATAGCTCTCCATTCCTGATGGTGCCTGCTGAGTCAGTTTGGAGTTAAATGTACCCACAGCGCTCGTACTTTGGCTTGGTTATTAAAGAACAACACAGCTGAAAAAATAAGCAGCTGGATCCATCCCAGCAGAACTCCAGAGATCTGAGAAAGTTCTGCTTCCCTGATGAAACATCTTAGACTTATAATCCTGTTCTCTCTACATTGTCGTCTGGTCTTTGCCGCATAAGTCTCTAATTTTTTTTTCAGCCGATTCATTACAGAGTTTCAGGTTGAGAAGCTGCAGGCTGCTGGGATTGCATGTCACTGCCGCCGCATAGAAATGAGACAAATGTAAATGGAAGCACATCCCTCAGGTCAAAAAAATCTGCTCTGCAAACAGCTCATGTGCGGTTAGTTCAAGCATGTCTGTAACAACAGCTCAACTATGAAGAGATCTGAAGCCGTTCAGACTTTGGATGCTCGGTGCTTTTCCCCCTCAAGCTAGCATGTTTTCCTTTTAGTGTGTGGCGTGTCTGGTTGCCTTTCCGACTCGTCTGAAACCCCGGAGTACGCTCTGTTTTTGTCCCTTATTCCACCATAAATCTATCACAGCGTGAGCCTTGCCATCGTGATAACAAGATACCCTCTACAAGGCTCTCGAGCATTGTGAGAATACATGACGTAAATCTGAAAGGCCAGGATGTAGCAGCAGCATCGCTTTCACTTTGAATTTATATAACAGGGTTTTATTTCCTCCGAGGATCAAAGAAGCGAAGAGACAGAACGAGAAACAGGAACCCTGGAACCTGAATGACATAAATGTAGGTACACGGTGTTCAGCGGCGGATTACACCTCATTAAGAAGCAACAGTTAATAATGTCTCTCAAACCCCAAAGGAACTGGGTCATCACTTGTATATGCTTCATCCCAGGTCTAATTAAACTCTGTGAAATGGAACAGCTTAACATACACTGCACAGGAGAGCGATGAAAGGCACTTAGAGGAGAGGGAGCAACCATGAGGAGCAGACGCTCCAGAGGGATGGAAGCAGGTTTTCTGCTCATTAGGACCCAATCAGACACAGAATAGGAAGAGTTTGTCATTCTGAGCATATATATGAACGCTAGATGGCCCACGCACGCTGTTAGCCGATGGAAACTGACGTCCGCGCATGGCAGCCATTTTGCTACAAGACGCTCGCCCATCCATAAGATTACAGTCTTCGGTGTATGTAGCATTAAAATGACCATAGATTGACTAATTTTAAACCGATTTTCAAACAGTTTGGTTTGTAACAAACCTCAGAGATTTAGTTATGTTCCTGCATACTCAAGAATAATTTTAACCATGGATTTAATAAATAAACATTAAGCAGATAGGTAAAGCAATAGCAATAGACTTACACACACAATGCAGTTATATTAAATCATTCCATGTATGTTATATTAGTAATATTTCTATTATAGGGATAACTATAATAACATATAGCAATAACATATATCAATATTTATTTTCAATATTTAAATGTCTGCCTCATGTTGCCATTTAAAATATTTTTATCATGTGCAACTTAAGTTATGTTGAATTGAAAGAGCATTTCTGCCTCTCTAACTGATGTAAAATTGCTGGATCAACTTTGTAATACGTACTTGGTCTCACTCACAACAAGTCTGTTAGCCAAGTTAGACAGCTGGCACAACCACAAAGACTGTGGATGAAAAAAAATAGGCTGTCATACAAGAAATTAAAATCTCGATTGTGGTCTCAGCCTTGACAACTCGCACGAAGCCACTCAAAGTTAGCCCTTGCGTGGAAATAGCCGTGAAACAACTGTGTCCAAGCATCCAGACTCATAGCCATGTTATTAAGGTCTGTAATAAACAAAATCATTTGTAAATCTGTCATGATTTCAGCGAGTTAAGAGTATTTTTGATCATGCAGATTACTCACCTACTGTTAGCTATCACAGCGCGTACTGGAATGGTATACTGGAGTAAGATGGCCGCTGTGTAGACTGTGCAAGTTAGACTCCACCTCGAGTCATTTAGCCTTTCTTGTGTATATCTATTATTCTGAGTAACAGGAGGATTTCAAATAAAATTATATAAAAAGAATCATTTAGTTTTTGCACCCTGCCTCAAGTGGACACTGGAGGAACTGCAGTTTTTTAAAACCCCTGCAAAGGCTTTATTTTTCAACTCCGGAGGTTGCTGCTTGAATTGACCCAGTGCGTTGTTACAAGTCTCCTCAGGTCTGCTCGCAGTTAAAGCTGCATCACACGAGGGGAAAGGAGGGGAGGAGAGAGGAGGGCAGGAGAGAGGGGGGGAGGAGGAGGCTTACTGAAAGTGGGATTGTAAAACATTATTCTGATGTGCAAATTGGAAACAGCTGGGAGAAGATCAGCTGCTCTGTCACATATGCTGGGTGCAAACACACATGCACACACACACACACACACATACACGGCGCCCTGTGTTGCGGGGTCCTGCAGCTGCTCTTGGCAGAGGCTGTTTTTCATACATTAGCACAGCACTGCACAGACTATATCTTGTCTTATAGCAGCACAGAACATACATCACAGAGAGCTGCTTTAACAGAGCTGTGATGTCCTCTTTACCTCCTTTCTTGACTTCTACATGTGGTCATGGAGAAACATTTGACTAATCCTAAAGGTAGTGGTGGGAGAACTCGGACAAATCCCATCGAAATGGAATGTATTTGTCATGGTGGGAACATCCAGTCTGACATTGTGCTCATTTCCGCTATAAATACCTTCTTTATGATGGAACAGCCAACCTCACCGACAGCGTGCAGCCCAGATATGCGCCGCGGCTCGTGAGTGATTATGGCGTGCACCAAGAGGCACTGAACCTTTGGGTAACAAATGTGCCTGAACACATCCGTTTTCGATTTTCTATTGAACAAAGTTTCCCGCAGCTTTTCCAAACTGAAAGACATAAAGATTATACTCTCAATCCCGACTTTTCTGTTTGTTGCATGTCAGCTACTTAATCACTATAAGCCTCAGACCATCAAACAGTAGGATGTATAACCCCGCTGAAAACAATGTGTCATGCACTTAAAAGCGGTGTTGTAACATTTTTGGCTGCGCGGTGAACTCGTTGCAAAATCTGATGTTTTGTCACGACATTTGACAAATAATTACTAATGCGTGTGCGAACAGCTGAATCCAGCAGCACTGTGGTCCTGGCTACTTTCTCGTTTATTATATGAACTCCCTGCTCAACTCTTCCCTCTGATTAAGCCTCTGTGGACATTTAAGAGGAAAAAAAAACGTGTTTTTGTAAGATTTGCTTACTCAGAGTAAATGTTACAACATCAAAAAAAGTAGATTGGACAAATCTGAGTGAGAGTTTGGGGATAATACCACCTTTTTAAGTCTGCATCTTAATAACTTTAAAGATTAGGATTAGGGCTGCAGCTATTGAATATTTTAGTAGTTGGGTATTCCACCAAATAGTTCGGCGATAACTCGAGTAGTTGGACCGAAACCACAGACTCACATACAATGAGATTTCATATGTCACAAATTCAAACTCCGCCCCCAGAGAAACAGAGAGGATGATCGCGGAACAAGTGGTGCGTTAGCGGATTGCAATGCTCGTAAGAAAGCTAACTATAATATTAGCTTTCATCGTGTCCCTAAAGACATTAGTGTCTGAGAGCTGAATAGACGGGTTTCTGTGCAACGTCATCGCAGGTATGCGTGCAGCCGGGGGGCAGAAAGCGGGACATTTCTTATTTGTTTACTAGCGGAGTCAACGGAGAAAGAAAATGACAAGGAGCTGTTGTGCGGTAAACTTCACAAATCGGCAAAACAAACAATCGGCAAACATTACAACCCTGCGCCTGATATTAGAAACATCTAAAACAACGTTACAACCTGGTTAATTAAGTGAAATTCATGGATATTTAAGCAAATGTTTTTCTGATTTTGATGCAATGAAAGACAAAGCAAATTATTGCAATTGTGTCAGGGAGAACTTGCAAACAATACGGCATTTTCATTGATATCAGTTCGCTCCCAAGCAGGCTTTTACCCCCATGTCTATAACTCCTATGTTTGCTTCTTCTAATACACCGGCAATGTTAGGCTGCAAGCTAGCGTGAAGAGGAGTGTTCAGAGCAGTGCTGTCTCCGCCCACGACTCAGAATTGTTAATGATCTACTGGAGCTCTGCAGAAGAAAAGACCTTCTCATCATTCATTTTTTCTGCTCCACAAAACCAAAATATCGTTTTCTGGTACTTGAATCGTTTCAGCCCTTATAGAGATTAGGTTTTCTAGCGTCCCTTTCTTCGCCCTGCAAATATTAGCTTGTTGGCGCCCATTTAAGCTCCACTTGCTCCTCCCCCTGCTCTCCTCTCTTCACCTGCAGCTGCATGGTTTATAATCAGAGCCAATAAAAAGCACAAAAACAAGGAAACAGTCGCAAACAAAAGGCTTTCCAACAACTTCAGCGCAGACTCAAAGGATGTGGGGTCGTGGGGTCTGGACAGATGGCAGCTCTGGTGGCCCCCCTTTAGTGAAGCGAATAAAAACACACAGGACAATAATGATAGTCCACAAATCCAAACCCTGAGTCCAAAACCCTTTTTCTAGATTCACTCCAGAGCTTATCAACCTCTACAAAAGGCACAACAACACTTGATTATTGGTTTGTTTGGGTCAACTTCACCCAACCACCAACCAGCACAAACTGTGGGTGGTCCACCATTATGTGTAGTGCCTCACAGAAGTGGTTAGTCATGTCCACTTGGCTCGAGAGCTGACATCACCCGTTACGTCGCTCAGACTGCAGGGATACCTGGAAAAACAGCCTGTGCATAACAGCTGCATGTGTCCCGGCCTGTGCCAGAGATCAGGCTGTGCTTATCGCTGCCCCTGAGAGATGGTGTGCTGGGCTTTTGCTGTAAACATCCTTCTACGCTTACAGGATGTTTGGCGCCCCGTAATTTTGGTCAGGGTTCTTGCTGAGTGGCATTCGGATGTCCATTAAGCTAGTGAGGGCAAATACCTCAACATTACTGCCCCACTCTACAACAGGAAACGGCTGAACTCGAAAGGGGAGTAACCAGGAGAGCTGATAAGACGGCGCTGAGTTCATATACCTGCAAAAATCGTCTAAATTAAGAGGAAATAATGAGTGTTTCTGCGGCGTCACTGCTCTTTTTGATGCAACAAAATACACGCCGTACTGCACTGCAGTGTTTACTTGATTCTCTTATCAGCCTTCGAAAGCCAGAGCAGAAAAATAATGATCCCTGGAGTATCCTGAGCACGTTACATAAACAAGAGATGAGAAAAAACTCAGCGTAGAAAAAAAAAACGGGCCTGTTGTGCTTTGTGGTTGAGATAACCTGCAGTCTTATATCATTCAGATAAACAGTGGGAGTCAGGAAACCGTAGGTTCAGGGTCATGTCTCCAGCACTGTTGGATTACTATAAACATAATATTAGAGCACCTAGAATTTTCCAGAAAAGGCCAAACTTTAAAAAGACAAACAATAAGATTGATTGACCCTCAACGTTTGCAAAGTTAGATCAATTTTTTATCGATTTGCCTTAAAACTCCAGCTTTGATTGTGCGATTGTGTGAAATAAAGTCCTCGGTCCAATCACGCTGATGTAAGTCATTGAATCATGTGACATAACAAGTTTGGAGAAAACTATATGAGAAAATATGTGATGAACGGGACAAAATGTGCTGATGCAAAAACACACACCACCCTTTTGGCAGCATCACAACACACTCCCTCTGAGGTATTTCAACACTCTCTGTATAGACAGACTCCAAATATGTGGATTTCTACGTGCTGAAATTAGCTGTCAACATAACGATGAAAACATGAAGACTGTCTCAGCGCCTCTGAGAAACACTGAATGTTATTAGTCGTGGCATCGAGGCGCTGATATCACCACAGTCGGTATCATGACGTGTTTACTGTGACGAGTGTGTGCATGCCATCAGGAAGGGTTATCTTAAAAAAACAGTTTAATGGGAAAGAAAGTGAAGAGTGCAGCTGTTTGACTAAACCACCTCCGACTAATGAGGACAAAAATATCCAGACTAGTCCAAGAGAGATGTTTGCAAGTACAACCCCGACTCTAAAAGCTTTGGACGACGTGTTAAATGTTTGCAGATCGTTTCGACTCTTTATCTAATTGATAACAGAGGAAAGGAAACAAACTGAAACTGTTTGAATTAGATGTCAAGAACAAACTCCAAAGCAGTCGGGACAGGATCATGTTGACCCGCGTGTTGAATCACCTCTCCTTCAATCGTTCGGTAACTGAGGAAACCAGATTTAAAAATACTGTCACATTATGACTTCATGTAGGAGTTCAGCTGCACAGAAGTTTGTGGGTTTTCTTCATTTTTATTTTGCTTTTTCTTTCATTTTGTGAAACATAAACTGATATTCTCAAAGGAGGACCAGTCTGCATTGTAGTTGGACCAGTTGTCTTGGTGCAATATGCAAGAACTGGATTGGAGCTCCTAAACCCGTATATGTTGTTCAGCATTGCCTGATGTGTTGGCTCCCCATGCTATGAGCACTTATGCATACCCATTAAGGATCGACCGATTATTAGTAATCAAGGAAACTGATAACCGATATTTAGAACCGATATTCATTTGCAGTAAAAATGTATATTTTAGCCTTATTTTGAAACACATGCTTTTATTTTGAAATGAACCGAAGAGCACCTCTAGCAGTGGTGTTACCTACTAGTTTGTTTCTTTTGTCCTCTCTCTCTCTCCCTCGCTGTGAAGCTGCACCTACAGTGTAGATTGGTTGTCTGTTTAGCCAATCAGAGAGGAGAGGACTGTAGGTGCGATATGTTACACAGCCAAGAGTGGTGACTTCGGGCAGAGAGAAGCGGCTGTGTAAGAGCCGAACAAGCACGTTTTAAAATAAACGTATATTGACGGCTATCAGTGGAAAAACGTCTGATATTATTATAAAAATGCTGAATATCGGCTGATATTATTGGCCGTGCCGATTATTGGTCGATTCTTCGTCCACATACAATTGAAGGTGTAAGATTATGAACGGTGTGTCGATAACAAAACTCTTCTCCTTCTAAATAGAGGACACAAAGTCCATGATTTCCAAAAACGATGTCAAAAACATGACCACAGGACGGTTTCACACTTTGCATCAGTCCATCTTATTTACTTCAGTCTTAACCTGCATCTGTGGATGAAGATATAAACTGTGTTCATACAGGTGACTTTAGAGACCATGCAGTAATTTTCACTACAGAGACATGTCTATATTTATCCAGATTCCCTAAAATTTTTGACAATATTTAGTCCTGTAGTCGATGAAACTCCTAATTTCATGCTGAAGAAGATAATTCTGGGACTGTTTTCTCACACAAAGTCGTAAACCTTCTTTCTGGGAGACTCAGCCTCTCAGATGTTTCCTCTTTATACCCGGTCATGTTGCAAATAAACCGAAATATCACACATTTTTAGTGTTTTGCTGTCTCTTTCTGAACTTTATTAAAGGTGTTGCTAGAATCCCTTTTAAAACAAGTGAGCATCTTAAACAAAACATTAAAACTCTTCTTTTTCAACACCTTATATAAAGTCTTTGCCGATTTTCGGTCAGTAATGGCGTATAAATGATTTGCAATAAAAAGGAAGTCTCAACGGGGGAGAAGGAGGAAGGAGTCGGTCCTGTTTCCAGCCGGCTCGGTCACCCACTGTGTTCTGTCATTCAGCGAGACTAAGTAAGACAAAAGATTGAACTAATAAGATAGAAGAGGATGTAAGGAACAGGAAATTCTAAGAAAAACCCAAAGAGATGCTCAGCGTGTGAAATGAAAAAACACAAGAAGAAGAAAAGGTTTTCAAGAATAGCGTGGAAACACGGCCTCTGTCAGCGCTTCCTTCCTTAATCAACAAGACCAAATATAGCCTGTGCATATTGGCCGTGGGGCCAGATGTACATTTAGAGTAATCTTTCCCATGTGACTGAAAAATGGACAGAATAAGAGCTCCACATCTCAGACTCAGATGTTACCAAGACCCAGGACATGAGAGCAGACCTCATGCAAGCCTCCAAGTTGCCAAGGGCACATCCAGATGTCAGGGAAAACAATAACAATCCCACACAGATGTGAGGGAGGAGTCCTCTTTGTTGCATGAAAAGACCTCCTCAACTCTGAATCCCCCCACGCTCCCCCCACCCAGACTGATGCACGCAATATTCTTTGCATTAACACGGAGAGAGAGGAGAGGCTGTGCTCCAGTGCAGAAATCAGCCCAGATGCCTGAGTATTCATGTCACTGCACTCACGCCCTCATCCATGCCAGCATGCCAACGTTCTCAGGGCGGGCACATGGATCTGCTCACAACAATGGTGCATGAATGTGTGCGTTACGCTCGCAGAAGAAAGGAGAGGCTCACCACACCGGTGGTAAACATGTGAGATAAGTGTTAGATACAACCTTTCACGGTGGTCAGCCGGGCCCCTGAGGGTGTGCGCTTACAGGAGAGATGATGCAGCCCAGTATCCGCAGGACTCATGAATATTGAAAGAGTCTGTCACACACCATTTTCCTCCCATGCCGGGGCAGAACACGGTGTGCCCTTTAAAGTAGTGAAGCACATGGAGAATGGTGAATGAGTGAAGTTCTTTCCTCTTCATATCCTCTCATTAAATCATCCCAGACCTTCAATGAAATCTGGGTTGATCAGATATTGATGTTCCGTTTTTGCTTTGGTCAGCAGATATTTTTGTGGCCTGAGCCTCTGTAATCCTCTGACAGAGACTTTTTTTCTATTATCCTCTTTCAGATCTGTGAGGCTGCCTGAAAGTAAATAAAAAAGCAACGCCGACATGTTATCCATTAAGCATAATAAAAAGAAGATGCATTCATCCGGGGTTTCATTTTTTGACCAGCAGAATATCTAACTGCTTCACTCAATAACATTATTTTCACTGAGTCACAGCGGCGAACTAATAGATGTAGATACAGCAGCGTTTGAAAGTTTAAACTGAGACCGTGAGCTCAGTTTTGAGGCAATAACAGAAATATTATATGAGGAAAAAGTGATTTTTTGGCATGCTGGTGAATCATTTGCAGAACGAGCAGACTTTTTATGGATTATAGTGATGTTTGAGTCCAAGCTAAGTAGACGGGGAACAGGCAATACTGGAAACTCTACCACCAAGTAGGGGTGTCCCAATACAACTTTTTTACCTCCAATATGATACCGATATTGTAGCCTTTAATATTAGCACAAACTTGTGCATGACAAGTTTTGCACTCAGCTGCAATGTCTTTTTTGGACTTTTATAAAAAATCCTGCCACAGGGCATCAGGCCTACTCCTTGGTACTTTGTTCGTACATTAGTACACACTGTTGTTGTGATCACATCGGCTCTACATGCTGGATCTGGATGCTGGAGTGGAGTCTGGAATGGACTGCTTGCATCAGAGTGCTGATATCGGGGATTTTAGATGTTAGATTCGTATTTTTGTTGATATTGGACTGATATCTGATATCAATATCGTATCGGGCCAACCCTACCATCAAGCAGACCAGTCACAGCATATGCAGTCGAGATGCACATCAGCTATGCATGTAGGCCTCTGCATTAGGGATGCACTGATCAGATGTTTGATTTTGGTATCGGTCCCAATACTGAAGAAAATTCTAGATCGAGTATCGAAACAATGGGCCTGATGCATAGGGGCCGATCTCTTCAGTCTAACTCTATGCTATGCACCATGAGTGGCGTCCACAAGTAAACACACTGAGCGGAGGCCCACATCTTTTGCAAAATGGAGCCAGCGAAGGGGTCTGCTATCTTGGATGTTATCACATTACCTCAGCCTACTGAGGACGGTCACCTGCAATACCTGTGCAGTAAACGTTCTGAGGGGCGGTGGTAAAACTGCAGGTTATAAAAACTGTAGATATCTGTATCAGAGGTAAAAAAGTGGATCTGTGCATCCCTTCTCTGCACATGGTACATGTGTATTTACTATGTAGGGTTTGGCGTAGGTTCGACATAGAAGATAAACTGGACTAAAGACACTTTTTGTCTCTTAGAAAGTACTCTACCCACTGTGCACGGGTGCAACAGTATAAAATGGTTTGGTTTGGTTTAACCATTTATTTTCCTAGTGTTGTCTGTCTAGAAGACTACACTGCAAGATACATGCAGTTATTTTACTGTGCAAAGCATGGCAAATAAATAGTCCTGGTGGTGATTATGCATTTAAGTAAAAAAAGTGTTTTGCTGTTAAAAAGACACTTTAATTTCAGATAAGTGAGCACTGGAGAGGGGTAGAATGAGCCTCAGTGAACTAGTTGTGAGCAACACAACTCTTAACGCCCAAGGTGGCATGAACAGAAGGTACAACAAACAGCTGCACAGCTGCACAGAAACAGCACATTGTGATCTTTGCTAAAAGCAGTGAAAGTCTGCATGCAGGGAGATAGCTCTGGCTCTTTTCCACATGGGAGTGCCCCCCCAAAAAAACATGCATTTAATAAACCTTTATGGCTCATGTCCCAGATTTTGCAGTAAATGGAATTGGCAGACAGTAACACGCAAACAAGAAATCCTTGAAATGAACAGCATCAGCATCCGTGACTAGAGGAAAGCATTGCCTTCAGATGTTTTAAAAAAAGTTATGGGAAAAGTTTTTGCTGTCCTGTAAATCAAATCTACGGCTAAGGGAGTGGTCATGATATAGTCCGTCTGCTGTCTGCATGAAACCGTGTAAACACAGGATGACTTCGACCTTTAATGTTCGATCCTGCTCAGACAACTTGCTGGGAAAATGCAATTTAATGCACTTAAAGAAAGCAAAATATCAATGCAGTCAGGAAGCAAGTGATGCACATGTATTAAGTTGTTGCATGTGCCTCCTGCAGGACAGAACTCAAATATTTATATGTGCAAATATAAAGAAACTACTTCTAACTCGGGTGTATCTAACAGCCTTTGACATAGTTTACCTGCTCAGTTTGAGATCTGATCAGCTGACAGAGTCCCAGTGAAGCCGGATACTCGGTGGCGGAGCTCTGCAGTAGGTGAGTCATAAAAGAACCAAAAGCTATTTCATGCACCGAAGGGTACGAGCGTGGAAAGCTGCCAGACAAAACAGATTTATCAAAGAGAAACAGAGGACGCCGGTCACAGCTCACTGATGGAGACAAATGGGTTGTTATTGTAGGAGGAAGACTGCTTAACATCACACAGTCATGTCCTCAAACCCGAGCGCAGAGAGACCTGCTGCGAGTACTACTGCTCTGTGATCGCTCCGGTCTCTGACACACTAAAATAGTAACCTCCACAAAGCCAAAGCGTGGACTCATTTCCTATATTTGATCCTCTGTCCATCCAAACTCTCATATTTTCTTCCTGCAGACATTTCCTGAGGATGAACTCTGCATCATTTTCTTTTTAGAGGAACAGAGTTTGTTATTAAGCGTCTTGACATAACTAAAAATTTCCTGTTTTTGTGCACTGAAGCTTTAAAGAGACAGCTGTTACCGACCCCTCAGTATTGTTTAGGGTAACTCACGCTGCATTAACACATACACAGATGTTTTTATTATTTGTTTTTTATCCATCTAACAAAAAATCCTGCCTGTTTTAGAGGGAAGTTGCATTTCTCTTTTGTTTACATTTATTTCATATTGTGGTCTTTTTTAAAGCTCCTATAAGGGGTTTTAACTGAGACAAAAAATTGATGCCAATGAGAGGAGTGACAATTTCGTTTACATGTCATGCATTTTGTCTGCAGGAGACCCCAAACATGAGTTAATGTAGGTTGACCTTACATCCTCTTTTACCCGGACATGTCCTCTTTTTTTGGGGGCTGTCCAGCCTTGTCCAGGGGAGTTTATAAAATCCTTCAAATGTCCGTGGTTTCGTATGGAAGTTTTGAGTTTGTGTAGCATGGACTAACTGAGTTAGAAGCACGAAAAAAAACACTTGACCCGACCCAAAAAGCCCTCAAAATTTACTACATGCGACTCTGCCACGTGTAGTCATATCCTCTCTTTGGGGATTCAGAAGATGGTCACCCTAGTTAATGCAACAGCGGAGGGGTTCAGCGGAGTTTCGCAGCTCAAGGAAGAACATTTATGATTATTACCTCACTGAAATGCAATCAGAGTTCTTGTGTATCTTGTATGTGCGGTAGTTCTTCTGCCTTAGCGTTTTGGTCTGATTGCATTTCCATGAAGTGATAGTCATAAATTTTCCGCTGCACTTGGTGATCGACTCATCAGGGCTTCCCCACAAACAAGCGGCTGCTGGAAGAGAGTGGGTAAGTTGTGTTTAGTCTCTTTACTAAAGAAATTAGGCAAAGTTAAAAAGATGTTTCGTGTCTAGTACTATGTCTGGGACCCTATATGTCCTGTTGATGAAGTTAGGTGCTGTTCTGAGCATTATTTGTGACTATAGAGTGGCATTTTGGTTGAGGTTTGCACATGAAGATGTAGACCGCTGTGTATTGCTATCCTGTGGTTGTTACTAAAGTTGGTATAACTAGAGAAGCAAGCCTCAAACATATAATATAAATTGCAAAAGACTGTTTAAAATTAACCATTTCCAACTAGAGATGAAGGGGAATCAACATGACATGACACGATTCAAAACACGCATTATCATAGGACAGGATTGTACATCAACTTTGAAAAGAGAGGAGAACAAAATGCACCTAAAGGGTCAATTTCCAGTTTCTGCATTTCCCCTACTCTCAACCTCGAACTTGAGAGGCCTTAAAAAAGCTGCATCCTGCTGGGGCTCTTACTCACAGGCTTCAGAGCTGTCATCAACATCTAATCCTCACACACTGTTTTGTTAAAAAGACTCTTGGAGAGCCCGGAGAGGAAAACTCTCCATTAATTTCGAGAAAAAGCAGAGTAGAGGAAATCCTGACTTGTTTTTTCCCCCCTCCCCTTACCTCATTAATCTTCTGGAGATCTCTTAGATTTATTTGGTGATCCTTTCGAGGCGGCCTGATAAAAAGCACCAAAATTAGCTCCACTTGAACCGGCTGCAACAGTAGTCTCATAAATCATTCACAGGAGCAGAGAGTCCGCGAAAGTTTCATTTTTGCTGATTTTACTTTTGCACTTTTACTCAGTTCGGACAAGAAGTGTGCTCCCTTTACTCCTGACGTGTCAATCTTACTCTGTGTTTTTGTGATTCTTGCTCAAGGTGACAAACACTTCCTTCTGCTGTTGCTTGGATGGAGTTACAAATTTGTGCTGCCAGCAGTTCTTACGCTCGGTAATTATCGTAATGTCTCTAGCTCTTTAATCCAATTAAAACCCAGAACAAAAACAACCATTAGCCGCTCCAGCACATACCTCTCCGTGAAGCCAAACTTGATGTTTTTACACTTCGGCCTGTTCATTAGTCAGCTTTAGAGGCCTGGACCAGCTGATCAGAGCCAGGCGGGCCGTTTTGTGATGCTAGGCGAAAGCTAACATAAAAACATGAATCTCGTATAAAACCTCAGAGAAAGTTTGCTTTTTTAGAGAGAGTAAAGCTGCAGAGTTGGATCAGAAAGCACCCATCATCATTATTTTAGCAGCACACTAACACGGCACACAGCGCGGCCCTCTCTGGTTACGCTATAAGCAGGTTAAGAGTGCTAAAGGTCCACCGTAGGACAAGGATCTTATTCCAGAGGCCTCTAGTCTACGCAAAGGAAAAAATAGCACAAATACTTTGATAAAAATACACAGGTTAAAAATAAAACCCGTCCATCGTGCATTGCACCTGCATAGCTGCTGCTGATTCTCCTTGGTGTTAATGTAAATGTTTTGATGGAGCTATACGCCTTCCGGGCAGTGATTAAAATAGCATAACCTGCTGAGCATGTGCTCGCTGCTCGACTGGAGCGTAGAGTGGAGTCTGGTGGGAAAGTGAGGCTGATTCCTGCAGTTCTTTCCACCACATGGATGCACGTTTTTACAGGTCAATCAGCTTTCTTTGTTGATGATGGGCTGACGGTTTCACACAAACTCCTCTGTGTGCTTCTTCAGTGCTTTATAACTGTGTCTGCTGCAGCGATTTTAAGGCCAAAAGTGCCAGGGAGTGTGAAGAGATGTTGCAATATTCTTTTATATTTTGTTTGTGTAAAGGCAAAGCAATCTATAAATCACTGAGTGGCGCTTTATTGGCTCATTTAATGGCATTTACTCTTCCTATAAAGTCTGAAAAATCCATTTGGGTTTCTGTCTGTGAGTTTAATCTCTCTTAGCGGAAGAGTAAAAGAAATACCTAATATAAAAACAGATTAGTCTGACCATGCATCAAAAAATAGCTCAATAAACATACATTATTTTTTTGACGTTTGATAAGCAGTGCTGTTGTTTTTTTATATTGTAATATTTAATTTCTGGAACATTGAGAGGGGGTGGGTGTCAGCCAAGCAACTACATGAAAACACAATAAATGATAGATCCAACCTTAAGAAGTCAAAATGATGAGACTTGAAACTTGTATGATATGACATGACTGTTGTGTCCACAAGAGGGCGCCAAAATTGACACAAACCAAAAGTTCCTCACAGGAGCTTTAATCAGACACAGCCTGCATACAACCCTTATTAGACACAACACATGACTGGCAGTTCAGGCAAACAAAAGTTACGATTAGGGGTGTCTCGATACAACTTATTAACTTCCGATACAATACCGATATTGTAGCCTTCAATACTGGCCGATACTGATATTGATCCGATATTAGCACAAACTTGTGCATGACAAGTTTTGCACTCAGCTGCAATGTCTTTTTCGGACTTTCATGAAAAATATTGTCACACGGCCGACATTACTCCTACTCCTCTGTACTTTGTTCGTACCTTAGTTACACACTGTTGTTGTCGTCACTTGGGCTCTACATGCTGGATCCGGGTGCTGCAAGATAGAGGTGCCAGAGCGGAGTCTGGAATGGACTGCTTGTATTGGAGTGCTGATTTTGGAGATTTTAGATGCAGGCTGATATAATCTGATATTAGTTTTTTGGCTGATATCAGACCTATATCCAATATCTTATCGGGACAGCCCTAGTTATGATAAAATTTATGAAGAAACGTAGATAATAAATGGGAATAATCAGTAATATGTAACTGACAGATTATGGGCTAAAATGATGGTTTTTACAGAGCTGTAAAAATGTCCATCAAAAATAAGCTTTTATATCTTATTATCCTTCAGTTTAAAGTCTGACCACACACAGTACACACAGGGTCTCCCGGGACTAATATGAGAGGTTCCCTGCTGGAATTACCACGACTAAAATAACCCTGGAACACGGTCAAATTCACTGCTGTTTTAAGACGCCCCCCCGCAAGGAAACGAGGGAATATCCTCTGTGTGCTCCATGTGGGCCCTAGACTTGACCTCCAGGGGAGCTATTCACGTCACGACCGACAGGCTCAAGTTGCTCAGTATGCCTTTGGTTTGTGTGACAAAAGCATTTAGCCGCAAAACATGAGAGAGCTCCTCTGAAAAATGTGTTTGCCGAGCAGATACGCATGAAACAATGCAAACAGTTCAATTAATTTAAATAGATGAGTGTTACAAGCTCATAAATGTGCAAATAGGAGCCTCTGCAAGTGTTTTCAGCCAAACAAGAACAACATTATTCCACTAAAACCTGAATGAATATCTGAGTCACGCGATGGTTTGTGTTTAAGACCAGCATGAAGAGCACAGACAATAACACAATGTGGTTTTAAAAGGGCTCCAACGTAATTTGGCACTTTAATTAACCCTGCAAACCAATTAACTACAATCATATGGAGGGGATTTTGGCACGGCTTACGGCAGCTTGAGTTTGACAATAATAACAGTCCCATTTTCACAGTAGAGTAACTAAGCTAATTGGAGATTCAACAGAAATGTTTGCAGCACACATTTGCTCATCACAGCAGAAAACGCAGAATGGAGGGGAGAGACTGAAGCGGAGCGAAATGAGCTTTCAAACAGCCGCTTTGCATTTAAATGAAATGGAAATGCTCCAAAATGAAAATAAGATGCTTTTTCTGTTTGTTTGTTTTCCTGCACGAAAGGTTTGAAACAACAAGTGAGCACAATGTGAAGAGTATCCAGTACTGCATGTTCACCTTTGGAAGACAAAGACACTCAGAGCTTCCCCGGGACCATTTCCTCTATTCTGAATGCCAGAGGCCCCCTCCCACACAGTAAATCAGGAAGCCTGTGTCACCGACAGTTTGTTTAGCTCACACAAACATGCAACACCCTTAGAAACCGCACAGCCTCTTTCCACTGTCCCTCCGTCCCCCCACAAAGCGCTGTAGCTCACACTGCGAGCCGCTGCAGAAGCTAAAAGCTCCTCAGATGAAGCTTCTCAAGGCGCTTACCCATGACAGGTCTCATCAGACGGCTCGGGCGCTGAGACTTAAGTGGAGAAAAATGACCCTCCATAATGTATGAGCGGAACAAAATCCCCTCAAAGGGTTTCACAGCCCCGAAACTGAATCCAGAACCTGAGGGCAGCCTCTGAGACTCCTGAATACAAACATCATTGTGGTTTTTTGTAAGATGAGAACATCAGCCCAGAGGTGGAAAGTGAGAAAAAATACATCATGTATAATCGAGCTAATAACGTTTTTGGAGCTGAAACACAATAAGAGTTTATCTTACAGAGTTCGAAGACAGCTTTAAGTTCTCTGTCGGAATAAAACTTTTGCACGTTTGCAGATTTATCCATAAAAAATGTCATTACACGTAAGTTGTTAACGGGTGTCTCAATATGAGATGCACAAGACCACCAGAATCCATAAACAGCATGTAGGACAAGAAAGAGATAATGTGGAAAGCTATCCCTGATACTGTCCAACTATAAATGATATTTGAATTTCCTGTTTCCTTTAAAAGGTTTGTGAAAGGCTTAATTTTGTGAGAAAAGTTCTTAATTTCCCTGTCCATGCATATCCGCTCCCTAATAGATTATTAGTCTCATGAACTACGAATGATAGGTATCTGGAAATCAACATCGGATGACCACTACGGATCAAAACATTAAACCTTTCATGAATTTGAAGCTGCATTTTATCGCTCAAAGCAGCCATACCCCAGATTTTTCAGCAATTTTATTAAAATCAAACAAATAATGAAAAAGTTAAATCACCATCATAGCAAATAAAAACATGAGGTGTACGTAAAAAAGACCATGTTGTGTTTAATTCTGCGATAAAAGACTTCAAAGTCCTACGCCGATCATTTTGTTTGTTTTACTACTTAAAATGTTCTCAGTGGTCTTTGAATTGTGATATTAAGATTTTAGCTAAAATCACGTTACCTGTTTCATTTTTAAGGGTTTTTCTTCTGTAGAGCTCCAGTAACTTATTAGCAATTCGCCTCTGAGTTGTGGGCGGAGACAGCGCTGCTCTGCACACTTCTCTTCATGCTAGCTTGTAGCCTTGTGTTGTAGAAGTAGCAGGTAACAGACACTAATGTCTTTGGGGACATGACGAAAGTTAATATCATTATTTGCTTTCTTATGAACATTGCCATCTGCTAATGCACACGCTTGTCCTCTCTATTTCTCAGAGTGTTGCCAATACAGCCGAGTTCTGGGGGCGAAGCTTGGATTTGTGACGTATAAAATCTCACTGTATCTGAACCTGCCGTTTGGGTCTGCCAGATTTGAATGCAGAAATAGTCAGAAATGTAATTTTCGCACTTATTTTTCTCATGATACATCCTGTAGCATCAGAAAAATGCCATAAGAACATGTAAAAAAAAAAGAAAAACATGATTTTCATCAGACTGGGTCTTTAATTTGAGGTCTAGTTGGATTTCCTTTGTTTTTGGACTCAAGTGGACACTTGAGGAACTGCAGGTTTTTGCTCCTCTCCGCAGCCCCTTCATTATTCAGCTGCTTGATTTAAACAGGATCATGTCCTTGGGGATCTGTTTCAAAGAGTTAAAGATGATAAAAGACTAAGGAATTGGTGGTGGCATGCATTAATAAATATCCGCGGAAGCTTTTACAACAGGAGAGCAGCGGAGGAGATAAATCAATGAGGCAGAGGCTGCAAAGGCCCAGCATGCCTCTGTGATTTATGAGGGGTTGACTTTCATCAGAATCTTCATAACTCTTGTGACTGTGAATCAGGTGGCCTTTGCACTCGGAGGAGTTTGTTGTGTTTGCAGGAAGGTAAATCCCTCACACCAGTAATAAACACATGCAATCACTGCATGCAAAACTGCACTACAGTGTCACCGCGAACATTTCAGTATCACAACAACTGCTCCTGTGAAGGGTAGAGAGAAAATTCCCCCCTTTACTGAAGAGAATTTAACCCTGATGCAGCTCGCAGCTACTGTCTGTCAGTATGAGCTGCAGTGTCAATGAGATTCCTCTGGCACAGCTGCTCATATGCCATCACTTTAGAAACAGATCCACCATACCATGGAGATCCTAAAGGCTTTAAGAGCAATGCTGCCAAGACCTTTGTCTCACCCACATTTTAAAGCTGTTTCCTGGACTCGGGCTGTAAACGCTCAGCATGATAGTTTTGGGGTCGAATCTGACGGGTTGCATCATGACTTTCTCGCTGCGAAATCAGCTCATGTATTTAGTGAACGCCAAAACTACTACTAGATGTCAGAGGAAAAAAAAAAACCTCACAGACTTATCTGAGGGAGCTGCCAACTGGCAGCTGGGGCCGGTTTGCAGTCCAAAGTGTCCTGTTAGACGACATGCATGGACACTGAAGAGAAAATAGTTTTACTAGGATGAGTGTTTGATATTTCTAAATTTGTGCCGCTTAACCACAAATAACTTAGAGTCAAGAGGAGTAAGCCGCTTTTAATTATTGTCATCTATTCGTTAACGTGTGACGTAGAAAGTTTGAAAGTTACAGAGGAGGAAAGTCATGACGTTCATGTGAAATATTGTCCTATAAATTACAAGATACTTTCTGTCACCTTGTGAAGCCTCTAAAAGTTAAATCGCCAAAGGACATAGTTAATAACCATGAGCAACAAATGATGGAAGTCACAGGCAGCTTCGCTTTACTCTAATTAGACCATTTTTTGCACTTCCAGTTGTAGTTAATTCCAAATAACAAAAGGAAATCGTTATTATTATTGCAGAAAAACTAACATGGAAAATCCAACAAGTGCAATGTAAACATGCATGTTTTCATCACATCTACTCTGCATAGAATGCAATTTGCATGTAGGGCTGGGCGATAAGGGAAACAGTTTATCACTATGTATTTTTTTCATTTCAATTGGTATCGATTTGTATCATGATATAAAAAAATACTTGTCAATCTTAAATGTTCCCTGTTACTTTTAAATGACATTTAACATGTACTCGACATAATTTGCAGTGCACACTACTCTACTTTATGTCCGACCTCAAAAAAAACAAAATACCTCCACACTAGCGATGTTTTCATACCAGTGTTGTCAACGATGACTTCGTCTGCATTTCCGCCGGCGGTAGCACTCATTTTCTTTATTTCTCACCAACACACTGTTGGCTTCACATGTTAAAGTACTATGGTTGCGTGTAGTTGCTGCCTGCTGCTACGCCATTGTTTGCTACTTGAAATTCAGCACATGAGTGAATCAGCGCTGTGCGACCCGTAGCAACTCCCCTTTTCATTGGCTATCAGCATAGTCTTCCAAAACATGGCAGAATACCGGCTATCAAAAAGCCTACTGACCATGTTTCATATCGATATCAAGGGAAATCAATTTTTGATATCATAATCTTTGTATCGCCCAGCCCTAGCAACAAGTGATGGAAGTCACAGGATGCTTCGTTTTACCCCAATTTTACACATTTTTTTGCACTTCCAGTCGTTGTTAATTCCAAATAACAAAAGTAAATCTCAATTATTGTTGCAGAAAAAAGATAACATGCAAAATCTAACATGTGCACTGTAAACATGCATGTTTTCATTACATATACCTTGCATTTGATACAATTTGCACATTAGTTTTTTCTGCAAAAATGAACCTGCATGATCAATATTACACTGACCACCTTAAATTTGCACGTCACATTTTGAAGACGCTTTAACATTAGGCAAAAACACTAATATGAGTTCTGGCGTACTCCTCCAGTAACAGAGTATCTCGGGTTTAAGGCTTGAATAAACATATTCTCACCCTGCTATGATTAATGGGTTGCGACATGAATACATAAGTGTTTGTTTTTTTTCACATGGGAGGTTTTAACACATGTGAAACTTGTTTATTTCACACCAGTTTGAATTATGAGGGTGAGCTCATGTGCTTTGGTAGCCAATTGTTGGACGCAGACTGAAATGACAGTTGTGGGGCCGTTTACGTTGCCAGGCTCCAGTCAATTAAACCTGATCAAACCACACCCACACAGCACTGATGAAGCCGTACAACAGGATACAGATACAAAAACTAAAAAATAAGACGTAAAATGCGGGTTTTATAGATTTTAACCTTTCAGTTGTTGTTTATTTGGTTATAAATTTACTGTTTTACCACAGGAAGCATGTTTTCGACAAGTGTGAAGGAAATAGGGGTTAAAAAAGAGTGATTTAGATGATTTCTTGTGTGGTTTGGACATTTTTTGAAACTCTTTCAGCAAAGAGTCATCTCAAATGACACACTAAACACACAGCTCTCTGTATGTAGTCTATTTAGTTCCTAAAAACTGATTTACTTCCCCCGTTGAGAGTGTAAATTAAACTGCAGCTCATCCAGGCTCTGTAGTAACACCTCATTACAGCACTCTGTGGGAATTCTGCGTACAGCTTGCAGCACATCTCTGTCAAATTTGACGTGTTGACAGAAGAAGTCCACAAACTTGGCTGTGCCTCCTCCTCCTCCTCTGCTGCTCTGCATCCTCCCTGCATCTCTCAGCACTGTATACAGTATTCTCGACCAACGGTGACCACCGCTTTCACATCCTCCACCTACACACACACCATCCTCATCATCACTACCCTTATCATTTTTATTGCCCGGCCCACAAACTTCCAGCATGTCCAAATATGCCGCTTATGTAACCCTGCAGATGATTTAGCAGACAGTGAGCACCGCTGAATCACTGTCTCTCTCATAAAACCTTTTATTTATAATGTTGAGATTGTTTTGCACAAAGGAGAATTAGCAAATCTTGTAGATAGTACATGATGAATTATATAGATGACTGCATCTGAATCAGCTGTGCCAATATGATGTTTAAATATCTCCTTGTGTTGAACTGATTTGTGCGTAAAAAGGCATATGCTGCGTACTTTGATCATTTTAAAATCCCAGATGAAGACACAGTCTGCAGCTCTTGAGATTCCTCCACATATTTTTATCATAAAATCTCAATAATTCACATAAAGTCACTTCAAACAACAGCTGAAAATAGCCTTTATAATGACATATATTCATGCTCGATGCTCTGATTCGTCCTAATCAGGTACAAACTCACCAAACAGCGCTTTCCCACTCTATCCCTCTATGATATGGATATTTTCTCATGCAGCTCTTGCAGATAATCTGGACCCAGTTATGGATGCTCCTGCCTTTTAATGGACTCAGTCTATTCTCTTAATGCACATGCCGCGGCTCTGTAATCCATACAGATCCAGCTGGAGTGAGTGACCCCCTTTAGACGCACCACCGTGGACAAAATGCTTGGTCAACTCTTTTCCATTAAATCAACTCGACGTTGCAGCAGCAGAAAGTGGACGGAAATATTAGGAGTAACACAGCGCCTCAGCGTGAAATACACAATCTGTCTTACCGGAGAATAAAATCCACCAGATGCGCGGAGCTTTAGCCGGAATATCCTCTCAAGGCAATCCCCAAAAGTGTCCTCAGTCTCGGGTTTGGGCACGGAGCAGTAAACACGGCGGATCTCCGGCGCTGAATGAGCGCAGCTGAAGCGGCTGTCAGGTTGACGTTGGAAAGCAACCCACTACTTCCTGTTACATCACAGAGAGCTCCAGCTGAGGACCTGAGAGCTGTGGTGAGATCTGCACACTGCAGGAGAGGAGACAGGGGCCCATAACCGACTCCCACACTCTGACACAAAGTTGGAAGTCTGCAGAAAATGTAGTTAAAAAAAAAGACTTGACTTTTTAACAAAATTAATCACTTAATTTCTCTACGAACAACTTTTAACCCCTGCAGAGAAATATTACAGTTTAACAATGACCCTTAAGACTTGATTTATCCTCAGAGGACTTTAATTTGGTTTATTTTTAGATAAAAATCTGTGAATTTGAGCCTCAAACTGCCAGAAAAATAAAGCTTTGAAATAAACATCATGTAATGTTGGTTGTACAGCAGATAAAGATAAATATTTACATCTTTCTGGTTCATTAAAGACCCCCTTTAGCTTGACAATAAGGGTACAGTTCATCTTTACACTAAACACAGACATACAGATTTAAGATATTTGACTTCATCAATGCAAAAAATCTGGTTTTATTTCGCGTAAACATTTGAAGTTTTGCAAGTCGTGATCATAGCTCTTCAAGTTATTTAAATGCTTCATATTTGTAGAATCTCTGCCTCTTGCTTAGAAACCATTACTCCCAACACAAGTGGAAATATTTAATGTTGGCAATGTCTTTTTTCTTTGGCAACTCAACCGGCAGCTCCCCACTTCCCCAAAAATTTACATTTAAAAAATGGTCAATTTAACCGCCGCTGGTCTCTTTTAAATTTAATTTAGTTTTTTATTTTTATTTTCTACTTTTATTTTTATTTATTTTTTGCTTTTGTAGATTGTAGAAAGGAACAGGAACTTTAATGCCTGTATTTCAGAAATAATGTTATCTTTAAAAAGGAAAGAAAAACAGGTTTTCATAAAGATTGAGATGACTGATAGAGTGTTTCTTTGTGTAGAATAAATATGAAGTTTATCATTAAATTAAGCTTCTTTTTTTGTTAGTTGTAAACATTTAATAAATGTCCTTCCCTTAAAAAAAAACTTTAATGTTTAGAAATGTGAATTTTCTTCCTCACATTCTAGACTAAATTGCTCCCTTATTAAACCCTCTTATTGGTAATGCTCCAGAGGCTATGGTGGCTCAAAAAGCTTCCTTTGGTGCTTGATAAGTTTTTACCATATATTGTTTTTTGATACTTATTTTTTGCACACATCATCAACAACACTCTTCTTCTTGATCGCCAAACTAATGACATTGTTTTAAAACAACAAAAACATTGTTTTATTTAGATTATTTAATGATTATCATATTCCTCTTCTTCCTCTGCTGGATGCTGCTAAACTCTACATACTGCACCTTTAATGTCAGGATATGGAGGTGAAATGATCAAAAAGGTAAATAATGCTAATCATTTGTGCATGTGTGCACACCCAGTTCACACCACTCCTGCGTGAGATAGTGCTCCTCCAGTCTGGACAGACTTTCCTGCAGGCTGAACTGTAAAACAACCATGACGTCAGAGTTTTGAATGCTGTGATTGTTTAAGTATAACATATTTAATTCAATAAAAGTTATTCAAATGTAAGCTAACTCACTCTCACGCAATAATCAACCGATAACTATCCCTCTGAAATGTTGAGATGTCAAACCTGTGCATCAGTTTTCATCCTTTTTAATTCAGAGTGATCTTTCTAATCGGATTATTTCATCACTTTATAACTGGTAGGACTCACACAGGCAGAAATAAGACATTAATATAGTGAAACTTTATTATATAAAGGCTACAGTCAAATACAACACAGCCATGGTTACAAAATAAGACAGTAAAGCTAACGTTGCACAGCGCCCACAACCTCTTTCCTTACACAACACTGCCCCCTTGTGTCTCTCCTCAGTAGAGCAACAGCAGGACTGTAATCATGATTAATGAATCTGCATAAAATTCATTAAAAAGAGTAAATATAGAGTGTTTGTGTCTAATCCAACAGGAATAAAGCAGTCAGTGCCTTGTAAACATTGATTAATATCTGTGCGGACGGGGTCATCCTGATTAATGTGTTTACTGTAGCACACTCTGTACATTGTTGTCATTGATCCAGGGCTGGAGATTGTCGGTTTAATCTGCTAATGCTGCGGCTTACATTGATTAATACATGTGGATACTATATGTACACAACAAAAACAACAACTAAAAATCTCTCCTGCAACTTTGGTTTTCTTCACAAAACAAAAATGTTGGTTTGATTATAAAGTCACGACCTCTCAAATAAAAACACACTTATCTTACAAAAGCATTGACACATGAAATATCTGTTTCATCAGCCTAACAATTGTGTTTTTTGTCACTGTAATGTTGATTTACTCGGCTAATACACCTGCCATGATTTTGTACACACAGAAATTCAAACAACAGATTCAAGGAGAGCTACAAACTAAGTATAGACATAAATACAGGCGGCTCCACGCTGAGGCACAGTGTTCAGACCGAGCGCTGAATAATGTCCAAGTTTTTCTTCCTTATCCTGATCATCCTCCTCCCATGAGCTGCAAGAAAGTAAAGACACAGAAGGAGACAAGATTAGGACACGATAAATACGAGAAATGCGATAAAGCTTCACAGGCCTTAAGCATGAACACACTCTTTCTGCGCCGAGCACACTTGATGCTACATTCCCTCCGACTCCTGAAGTTGTTCTCGTTCCCGCCGCAGCCGCTGTAGCGAAACATGTGGCACCGCCTGGTCCCGGGGTTGTACGCAAACCTCTTCTCCGCGCCGTCACAGTCTCCAGTCTCCACAGGCATGGAGCACAGATCTGTGGGCTTCAAGTCTGTGAATAATCACAACAATAAACATCAAATTTAGGCTGTAACCAATGGTTACCTTTCATCTTATGCTTCCTGCGCTACCCTCTTTTCTTTGAAAGCTACCCTGCATGTGTTCCAGACTGACACAATGGCAGGTAAAATAATAATAACAACGTTCATGTATATAACCCCCTTACAACATCCGGAAAGTTGAACAAAGTGCTTTACACAGATCAAATACACAAATACAAATACAAATGTCTCAGGATATCATGACAATAAAAAGGTAAGAGAACACAGAAACGATCAAATAGCAAATGGCAAAAGGCACTAGATATTAAAAGCCTGTTTAAATAGGTGAGTTTTAAGATGTGTTTAAAAAAATGCCAGGTCATTAATAATAAGTAGTTCAGGGGGAAGAGAGGTCCATAATTTCGGGGCTGATATTGAAAAGGCACGACTGTAGATCTCTGATTCTAGATCAGTTAGCAAAGAGGGAGCAGGTTAGACACTAATTAGTGTAATCAGCCGAGCAGAGGCTGTAAATGTCGATGCAGGCGGGCAGGATTTAATTCAATTAGCCACAGTTTTGCTCTCAAATAAATGAATAAAAACCTCCCCACTTCCAGAAAGAGCATAAAATGTAGTTGTCTGTGAACATAGAGTAGAAATATTTTCATGGATAATGAAACCTAACAAGGTAACCTTGAGATGAGAACCAAACTGGATGATAGAGAATTGTTTTTAGTGTAATTTACAGCTGATTTAAGACACGGGTCAAAACCGACCCTTAATATGGTGGGTGCGTAGTAAAAGCTAAAATACGAGGAAGGTTAAACTAACATTAAAGGTACAATGAAGGATTTTATGTTCTCTCACCTCTTCTTAATTCTATTAAATCTTATTTATTTGATTAATTTTAATTAATTAATTCATATATTCATTTGTTTTGTAAGGCCTGCTTTAGTGTAGTGTTTGGATCATGTGAAATACAGATGTCCACAGTATATGACAGCTTTCCTAGTGACCCTTTAGGTGTAATTCACTTTATAACCACAAGATGTCAGTCTTTCATTTTAAGATTTCTACATCACATTGGTCAAATGATGCTGTATTATAGATTTGAACCACTACTAAATGAAAATGTCTGTTTTTTGTGACTTTAATACATCATTTTATAGCTTCTTATATTGTTAATGTAAGTTCTGGATGATCTATTGTGACTCAATGAGTTTGATATTCATCCCAGCTTTTTTCCCTCTGAGATACTTTTTAAAAATTTGATCCAACTCTTTCAGGAAAAATAGAACTGTTAACAAGCGGAGCTACTGAAGGTGACTACTCATCTGGATTCTTCTCCTCTCTATATTTCTGACAAGACTGAAATTGAATCCTTAAAATTATAACTCAGCTGAGGAGTCAAGGGAGGCAGACAAGGCCGCCTGTGCTCCACAAGAGAGCCTTGAAGCACGACAAATATGATGTCTGCTCCTTCACTCCCAATACTCTGAAAATTAGTAAGTGGCGCTGAGTGAGGGTTGGGCTGTGTGAGGGAGACACTGTTGCTCTCTGTTCTTGCACTTTGCCTCATATAACAGAAGCAATTTTGCAAACTGTCTCCTCTGAATGCTTCGCTGCTCCTTGACATTCTGTTTTATTTCATCCCCGTTAGTAACTGACAGCAGACACGGATTCAGAAATGGACTGGGTTTGCATCTTTTTGTGATTGAACCACATTGGAGTCTCTCAGCTCTCCGTGATGAATAAACATGACGAGCCTTTCTCTCAGCCTTCTACGTCTCGAGCAGCAATTTATTAATTGAGGTTTTAATAAAAAGGGTTTCAGTTCATCTTTAGAGCAAAAAAAACATGTCAGAGTTTATTGTCCTCTCTGATCAAGGGTGGCGAACTACAAAAACGGGTCTGCGCTAATGTTGTTTGAGTGGTGGAGGTTTTTTTCTTGCCCTCTTTTGTCTCTGTTGACTTTGCCAACACAGATCCCTCACAGCTGTTGATACAAACACTTTCACAGTCACATTTTCTCACCTTTGACTTCTTCTTTTGTGTCGTTCGTTTGTGCCAGAGCTTCACTAGCAGGCATTTCCTCTGAGAGACAAACACAGTTAAGGGATCAGTCATTCAAACTGTTAAAAACATGGTGAGTTACTATCACAAGCTGAGTGAACGTAGACCTGATCGTAACGTATGCTCTTGGTTTGTAGATTAGTTTAACCTTGAGTTTGGGAAGGGACCATATTTGTATGACAGGTGGGTGCTAACAGCTACATCGCTAACTTTGGATCAACCTAAACTAGGGTGACAGTACGTCCTCTTTTACCCGGACATGTCCTCTGTTTTGGGGGCTATCCTGTCTTGTTTGGGGAAGTTTATAAAATCCTTCAAATGTCCGGGATTTTGTACGAAAGTTTCGATTTTGTGCTTAAAGACACTCGATCTGATCCAAAAAACTCTCAAAATTAACTACACGTGACTCTGTGACTCCGCCCCCATGTAGTCGTGTCCTCTTTTTGGGGATTCAGAATATGGTCACCCTACCTAAACATGAAGAGGTGGAGGCGGGGCTTTAAGCTGTCAGTCAACTCAGCTCTGCTAATTGCAAAATCTCAATAACATCAAATCAGACGCCATATTTAACTGGCATTTTAAGCTACTGCAAGGTTCATCCTTTTGTTTTATCTTGGTTTTGACGCCCCCTGTGGACACGTAAGGGTAGTAAATCCTCTTCCTTGTTGCTGAGGTTCAGTTAAATACTCCTCATTGTGCTTTAACATGAAGCCTAATGGGAATTCTTTGGCTTTTGCAGCCAGCCTTAAGAGGACACTTGAAGCTAGCTGCACTTGTTTACACTTTTCTCAAGATCGGAGGTTTTTGCTTTGATGAGCCACTTGAAACAAAGAGGCTGACATATAAGGAGACAAGAGTGTAATTATACTTCCCTGTGTAAGTGAAACTGACCGTGCAGTTTGTGTTTATTGGTTTATACCAGCTTCTTTATATCAGATATCATGTTTGTACATTCAGTCTTACCAACGACTTCGGTTGGCTGCACCACAAAGGCTCTTCTGGGGGGCTGAGTGTGGACCTCTGGGGCTTTGGTCGGTTTCACTGTGAATGACAAAAAAAAAAAAAAAAGACGTCATGAATTGATCGGTCTATATTTAGAGCAGATCTCATTAAACCTGAGTGATCGATCATCATTAATCGAGGTTTAATATCATTAGAATCAGACTAGAGAGAGTGCTGGTCTGCAAACAGATATAATCTGCTAATGAAAGCAGACACGGTCATCCATCTGAAGTTGTTACCCATAAATGAGAATTCACACAAAGCTTTTCCAATTGATTTTCTCTACAACATGCGCCACGAGCAGAACGGTTCACAGCTCAGCAGCTCCACCTTATTTTCTTTGACTATTTCAGTATCTAAATGACTTCCAAGTCCGGCCTAACTCAGGCATAATTGGCTGCGCTTTGGCCACTTAAAGTGATTTAAATGCTGAATCGTGGACCGATGGGATTTCATGGTCAGCTAAAATTCATCAGAAAGTTAATTTTCCTGAGGTGGAGTTATTTTGATCGTGTCACCGCTCTGAAATGAGTTTTTATTTGTTGTGCAGCGACTGTAATCACCTTCGCATAGGTGGATAAATTATTCTGTGCATATTGCTCCAAGTTAAATGCATGAGTGGTGATAATTATATCTGTTTGGGCTTATTAGGAAACGTACAATTAAAGTGTGTTTCTTGTTGCTCTCTTTGCCATTTGAATCAGCTGTTTAACTAAAAAAACTAGCAGTGCAGTTTTGACTCAGTTGTCTGCGTCTGAACCGGGCTCACCTGGATTCTGGCACCTGCTCTGGCACTCATCCATGCTCCTGAAGTTGTTTGCGTTGCCGTAACAGCCTCCGTAAAAGAAACGCATGCACGCCTGGGTTGTCGTGTCGAAGAAGTAGCGTGTCACCAGCCCTCTGCAGGGACCAGGGGCTTCGGGGAGATGACAAGGGTCCTTATCGGCTGAAAAACAAGAAAGTGTAAATTCTGTCAGTTTAATTCTTTAACCACGTATCTGCGTGTTTGTGCGACGGCTTATAGGATGGTCTCCGCTCTAACAGACTGTCTCTTTGTCTCATGTTACAAACCGTCTTCTCTACTTTCTCGTATTGATCGTCGATACTTTTCATATTTGCCAGTTTGTCTGAGCTTAAAAGCTCTATTGACTGTGAAATTGACTTTCTTATAGGGAGCAATAATGAAACAAAACAAGAAAAAAGGATGAACTTTCACAGAGTCGTGCTCTGATATATCATTTTTAATGTTTTTTTGAGATTCCTGGATGTGGCTGTCGCTGCATTTCATGAACTTTTCTCCTCCATTATGTCAATGTCATGAAAATAAAGCAAACAGTTGTGTTAGAGTTATTTATGTACTACTGATAATTTGACAGATAATCAAAAATTTTTGTTATTTATCCTGATTAGACTGAACGGTTGTGTAGTTTTACTTTAAAGTTTAATTGAAGCCGATTACGACTGCAGCTCTCCTATTGGTGGAGACATGTAATATGACCTGAGGGTTTTTCTTGGGTAATAAATGCAGCTGTGGGTCTTTGAGAGTACAATAGTTTTTGACCTTGTTTACATTGGGTCTCGGTTTCCTTATTATTATTTGTAAAAAGTATTGTTTTGTTATGCAAAATAAACCTCTAAGTAAATTCAAGAAAGAAAAATTGACGACTGTGGTGTTATATCATGGAAATACGCATCAATCGTCACCTCAGAGGGTCTTTAATCATTAGACAGAGCTGCACTCACAAGTTGTATACGAAAAGTAAATATATATTGAGGGGGTAGGGCTGGGCGATAAACCGAAAATTTACCGAAACCAAAATTTACGACAATAACCTACATCATTTTGCCCGTATCGGTATATTTGGAGTAAAAAATAAATAAATAAAAAATAAAAGTTGGTTTTGGATGTATGTACGTGGGCTATGGTCTCATGTCCCTTTAAGACGCTGTCCTACATCGGAGACGTGACTCCACCCCATCCAGTCCGTAACAAAGAGAGAAAGACAGGTAAGGACATGGAGGACGGTTCAAAAGTTGTGGTGTCTGAAGTAGACGAAGTTAATGTGGGAGGGGGTGAGCAGTTTGTGGAGTAGTTATCGTCCATTTATTGTTATCGAGGTGAACTGATCAATATATCGTGATATTGATTTGAGGCCATATCGTCCAGCCCTATATGGGGATGTTGGAAGCCAAAGTAGACGGGTGTCAGATCAGAAGTCAATCAAATACGTTCAGTGAAACGTGTCCTAACAGAAAGTCAAACAGTATAGAGTTTACAGTACGAGTTCAGGCCTTAACATCACAATCCCCAGCCTCTGTGTCACAGCCAGCCCACTCCGTGTCCCCAGCAGTACTGTGACATTCTCACTTCTGTCAGGTCTCAGATCCTCTCGGGCTGAAAGTCAACACTCCCTGTAAGAACAGGTCCTAATACCCTCAGCCTGTCCTCACTCATCCACATCACATCCCCGGAAATGTTCTCCTTCTCTGCTTTCTGTTCTTTTCCACCTCTTACCTCAGCTCTCACTCCTCACGTCTCACTTCTTACCGGCTGTTGCATTTATTATAACATCTGAGTCTCGCAGAATAGGGATCAGGGTCTCAGACTAAGGTGCATCTTCAACCTGCATCTTTTATTACGTTTGGTTGTTGTAACATCAGGTAATCTAATATTTATGCTTGGAAAAAAAAAATCAAAAGTAAACATCTGAACTTTGTACAGCCTGTAAAAAACAGCGGCAGGAACAACGGCGTAGTTGTCGACCTGCTGTTTATATTACCAAACCGTCACCTGACAGGCTCACGCTTGATTCGTCTCAGGAACAATCACTACCCCGGTGTGAAATGCATCACTTCCAGTGGACTGGGTCTGATTTCAAAAGACTTGATTTTCACCAGAGACGGACAGGTGCGAGCTGACAGGCTGTGACTGAATGATCAACGACATCAGAGTGCGTCCAGCCATAGTGAGCGTTATGGGCTGTACGGCTCCCCACACAGATGGATAATGATTTATTCATCAGAAATATGGCAGTTAAACACTTATAAACCCTTTAAATCAAAGCAAAGTGGAAGGTCTGGTGGTGTTACACTCAATTATTTTGTCATAAAAGCACAAATGAGACTTTTTTCCCGTTTGCAGAAACATTATTCGGCTTTTTTTTCTCTATAAATATGGAGTTTTAATCAACAAATACTAGAAATAAACATCTTGAACCATGAGCCAAGACTTTGATTTGTAGAGATGGTGCAAAAAAAAGAAATTTTATTTGCAGTATCCATGTAAAAATTTAAGATGGATTAAGAGAATGAAATAAGGAATCAATTGAAGATGCTTTTGGAGACCAAGCATTGAAAACAAAATTAAAAAAAATAAGTTTTGGTTTGCTTCGTTGTTGCAACACTCAAGACAGTTTTTAAAAAATCATGTTAAGTCAAAGAAACAGCAGAAGAAGAATAAATGTTTGACCTCGAAGCAAAGGTGAGAGAAGGAAACGTGAAGACCCACTCGACACAGCAGTGGGTGTTATTAAATACATCTTAAAGGAATATTAGTTACTGCTGCGTAAAGACCGAGCATGTTATCTGTAATTTTGAGCCTCTTAGAAAACGTCTTTGTCGACGGGGAGGCGAAAAAACCCTCAAAGTGGAGTTGATTTTCTTGTTTTTGAAAACTGTTGCAGATTTAATACGGAACAAACCTACGGCAAAAAACCAATCTTCACAAAGAAATGATCAAGTCATTACCCGACACAGGTGTGCCACTTGAAAACACAACAGGAACAAACTCGTCTGTCTCCAGTCGCCGTAGAAACGACTTGTGGGGAATCACAGAGCAGTGCTTCATTTCGAACACCTGTGTGCCGGTGACGTTTGCTAACAGCGACTTTGCCAGACAGGGATGCTGTAAATGTCTCACATGTTTAAGTTATGCAGAATGTAACCCAGAAAAAAGAAAGGTTTGTCTTCTTCGATGGCAGTTCCTCCATGAAGCCGCAAACTCTCTCCTCGACCTTTAACGAAAGTCCGGGTCAAGCACAGCAGAGACGAATGCAAACACACGAAATGAAAGGGCTACCAGGTGTGATAGCTGCCTGTAAGAGTGAGCTCAGCTGAAGTTTACACTTCTTAATCATCTGACATCTGCCCACTCTCTTCAGGAGGGAAACACAAGATTAAATACGCTCAAACCTCAACACCAAAGGTTAGGTAACATATTGACAGATTTTTCATGTGCGGTCGAATTTTCCTCAGATTGCCTGAGGAGAAAACCGGTAACACTTTGACTTCTTGAAGGCCTTTTGACCTACATCAATTTCTCTGTACTGCTGCTGCACCTGATGCCCAGGTAAATGAGAGAACCCACCTCTGCTTCCCGACAGAAAGAGCATGAAGTGAGATCTGAAATAACAGCTCGACAGATGTTTCTTTTGGTGAACTGTTTTGTTAGGGAACTGATGATCGGCTTTTGTTTGCTGAAATACCTTAAGTCGCTTCTCCCTCTATCCCCTCTGTAAACCCAGAGCAGTCTCAGCAGCCCAATTTCGCACGCAGAACAGTGGCGAAAAGGCCATAAGCGCCGATCCCCACTGATAGTTTCCATTCAAGTTAACATGTCAGTTTCCACCGTCTTCTTTCCGCCCCCAGCGGTTCAGCTAGCTTCGTACCAGATTACCAGGTTTCTATTTTTCGCAGTATGCCATATAAATTAGCACAGATCAACCCGTGCTGGAAAGGAAGTCCGGCACAGACACAAAATAAAACATCTGGCTTTGTTTCAGGCGGATCACACTGTGCAAATGTGGGCGGGGACGGACAAGTCAAAGGTTTTCAGACAGCATTTCACCCCGATGACACCATGAATGAGGAGATGCTGATTCTAGAGTCTAGAAGTAGATTTTCTCCTCTGGAAAGACACAATCTACTGCTTATATGGTTATGTGGCTGTCTTTATAGACACAACTGGTTATCATGCCATTGCATGAAAATCTGCAGAATCCTGTGAGTTCTAACGATTCCTGCTGTTCGAAATCTGCCACGAAAATCGCCTCACAGACGCATCAGTTGGCGAAAGGCGAAAATCGTTGCCATTCTGCAGTGGAGCCGTTTGTCGTTGTCATCATTTTCCTCTGCTTATCTGGGTCCGGGTCGTGGGGGCAGCAGCCTCAGGAGGAAAGTCCAGACGGCCCTAACCTCAGCCACTTCCACCAGCTCCTCCAGGTGCTCCCAGGCCAGGCAAGAGATATAATCCCTCCACCTGATCCTGGGCCGGCCACAAGGTCTCCTCCCAGTGGGACATGTCCGGAACACCTCTAACAGGAGGCGTCCAGAAGGCGTCCTAACTAGATGCCCGAACCACCTCAGCTGACTCCTCTCGACGTGGAGGAGCAGCGGTTCTACTCTGAGCGCCTCCCAAGTGTCCGAGCTCCTTACCCTATCTCTAAGGCTGAGCCTGACCACCATGCGGAGGAAACCCATTTCGGCCGCTTGTATCCGTGATCTCGTTTTTTTGGTCATTACCCAAAGTTCATGACCATAGGTGAGGATCGGCATGTAGATCGACCGGTAAATCGAGAGTCTGGCCTTACAGCTCGAGCCGTTCGTGTGCCGTGGAAATTTGGAGCGAGTCTGATTCTGCTCGAGGTTTTTACCTGTTAAAAGAAGTTCTTCCTCTTCACTGTAACTTCATAAATGCAGCAAAATGAACTCTAAAGATGGGCTAGGACGAGGCTCGGTCTGATCCCATCTTCACATCGTAAATCGAGCTTTTTTGTTGAGCGTCTTGAGAATTGGCTCTATATAAATAAAGATTGATTGATTAGATAATTATAAGTCGGTAAACAAGTGTAAGAACAGCTGAGGATTCTGTCTGTACTTGTACTCGTATCAAAGTCGAACGCTTGAGGACTTCTAATGCAGTACGAAGACGGGGTTTCACTCCTGCTACACACTCTCTGTTGGGTTTATCTGTTCAGTCTTAGGATAACCACAATCTACTGAAGGGTGACCACGATTAAACGCTATCACTGTACCATCTGAATACGTTTAAAAAGGTGACTTTGACTGTAAAGCGTGGGCATATACAAGTGTCAAAGGGCAGTCAAGCACACTCTCCACACCGCTAATGAATAATTCAGGACGAGAGTTCTCTATCAGAGCGGCGAAGGTGGACGAGTGGATCTGTGATTTTAAGGAGAGTTATCGGTCAATTGTTTTCGAGTGCTGGAGTTGTACAGAGCATTGTTCCAGAGAGTCCTGGCTGCTCTCCAATGAGCAACTCAATACTTCAGCAAAACAGAGCTAAACATTTAGGATGGCCTCAGATGACTGCTGCTTTGGGTGTGATAAAACACACATTTTCAGGCTCGCTGTTATACTCTGGGCTACTTATAAACCCTGAGACAAAAAGAGATGAGTTCAGACAATGCACCATGTCGAGTCCCCACTTTATTTCATTGGAAACTTTTTGGATGTAGCTCTAAAATTGCTGACACCCTCCTTAGTCGGGGCCCCGAGTGGAAGAAAAAGACAGCTTTTAACAGATGGAGATGAAATTTGGCAAAATAAGTGAACTCAAGCATAAGGATAGATGTTACCACTGCATGGAGACGGAGGTAATCCAATCACTGAGAAAGAAACTGACCCGAGGAGTCGAGTCAGCTTCAACACTTATCCAAACAAATCCATTTTATTTCCATTAAGTATCATCCAGAGAAAAAAAAATCTGCCCTCGAACCCGAGGTAGGCAGTAAAGAGCCCTGTAGGTCAAAACAAGCAAACCACAGCTCATTTTCTCACTCTGTCAGCATGACCCCAGCATGACTTATCCATGAATATACTGTATGTTTATTTATACTGTATTATTTTGATATGATGTTCATAAGCCAAGTGAGCGTGGGCAATTTTAAACAATCAGTTACATCTTTGAGTCCTGACTGAAAAGCAAAAAGAGAAACTAAAAACAGAAGAGATGAGAAATTTCATTGACTTTGCAGTAGATAAAACCTTGTAAAAGGACCCTCTCTGGTACATTAACATAAAAAAGGCTTACTCGATGCCCTACCAGTGTACATAATGTACACAAACTCCCCTCTGGTGGTAAATAAACTACATTCAGTAAGTTGCCCCTCCAGTGTAAGCAAAGTAAGCACAGCGCCTTTCATTTGCTCTTTAAGTGTATAAAATGTAAAGAAATTCCCCCTCTGGAGCTTTTCTCAAGGAAATTGTCAACAAAGTGCCCTCTGGGAACTCTTTCAGTGGAGTATATATAAACAAAGTGACTTCAAGTTGCTCTGTCAATGTAAAGAGTGAATACAGTGCCTTACATTTGCTCTTTTAGTGTAAACAAAGTGCCCTCTGGGAACTCATTGAATGTATAAATTGTCAATAAAGTGCCCTCCAGGTACTGTTTCAGTAGATATATGTAAACAAAGTGAGTTCAAGTTGCCACTTTGGTGTAAAGTAAACAAAGTACCATCTGGCTTCCTTGCAGTGTATAAAATGTAAACAAAGTGGATTCTGTGAACTCCTTGAATATATAAATTGTCAACAAAGTGCCTTCTGGGAACTCATTCAGTAGATTATATGTAAACAAAGTGGCTTCAAATTTCTCTGTCATTCTAAGGAAAGTAAAGACAGTACCTTACATTTGCTCTTTTAGTGTAAACAAAGTGCCCTCTGGCTTACCTTGTAGAGTATAAGATGTGAAAAAAGTGGCCTCTGGGAACTCAATCAGTGGATCTATGTAAACAAAGTGGCCTCAAGTTGCTCTGTCAGTGTAAAGAAAGTGAATACAGTGCCTTACATTTGCCCTTTTAGTGTAAACAAAGTACCCTCTGGGAATTGTTTCAGTGAATATATGTAAACAAAGTGACTTAAAGTTGCCTCTTTAGTGTGAGAAAAGTAAAAGTGCCCTCTGATTGCTCTTCCAGTAAAGACAGCATGAATAAGTGTCCTGTAGGCATTTATTCCTGATGGTTTTTGGTTTTTAAGTGCGGTTTGTGCCTTTAAAACAGCTCTGTCAGTGTCTTTTAGTGGCATTCAGCAGGTGTCCCTTCAAAATTGTCTTTTTTTGCCAATCTAGCTGCTCATGAATCAGAATAAATGATATTTTCTGAGTTTCATTCACGTTATTAGACTTCCCATCTTACACTGACACGTTATTTGACATTTGCACGCTGTGAAAAAAAGTGTTTTGATGGTCTGGTGTGACTAAAATGATTAATAGACTTGATTGATGCTCTGATGATAATTGAGAACTGGATTGGTGTTTTTCTGTCCAAATGATTGATTTGTCTGAAAATGAAAAACAGAAAATTTCACATCTGAGTGGGAACTTAAATTTTGTGCTGTTTGGTTGTCTTTCCCTCTCTCTGTCTCTTATTTGGACAATCTGTGCTGGCAGATTGGGTCAAGAGAAGCTATAGAGACAGAAAAAGGCGGCTGTCACCGAGAAACACGGTGTTTGTCTGTGACCTCTTCAGGCTGAGCTGTAGGAGGGACATCAGGCTAAAAGATGAGTTTGGGACACGATGATTATGACTCACTGGGTTTCAGTAAAACACCAGAACAGAGAAGACAGAGTCATCACCAAACTCGGTGATAAGAAGGATCTCAGACAGGGAGCTGCAGTGTTTTTCCCACTGTGGTTTATGACCTCAAATAACATTGCTGTGGGGTTGTCTGTGGCTTTGACGTTGTGTTCTAGACTTAATGGATTGGGGGAAAATACTAAATAAGAGCGTGTCAGCCAGCAGTTTCTGCTGTGTGTCCTTTTTCAGGGATTTCAAATGTCACAGATTCAATCAGCCCGACTGTAGAAGATATGTGACGGCGGTTTTAAAAGTCTGTAGATGTAAAATAAGAAAAAACCTCCTCAGAGCGTCCATCGACGAAGAGTATGTAGAAGTGAGGCACATGTAAGGACTGTAAATATCAAACACATTAACATGGCTAAGTGATCGGATAAAAACTAAACCGATAGTCTTCGCCACCTTGTTGCTTCTCCAGCTCCTGTCAATCTGTGCATGACCTGTTCTCATCTCTGGTGGAGCTCCATCTGAGACATCCAAGTCATCAAAAATTAAGAAACGCGACACTAAGTGCAAAGTTTGGAGCGGAGCAGCATCCAAACAATCTCAAACTTCGCTGTGTGGGTTTTTTTCAGCTCGTGGCTGACTGAACAGGCAAAAACAGCCAACCTGTTACAAAGAGGAGGCAGCGTGCTTGTAAGAACTCACGGCTTCATTAATTCACTCAAGTGGAAACATATCAGCAGAAGCACAACATGAAGACTCTGTGTGAGATTAGACACAGGAAAGCATAACACCTCATTGTCACTCACGCATGTTCATGGTGTCCTATCCATGCAACCTAAAAATAGGGTTCAACGCACAACCATGAAATCTGCTTATACTTCAACAAGACCATCAGTGACATGCATATTCACAATAAATGCCACATTTAACTGTTAATAATAAGAAGAGTGAGGAATCATGACTTAGGCGTACAGGGGACAAGATTAGCTTGGACTGCTTTGTCCACAGGGGGCGCCAAAGTTGACACAAACTAAAAGCAAGTCTCTCCTGAAACTAGGGATGCAGCTATGGACTATTTTAGTAATCGAGTATTCTACCGAATATCCTATCGTTTACTCAAGTGATCAGACTCACATACAGTGAGATTTCCTATGTCACAAATCTAAGCTCCAACCCCGGGGCCCCACTATGAAGGCCAGACTCGGTAAAATAGAGGACAATTGCGAAACAAGCGTGTGCGTTAACAGATTGCAATGCTTCTGTTACCTGCTTCTGCTACTACACCGACAATGTTAGGCTACAAGCTAGCATGAAGAGGAGTGTGCAGAGCAGCGCTGTCTCCGCCAACGACTCAGAGGCGAAATGCTAATGAGCGACTGGAGCTCTGCAGAGGAAAAGCCCCTCTAATTGTTCATTTGTTTAACCAAAAACACGCTTACTCCTCCTTCTACCATGGTGACGAAAGCGTGTTGTGTCACCTTGAAAATAATCAGTGCGAAACAGTGACGATTTGAGCTCATAAACAAGTATTCAAGTACTCGAAAATTCCTTGATCATTTTTTGTAACCAAGGAACTCAAGGGATCCTTTCAGCCTTAGCCGAAACCATTGCAAAGGTAAAATGTTTTCGGCACACTCGAAACGCACCTAAAGGAAACCAGTCATGACCTTGTCATGTTCCTGAAATGAACCAAACATATAAAAACCAAGCACACGACGAAGCTTGGGCTGGTCACTCACCACAACGCCTCTTTGGACGGCGAGCTCACACAGAACGAGTCTGTCTTCCTCTTCTGTTATCATATTATATCACACTTCAGGTTAGGGCTCGCCGGTGAACTAACACAGGTGTCTAAGAGAAGTATGGAGCAGATTTATGTACCTGCAGTATTACTCGCACTGGTGTTCTTGATGAATGCCTCGTCCTCGCAGGTTTGAAAAACGAGTCGTTTTTGTTCAACTGGGAGCTCATAAAAGTAGATTTGATTTCGCCCTTTAAATGTCATCTTAAAATACCCTCTTTTAAATCAGAAAACAGCACACAGAGGGGGCAGTTTTAATATGTGATACTGTACTTGAATAATTGAACCCCCTCCATGCCGGTCCTTGAAGTGCCGATCTGTTCATACGTGAATAGAAAAAAAAAAAGACTAAAAATGGATGCCTAGCATGCACACGTCAGTGCCTTCAGGATGCTAATTCATTTCTGATCTCCTTGTCTGACTGCATAATGAATCCCATGGCGTGCAATAAAGAGGTGAAGGTTATTCTTTGCCAGTGGGAGAAGGCACTTTGTCACAGCACAGAATAACACGCCATAGAGATACATTGATAGATGTGTTATGGCGGTGTATGTGAGGGCATATTTCATGTTGAGCTGAGAATTAAAGATGTATTGTTTCCCTGCTGCAGATGACAGATCCCATTACACACTCTGTGCAGCTGTTGTACAACAAGAAAGGTGTTTTTCAACCTCTCTCCTGTTTTCTTTGGGTGGCTGTACAGTCTTTTATTTGCTTCCTATTCATCTCTCTCTGCATCACTCAACTCACCTGAAGTGCTTGGAGAGTAAAACCAACTCCTCTCACTTTGGATAAATACAAATGCCAGAGGTGAAAGGTCGAATCGTTGCAGCGCTGGCTAGAATTTTGATGATACATCTGAGATATAATCGGGAAAAGTTAAGTGGAGGGTGAAGAGGGGCACAATATATACCTGCGCTCAAGTCCAAACCATCATTTTTACTCTTAGTGACTAAAAACGATGTTAAAAATCCTGCTTTAAATTCCATCTTTTAATCACGTTGACAAACACGCTTGTTGACCCCTGACCAGACACTTTTAGTCATTCACAGGAGCTTTTATGATGTTCAGAGGCATCAGATCGAAGTGAGAAGTACCATCTCGGATTTCACAGTCAGTCCAAATAAACAAAGAAAGAAAAGTTTGAACTACACTGTGGCTCTCAGTGAGCATATTTGAATACACATGAATATACATGCGACACAGGGTTCACTCTCCAAACAAGACTGACACCAAGTATCTGACTTTTTAATAAACACTTGATTGAATTGATGCATTTTCAGAGTTTATATCAGGATAAACTTGCACAGTACTCACTTATTAATAACTCAGTTTAGGCTTTGATAACTGTATCTGTGATTAAATGCAATTTCAAATTAGTTTTAGTCAGGACAATATTGCCAAAGCGCAAATAATATACAATTAGCTTAGTAAATGAAATATAATGACAGTAGTGGGATCTGTCTCAGACGAAATATTTCAACCTCTCAATCACTGTGGCCAAAGAACGTCAGAATAAAGATATTATCCTGATGTTAGAGTCAATGTCTTCACTTCCTGCATGGTCAAACTATGCTTTTATTTTGAAGTACACTACTTAAAAGTTGTCTGTAAATCTGGAATTGTATAAAAATAGTTAGAATATACACATTTTTAAACAATAAACCCAAAAACGTACCAGCTGTAACATTTCCTTTAGATTTATGTCGGTTTATGTTTCATTGTCAGCAGTCTGCTTCTTCTCTGTCGTATATTTGTTGAAACTTTCTCCATAAATCATCAGTTTAATCAGATAAACCTGCCGCCAACTAATGGTCTTATCAGCTAGTGGTCGACTGTCGACAGATATCAGTTTTTCAAAGGCCAATACTGACAATGGGAGAGCAGGCTGGCTGATGTATATTATGCCAATATCACATTTTTTTCAATATAATAAAATACAACAAGGCAAATATTATTATTATCGAACTTCATTATTTAATATAACATAATTCATATTAAACTTATTTAACTAGTCAGTTGTGTAGTTTAGATTTGATATCCTCTCAAATTGCTTTTATTATTTGGAAAGATAACCGTGATATCGGTCTTATGAGGGCCGATATCACGCCGATATGACACTGATTATAAACCATAAATCAACCTGATTAATCAGTCCATCTATTATATCAACTCCAAGGCTTTATAAAAGGAGATCAGTGGTTTGCAAACAAACTTTAAGCTGCCCTTCTAAACTGAGGAAATTACACTTTACAAAACATACATTACATCAAGTGTCCACTAGGGGGAGAGAAAGTGTCAGTAGGGCAACATCAAAACAAAGAAAGATATGACCAGTCTGTGAAAACATCCCAAAGAAGTGTTTTTAATAGTCTTGCACAGGGCAGTGCCTCCCCTGACTACCCCTCTGGACACACTCCTGCCAAACCATAACAAAAAAAAACAACCCCTGAGTAAAATATCGAGGACAAAACCTCCGATTTTCTGACATAATTTAAAAGTCTGGATAGATTCTTTCTCCCCTGATTTATTATTCTTCATTAAAAAGTTCATACTTCTTACAGAGAGAAGAAAAAGTTTACCAAACTGTTATTCTCCCTCTGGCTGCTTCACTTTGGTTCAGATTTTTTTCAGTATAAAGTTTTTGGTAGTTCGGAAAAAAAAATCCAGATATCAAAGTAGCTTCCCCCTCGCTGACCTCCGCCTCAGGGCTTAAAGCGCCTGAATCTGTTATGAGCTCGCTTTAAAATTCGGATTAGGCAACACGGTCAGTTTTAGACGATTTTAAATTTTCAGACAAAAGACGCGAGAATCAGAAAAATCAAAGAGTTTGGAAATTGTTTTTCATCATCATCATCATCATCAACTGTTTAACAACTTCACTCTATCACCAGTTTAGTATGTGAAGCCAACAAACAACACCACAGTGGCCTCCTCCCTTAAAAGTGCCATATTTTTCCATTAAGTAGACGCCTGAAGGAACACAGTTGAGAATTAATGTGTTGGCGATGTTCCATTTTAGCTGCATAACAACAGAATGACTTTGTAATAGGATTTTATGCCCAAGGTGGCAATAAAGTCTAATGAGGAACAGCAGTCCTTGGAAACAAAACCTATCATTCGCTAGCAACAACAAAACAATGTAAAGTGGTAATGTATCTTTGTCCTGAGCTGTTTTTCAAGACATAAAAATCACTTTCCTCTCTTTTTCTGTTTACTTCAAGTGGAGGTGTCAAGTTGAATTCCTCGAAACGTGTTTTTAAAGTTGTCAGACGGAGGATCACGCTCACCTGAGACGACACACGTCTCCTCGCAAGCTTCCAGCGTGTGGAAATTGTTGTCGTTCCCCGCGCAGCCTCCGTACTCGAACCGCTCGCAGTTCCCCGTCTCAGTATTGAAGAAGTATCTCTCCTTGATGGCCTTGCAGGGCCCCGGATCTTCCTTCTGGGCGCACAGCTCGTTGAAGATGGGGGGCTCGGGTGGCGCTCCATCTGTGGAGGTCGGAGGGAAAAAAAGAGACAGGTTTTAGCGCTTGGCTTCTTCTGGCGTTTGTTGAAAAGGATTTTGAGAGAGAGGGGAAATTAGGTCGCAGCATCAAACCCTAACCCCAGGCTTTGAGATAAGGTGAAGTTGCGTGGCGGAGTAATTTCCATAAGACTTGAGCGACTGTTTGACAGCCCACTGTTTTGAGATACTGTGCTGCAGAGAAGACAGTGAGGAGGATTTGTTTGCTGCAAAGCTTGAGGAACTTTCTGACCTTACTGAACCTTCAGATGAAAAAGCACAAAATATGGAATATCTGAAAGCTAGGAAAGCCCTATACTTTCTCAATTTTTTAAACTTTAAACTGTATATATCCTCTGTTTTTAGCCTACAGGTGTGTTCTTTATGTACCTGCATCGAGCATAAGGCACCAACAGGGAGCTCCCAAATCCCCAAAGTACAAAAAAGCAGATGCAGGCGGGTAACAGCTGGTAGAAGAAGAGTGATTGAAAGCGGGGGAAAACTCCCAGAATGCAGCACCACGGCGAGAGTTTGAACTGCAGCAGATAAAGTAGTATACTGCCAACTCTTTCACTCCCAAACTCTTCAGATGCATTAGCTCGGTCGGCGGCCTCAAGCTTCAGAAATATTACACTCTGTGGCGTCAATTTGGCACATGTGGCAGCTCTGCAGTCAAGTCAGCTATTATCAGTGTAAACCTTGAATTAAAGCATCATAAAAAGCACTCACTTTAACGATAATTAATGCGCTCAGTCTGGCTACGGTTTCACAATCAACCTTGCCAGGAGAAAATTCAACAATTTATAACTCTGGATGCACAACAATCATTCCCACGTGGATAAAAGTGTGAAACATTCGCAGCTTTGATGATTTTTCTGCGGGACAAGGACAGCGCTCCCGTCGTTCTCCATTAGCGGAAACAGATACAGCTGTGGACGATGCATTGGCTTCACATCGAGACGCCTTTTGTCATTTTAGTCGCAGGAGCTTGTCCAGAGACGAGGTGACACAACACTTTTTTTTGGAGCTCCTCTCTCTCTCTCTCTCTCTGATGTTGCCTGTGTTAAATCACTGTCGCAGTGTGCTGCTGGGAAATGGCTTCCTCTGCCCTCGTCCCCGCTGTTTTTAGGTCAGGTCTCTGTTGTGCCCGCCTGAAGCAGTGCAGTTACTTCAAAAACCCACTGAGAAATGAGGGATCTCTTTCCACGGGGATTTGGATGGCCAAAGCTTGAGTGACTGTGTTTAAAAATGCCTCTCTGCATGCTGTGTGTAAATATTTAATAAGTGTGAGTCTCTCTGATACTTAAATGTTTCTGAAGTTTTACTTTTTGCTGAAGTGAGGAGCGGTGTCACAAGGTGCATAAGAGGGAGATGTAGTAAATGAGCTGTAAAGTGACTTTGAACCTGGTTGGAGTGCTGCCACGCTCACACTGTGAAATGCAAAGTTGACCTGTCAATCAAGCTGTCAAATACTGCACTTCATACTGACAAATAACACAAGTGCTGACACTCATGGTCCCCAGAGGATGATGCCAGCTGTCTCTGGTGATTATCTGTCACCTCATCTCACATCGCAGGCTGATGTGTTTTCTATATCTTGTGTGCATTGTTATAGAAATCAACTATAGCTTCTTATATTCACTGCTACACACTACACCCCAAGACGGAGTTGTATCGGTGTCTGCAGTGTGTGATTACACATCGCATTACGATGTTGGGAACTGCAAAAGTTATTTGCTCGTTAACACACAGCAGGGGATCTGCACACACAGACACTCAGATACAAACTCACTGTGCTGTCCCACTCTGTCTGCTTCTTCCTCATCTTCCCTCCATTTTCTGGCAGCGTTTAAAACCATTACTGCCCCCTACTGGGGACCAGTTACTTAACATTAAACATCTTGTTAAATTGACTACATTGAATACATGCTTTTTTACAGTGTTTACATTTACTGTAGATAAACTTGCACAGTACTCACTTATTAATACTTCAGTTTACGCCTCCAGAGGTAGATACGGATAACTCTATCTGTAATTAAATGCAGTTTCAAATGAGCTTTTTTGGCTGATTGTATAAATAATAAACAATCAGCTTAGAAAATTAAATATAATGATGGTATCAGGATCTGTTTCAGATTTAATATCCCCCTCACAATCATTGTGGCCAAAGAACATCCCAATAAAGATGTTATCCTGATATTAAAGGCAATATCTTAACTTGCTGCATGGTCAAACTGTGCTTATGCAGTACTTATAGTATATCTGTTATTTTGGAACTGAATAAAAACAGTAAAAAGGAACGGTTAGACATTTTTAATCAGAAAACCCAAAGACATACCAGCTGTAACATTTCTTTTGGATTTATGTCAGTTTATGTTTCATCGTCCCTCAGAGGGCCATTACTGCCCCCTACTGGGGACCAGTTACTTACAGGCTATTACTGTATCAGATGCACCCCCTGTAACAGACATGCTAATCGTTAGCAACTTATTTTCTTGTAACATCGTGACTTAATCCTTATAACATAGCAACTTTATTCTCAAAATCTCATCTTTTTTCTTTCCCTTTAAGTAAGGAACTTTTGGTTTCTGTTACCTCCTATACCTTAGACTGTAGTGTTTTCAGAAAAAGAGACTTACCCTGCTGTCTTTAATGCTGAAATGTGACTATTTGTTATAAAAAGTACAACAAAGTTCATTTCCTTACAGCGGTCTCAGATATAAGAAATAACCGAGAAGCTGTTAATAATGGGCTCCTTTGCTTTTTGAGAGTCATAAAAAGGTATCATTATCAGTTTCAGCTTGTTTCTCAAATTGTAGCCATTGTACACTGTTTTAAGTATAACATTTACTCTTTTGGCTTTGCTTTGTTTTTTTTTACCTCACCATACATATACTGCTGCAGAAATCTAGTGTGAATTTGTCGCTCTGTTTGCTTTAGGAGTTTATTTTTCATGCGAAAGCAAATTTAAAACTTCTGACAGGCTTATTTTACTATTATGATATATTATTATTAAGCCGCTAGTGCTGGAGTCCTACTCCTACAGTTATTAACTACTGTAGCATTTTTCTGCTCTTAGACTGTAAGAAATACTTCATTTCTGATAAGTAGATTCTTTATTACTTGCTAACAGGTGGTTTAATCATTCTTTAATTCGTCTTTTTCTGCTTGTAAAACAAATAGTGAGTTCCTGTAGTACAAATACAGAGAGGTTCAAAGTTCTCCAAGAGCACACTCTCTGATGGGAACCACTCTGCCCTCTTGTATCAGCCCAGCAGTCAACAAACAGTCCCTGTGCCAGTTTGAGGTAATAAGGGCAACAGCTCAGCATTACCTCCACCTGCCCTCCTCTTATTGCCGGGGATTGGGGACACCGATCAAACGGTCCCAATCTCCCTCCCTCCAGCCGGTCTGCGGGGCCGCTACTGCATGGGGGTGTCTGGTTGAGGGCAGCGGGTCGTCCCTGCAGACTTGTGGTATTTTTATTTATGTTCTTCCTGTCGTGTCTGATAAGCAGCAGAAGATTGGGTTGTCTTGCAGGGGGGGAGAAATTACTGAGCAACACAGGCAATCTCAGCCTCCGACTACGGCCCGACTCTCCAAACATCCCTCATTGCTAAAGCTTGCTGAGCAAAGTTTACAGAGAAATATTGACATGTTGAGATGGTTCGCTCTTTTCTTTGTCTTTGGAAGTCTCAAGCTACCATGGCAACAAACAGATCCATCCTTTATGGGGATGGAAAGTACAGACATGTTGACTGCCCTCATGCAAATCTGATAAATACCTCTGTTCAGTTAGTAAGAATCCAGCCAACCGAGGGAAAAGGGAAAACTGTCCTCCTCATTGATTTCTGCTCGTCTTGACTGGGACAGAAATTACAAGAGTCCAATATTTGACAGAGGCATTGTGAGGCGATCCAGAAGACACAATGACAGAGCAAAGTGAAAGCATTTTTCTCTGCTAGGAAACCAGAAATGGTCTGTGTTGAATAAACCCAGGCACAAGTAAATATGTGTGTGCCTGTGGAGACACAGCTTGTCTGCACAGAGTGAATCTTTTTAAAGATGAATGTTTCAGAAAGAGACATAAATTAAAGTCCTTTTAAAAAGACTCTATTCCCGTCAGTTTAAAATCAACCCAAGCTTGTGCAAAGGACCTTTGACCAAGACACTGAAGACAAAAATGGGATGATTATTTTACTGGTTTACTGCCCTCCTGTGATTCCAGTTGATCATTATCAAGATGGTACAGTGAGTTATTTCTGAACAGCAGAGTGTTGCCAAGGGCAACCGGATCATGTGCTATTGTCATAGTGGCATATTCAGCCTCTGCCAGTTGACACTGTGGGAAAAGTTTTTGTTATACTAGACGGGAAGGGACAAAAATGGAAAGGAAAGGAAAGGAATGAAATGAAAAGAAAAGAAAAGGAAATTAGAAGGAAAGGAATGGAATAGAATGGAAAGGAATGAATTGGATTGGAATTAAAAGGAAAGGAAACGAAAGGAATGGAGTTGAATGGAATGGAAAGGTAGGACTGGAAAGCAAAGGAAGGGCAAGGAAAGGAAAGTAATGTAAAGGAAAGGAAGGGCAAGGAAAGGAAAGGAAAGGAGACAGGAAGTAAGAACAGAGGAGTCCAGGTGTCTTATTTAACAGATGTAAAGCTCACAGAAACCAAGTAAACTCAGCCGTGTCTGGGCACCAAGTGGGGCACAGGGTGCAAAGAGGTTGGATTAAGTCTGTTGTTTATCTGGAGCAGGATCTACTTACATAGTTCCTTTGAAAGCACAGAAAACACTCACAGTTCACTCTATGATTTCATGTCAACATGTGTTTGAGAGAAGGCAGAGGCTGGTGATGGTCTTGGTCAGGAGTTCTCCGCTGAGGCCAAACAGGTGTATGAAGAGACAGCCATTAGGGTGCCCTCGTCTTCTGGCATCCCGAGATCAGTCCTATACTGTACTATGAAAACCAGGGAGAATACTGGCACCTTTAAGCCTTTTGTCGTAATTAGCGCTCAGTTTTGTAACCATTTTAGTATCTCTGTAATGTGCTCTCTAAATAGTAGAAAAACTGCACTGACTTTAGACCAGGTCTGAGTTCGTTTGGAAGGACCTGCAGACAGCACAGTTGGATTCTGGATCTCTGCTGTTAAAAGAAACTAAAGCATTCTTATCAGCTAAAGTTGTTCTTCTTTGTGTCATTTCACAAACTCACACAGCAAATAGAGTTTTAGAGATAAAAGTTCAAACTGCAGAGAATAAAATGAAAAATAGTTTCTAACTTTTGTATGAATGTTGAAAAAAAAGCCTTTTGATGGTGATAGTTTGTGATTTTTTTTTGTGATCTACAAAATGTTAAAAACATAACTCTGCAATATCTCACATCATTCTACAGTCAAAGAGCTGGTAAACTGGTGAATCAAAACTATTGATCCTAAACTGCAAGTTGAAATATCAAACTTTCAAAGTCTGTGGATGTTGTTCTGTAAAACTTTGTGAAAAAACATGAAAAATCGAACAACTTTCGCTGGTGAGACCGCCTTATTTTCCAGCTGAGATCCATGCAGAGAGCTGCGCACGTGCCGACAGAGCTCAGCTGTGTCTACTGTGTGAGGTACTCTTGGTCAATCTTTAGATCCTCAAGATAGCAACATACCACCATTGCGCTTGACCACACCTCATTTCAAAACCAGCGTGGGCTGAACTTCCTCTGCTATCCATCCATTGTGGACACCGGATGATGAAATTGAGTGGAAAATAACAATGACACATGCCCTGCACGGGTTAGGAAGACGGCCTGAGGATTTGAAAGAAATGTCGACCAAATACAGGAGGCAATGATGAGGCAGACAGGAAACAGAGCACGAACTTCACCCTTTACATGTGTAGACACAGACATGATTGGTGGGGGGACTTTTTCAGAAGCCCTGTAGTTTTAATGGTCTGAAAACAATTTTACTTTACACTTTGGCAAACCGATAGATGTCAAGCAGTAGAACCAAATGGCCGCTCAAGCCAAAAACTGGTTTCCCTCGGTTTGGACCGCCCATAAGGTCCTTGATTAGCTCTGCTGCAGGGCTACTTTTTGTGTGTGATTGGCTATCTCTGCTGTCAGTCGTGTTTTGCAAGTTACTCATAAGAGTCAGTCCGTGAACATCGCTATTCACCCATTCACAGATGTAAGTTTACAGGTGGGTGGCGTTCATTTTCCCTCTGTAACGTCTCGTTCATCGGAGGTTTCATTTACATCCCTGTATCGGGTTTGTACTTCCATCCACCCGTTGGCCTTATTGCCTCATCTGTTACTGTGTGTGTGAGATGTGCTGTTTGCTAGGATATATGTAAAGGTGGGAACTTAATTTTGGAATAAATAAAGAAACCTGAGCTGAACATTGGCGTTTAAATCCACGTGTCACATCAGTACTCAAGTCACATGTCCCCCCGTCCACCTTTGAAATCAAAATTTCATCCATGAGTGTCGAGGTTTGCAAAGCAGAGATTATTCTATTTGGTAAAAAAAATAAATCAGGTAATAATTCTGAAATCAAACCACCATCCTGTGACAAATCTATCCAAAGCTACACATCTAACAATGAAATCCTCTGTGTTGTCGAACAGACGGTAAATAAATTTAGTCCCACTCGCACAATGCATCAGAAACCGCCTTGGAAGGCGACCAACAAATCAGCCAGCTCCTTAAAATACGAGCTCTCGCTGAATGGAGAAACAGGCGAGCAGCTGCCAATGGAAATGTGACGCACCTAAAATCAGAGTATCGCTGACAGGCTCAGCTACGCCAAGGTTTGCACACACACTCACACATTTTGGATAAAGATCTGAGTTGCTCAACATGAGCGCCGTGCCAAGCAGCTCGGTAATTCCCGAGATGGGCAGGTTGAGTCAGACTGAGGCCCGGTCCTGGCTTGTTTAGTGCACCAGAGGATAATCCTGCAGCTCCATTTCTAGGTATTTTAGCAAAAGGGAATCAAGCACTAAATGTTCAGCAGCCGAGGATCAGTGAGCCACAAAAAACAACCCATAAATTGAAGTGTGAGGAGGAAAAAAAAAACATGAAAGAGCTCACAGTGTTATCAGGATGACAGTTAAGCATGATGTTCTAATATAACAGCAGGGGGAAGTGAGACAGATTCAGACAGAAAGAGAGGGAAAGAACACAGAAATGCCAAAGTCTGACAGCTCAGGGTGCTCTTGTCATCCGCAGACTGAACTTTATGACTCTACTCTCTGCAGGAGGAGATTTTTCTTTACTTTTTAAGGGTGTGCTTTTCAAGGTTTCCATCGGTGTGTAATTGGGAAGGAAACTGAGACAGAAGCAGAGGGTGTTGGCACAAAAAAATGCTGACCACTTCAAAGAAAAAAGAAAAGAAGAAGATATAATAAAACACTCAACAACAGAAGAGGAGCGAGAATAAAAGAGCTGCTTCATCATATTCAACAGGTGCAACAGACTACCTCTGTACAGAGCTAATTTGTTCAAATCTGACAGCGAACTCTCTGTGTGTAGACGAGAGAGAGAGAGGCTGTACACGCAACAGGTTCAATGAGTCAATGTCAGTTTTATATTTAATCTAATTCAATTTAATTCATTAAGCATTATCATAAAATTAAGTCAAAGCTCCTAATTTTTTAAAGAGGTTTTAAATAGTGAAAATCTGTGCAATGCAATGTCATAGTGTTGTGTCGTTAGAGAACGATTCGTTCAAAAGAACCAAATCTTTTAAGTGAATATACTGAAACGAATCACTTCAGTTGAGCTGAAGTGAGAAACAGCACTGCCAGGCCAGCAGCCGGCGAACAAGGGACCACATACACCAACGCCTGGTGAACGATTGAACTTTTACTCTCAGGAATTATTTTTGTCGGACAAAACTTCCTTTTTTTTCCACTGCTAAATTGCCAACACAACAGCTTGCATACAAAAGGACACAGCATGTAACAAGTAGTAGAAAATTTAGTAATCAAGCATTCTACCAAATAGTCCATCCAGTTATCGGACTAATCAATTTTTCTTTTGTTAAAGTGCAATTATCACGAAACAAGCCTGTGCGTTAGCGGGGTGCAATGCTCATAAGAAAGCTAATTATGATATTAACTTTCATCATGTCCCTAAAGACAGTAGTGTCCGAGAGCTTATATAGCTCCGATGTTACCTGTTTCTGCTAATGGTGACGATTTGTGCTTATAAACGAGTCCTTGAGGCAGAGAAAATTCCTCGATCATATTTTGTTATTGAGGTACTCGAGGAATTGTTTCAGCCTTATTTAGCATGCAGAACAGATTCTACTTTATAATATAGTTATTTGTCAGTTCTGTTCTGCAGTCTGCCACCAGGGGGAGCTCTAACTGTTTTGATATCACTCATGGAGAGCTGTCATATGGTCCATCTTATGTTAATAGTTGAGTTCATTTATTTATTCATGGCAAACACTCGTGGACTTTATTCAGTTAGACACTTCCCTAAATAGTTCTTTCAAGACAGATCTAATAAAGGTACTCTGTTGGATTTCTAAACTTAGTCACAGTATTATAAATGTGCCGTAATTCAAAAAGTTCATGATCCATACCGCTGTTGTTGAGCCTGAAATGTATGAAAAGCTGTTGGTGTTTATTAGCGCCCTGCCCTGAAGGCAGCGGACAAAGGGCTGAGAATGAGTCACAGCCTGTCCTCAGATTTACAGCAGAGCAAATCAGGCCACCCTGATTATATGTATTTTTACGCTCCGGTGTGCAGTTGTTGTGTGTGCACCACTTGAAACAGCTTTTCATCCGCCTTATTTTTGCAAAGAATTCAAAAGGTATGAGTCTATTTTTACCGGCAGAGAGAGGAGGCCCACATTTCTATTTGTTTGTTTGTTCACTGATTGGTTAAAGAGACAGGGCTTTCATTAATTTCAAGGACTTGGCATTTTTGTGCTCTCAACTTTTAATTAAGAAACCATAAAAACTCCAGTGCTGCTGAGTGACCTTGATCTAAAATAGAGCTGAATGAAGGTTATTTATAGGCTTCATGTTGCTGGGCTCACTACTTTCCTTCTATTTATTCCCCTACTGTGTGTACAAAAGTGGACGTCATGTTGATTTACTCACTGGTTTAAGATCCAATGAAGGAAAAACTGAACCTCAAGAAGTTTCCTTACCTTGTGACCACAGCGGACACTGTCACCTGTCAAATTGTCCCAACACTGTGTCTCTGTATGTCAAGTTAGAGGTCGGCGAGCTGTCAGGGGAAGTTCCTCCAATCTATCTTTGCCCCCATGACTGAGACTGGACAGGAGAATGAGTGTGTGGCTGGAAAAGCTGAATGCACATCACACTTCATTTCTTCCTCTCGTGGTGTTGATCTTTAGCTGAAGTTTTGCTCCGTGTTCTGCCTGAGTAGGAATCTCCCCGAGGTGAAATGGGCGAGGAGAGAGGTAGCGGGTAGCGTGTTGTTTTCTGGCATTCAAAGAGCGGCTTCACAATGGCCAAATCAGTAAAACGATCTTTGGGGGGGACGGTTGAAATAAAATCTCCCCATCTGTTCAAATGCATATCAGAAAATGCGCTAATGTATGATGGTGTGTGGGAAAACAAGCTGCAGCGCCAAAAATTCAACATCGACTAAATACTGCACAGTTGTGTTAAGCTATTCTCCCTGATACCTCAAGATAGGATTTCGCCCTCGATGCCCTCGGTCTCATCAATTATACAAACCGCTGCATTCATAGATGCACAGGTGGGCAGAAGTATATTTACTGTTAACAAAGTGATGGGCCAGAAACAGCTCAGTGTGCCACTTTGCACCAATATAGAAAGAGTTGGAGAGGCCGAAGTTACTACTGGAAACACTAAGTTACTGCATGTTCATGTCTGCATCCATGAATGAATTTTTAATGCATATGCAGGACAGTTATTTTAGTGAATCTTTTAGCAAGATAGACTCAGTGAACTCAACTTTTTGGTGCTGGATTTATAACTACCAGCATTGTGATATAATAAATAAGGAGCACACCTACAATAATCATTCCTTTTTGAAGTATGTATTTATACAAGAAATAAAACTTTAAAAAATCCAAAAATGATCAGTGAGTTAGGCTGACCGTATGTCGTCTTTTACCCGGACATGTCCTCTTTTTGGGGGGCTGTCCGGCTTTGTCTGGCCCGGGGAAGTTTATAAAATCCCTCAAATGTCTGTGGTTTTGTACGTAAGTTTTGATTTTGTGTCACGTGGACTTACTAAGTAAGAAGTGCATAAAAGAAACTCGATCCAACCTGAAAAACTCTCAAAATTAACTTTGTGCGACTGCAGGACTCCGCCCCGCATAGACGTGTCCTCTTTTTTGGAAGTCCGAATATGGTAACTTTAAGTGAGTGATCAAAAACTACAACATCTATCAATACCTGGATTAATACACCAACAGACAAGTCCTGTGTCTACATTTTAAAGTTTAAATTTAATCTCTTGGTGAAAGTTTGCCAAGCTGGTAAGAGTCAGCGTTAAATCAGTAATCAAGTTGCTCTAAAAGTAATTCAACGATGCAGTGATGTCAGAGCAGTCCCTGATTAGTGAATTGGTTTCAGCTGTGGGCCTGGCCTGAGGCTCACAGGTTGCCACGACGATAGAGGCTGAGGCAGCCATAACATCCAGAATAAACCTCAGCTCTGGTCTCACAATTGGAATTATTCTGACAAGGAACAGTAGCTCCTATCAGAAAAAAAAGAAGACTGTGATTATCCCAAGGACTTCCTGAACACTTAAGTTATAAACAGGAGTCCCTTCTGCTTCTTTCAGAAAAGAAAGATGTCTTGACTAAAGTATGTCTACTGCAGCTGTGTAAGGCGGAAATATGCGTCCTCAAGGTAGTCGTCACTGGACCGTCTTTCAAAGGCCTTCTGCATCACATACCCAAACAATCAAAAATGTGTTATCCAGAGGCAAACTTGTTGTAGGTCAACAGATGGAAATACACAAGATCATACATGTCTGTACCTTTTATTTGTAATCTACAACAGCTTTGTCTTATTACTTTCCTTCCACTTCAATTGAGATTTTATTCACATTTATGCAGTTTGGTTAGAGTCCAGTGTGTGGACTGTGGACTAGGGCTGGGTGATAAATGGAAAATTTAACAATACCAGAATTTACGACAATAATGGACTTCATTTTTCCCATGTGTCAAAAAAAAAAAAAGTAAATAAAAGTTGTTTTTCGATGTGTGAAGGTTGGCTATGGTCTCATGTCCTCTGTCAGAGACATGACTCCACCCTATCCAGTCTGTAACAAAGAGGGAAAGACAGGTGAGGAGATGGAGGACAGTTCAAAAGTTGACGAAGTTGATGTGGGAGGGGGTGAGCAACTTGTGGAGTAGTTATCATCCATTTATCGTTATCGAGGTGAACTGATCAATATATCCTGATATTGATTTGAGGCCATATCGCTCAGCCCTACTGTGGACCATGTACACAACGTTCAGGCCAGTTTGAGGCTAAGGCAACAAAATCCAAGTAGTGATTTTGATTTTGTGGAACCAGCCAATTCTGATGTGTTTACTAAAAAAAACAGGACTTTTCAGTGTTAATGTGTATTTATTAGGACTTGGGACAACCAGTGTAAATGTACTAAATCCCAGACAAACACGGTTATCTGACCACTTAACAGCGGAGGATGAAACTGCCTTAAAAATGGGGAATAATACAAAGGTAGTATAGCTCTGATTGTGCAGAACAGCCTAAAGACAGCTCATTAAGAAAAGAGACTCTGGCCTTTAAGCTCATATAGAGAGACGACCTCATTCCTGCGGCGATATTACACACACACAGAACTTCCTATAGCGCTTTAGGATGGAGATCAAAGTGAGCTTCGAGCACTCTCCAAAGCACTTTCTCCAGCAGATCAAAGTGATCCTCCTGAATCACGGACAAACCGTGCCGCTGGGAGAAATCTGTTGCCATTTTTAATAACAATACGAGCTTTGAGAGCTCACATTGTGTGGCCAGGGAAACAGACTGAGGGCTACCCTGAGGACTCGGGGAGCAGTGAACGTGCATCCATTTGGGCAGGCCTGGTCCTGTACGGCTCAGTAGATGGAGCATGACACAAACTAAGTCAAGGATTGGTGTTTGGATTGCTGCTCGAGATGCCCAAGAGAAAAAAATCTGCATAAATGACAATCTCAAACATGCAGCACGAAATTAGCCTTCACCTTCTCCGCTCACGCCGTTATTCAATGTGCTTTATCTATCGCTGCTAAGACAATCGCCTCCTCCCTTTGCAGCTCTGCAGAGAGACCATCTTAATTATATAAAAGGCTTGTGAGACCGATGCATTTTTAATCACATCCTGCATGTTTGTATGGCAGGTGGCGAGGGTGGAGCGATGCGTCGAGCAAGTTAATTGTGGCTCCACAACTCGATAGCTTTTGTAGACCTATTTGTCTCTGCTGGGATAGATTAAACATTCATCTCGGCTCGCTTTTCCCAACCTCGAAAGGTTTTCTCATTTCGGTTCTTCAAACAGGAGAGTCTGGATTTATGAACAAAAAGAAATCAAACTTTGAGTCGGCCTTGTCTTTGCTTCGGCAAACTTGCGTACTGCTTTTATCAACCAACCTTTTTTTTTGTCTGCTCAGTGAAGGAAATCGACTCTCTCTCCCTTTATGACGGCGTTATCTTTTCCATGCAATATCTAAGTTGAGCCCCTACCTGTTTCCCACCCGGTCTGGATAAGAAAACAACAGTGGGAACCTGAAATCCCTCACGCTTCAGTGAATCTGCCAAATCCGGGCTCTGACATTTGCAAAGTCCGCTCGCTGGTGAACCGAACAATCCCGCTCAGTGCCAATTAGAGTTTGTCTCGACTGCTTCTCAGACAATCGATCGGACAAAGTGTGTTTCCTGGCTGCGTCCTCAAACCAGCCAACCTTAGCGGGAAATCAAGCATGCACCTGTAGTCATGCGAAGTCTGGTCCTTTAATTTGACAAACATGGAGATTTGTCAGCTCATAAGGAGCATATGGCGAGCAATGATGTGGGCATAAGTTTGCCATAAGTCGCACAAGCCTGAAGGGGGAGAAAGTACCAAGGCGCCATCTGCCAATTTGGGAAGATCCCAATTACAAAGCACTCATTGAATTATTCATCATGTCACTCGCAATAACAATGCAATGATTCACAAGAATGGAGGTGTTCAAACCAGTAATAGAACATGTCCATGAGTGGGGAAAAAACAAAGGCTTTCACTTTGCAGCGCAATGAGATTACATTAAATTTTCAGCAGCTGCCTGCAGAGTAAGAAAAGCTCTGAGCGAGTGTGATTTTAATTAAGGAAATACCGATGTTGGAAATCTGACTACATAATTCCAATCCGCGCGCACACGACGGAAACAATCGCGAGCAGCTGCTTGTTTGCGAGTTAAAGTGATGGAGCGAACGTATCTCAAAGACGGAGATCAAACTGAAAGAAATGTGCTCTCTCTGCACAGATGGGTTCATATAATTAGTGACACATTGAGGAATGTAGGCCAGTAAAATGTAAAATCCTAAAGCTGGTGCCACAAAAGCAGAACTATCTTAAATGACACGAGAGAGAGCGAGCGAGAGGGAGAGCTGTGAGAAGGAGATGAAACATGAGAGAGAAAACGCCACACTGGGATTCTGTCCCTCGCCCGCCGGGCTGACAGACTTTTAACAGCGACTTTGAACACACGGGCGGTAAAATCTTTGACAAGTTACTGAATTGTTTTACTTCAGGTTTCTTACGAGGACTATGAAGTCTCCCAGTAATATCTGCGTGTGAATAAAATGGAGTATTTCACTATAAACTGGCTTCTGCTTCAGGTTTCTGTGCCCGAATGATTTCCCTGTCCCAGATCTTTAAAGTTGTAAGCCTTAATTCACACAAAGCCCCTTATAAATTTTAATTGCTGGGTCTAAATCCTTTCAACAATAGACGCCAAGAAAATGTCACTATCTGAGCCCCCACTTAAGCTTATACTACTGCAGGTGGCTCACCTCCATGATCCATTGGGCCATCAGGAGCTGCTCGAGCGGCTGTGCCCTCTGTTTCTACTCAAGGGTTTAGGGATTAGCAGTTGACAGCGTGCAAACCGTGCAGCGCAGACAGCAAAGTGTAAGCAAATGAACTTGTTGTGCTGCAGCTGAATTACTTTAGTCCAGCTGGTATGAAGTGAAACAGAAAGAGGTTGTCTTGAGAGGAAAGTTTCTAAAAAGTGAAAGTGTTCTCCATCACTCTTGTTTTGACAGTCACTGCTTTTATGGGAAGAAGGGCTGCATGATTACTTAATTTTAAATTCTAATCGGATTATTTGATTCAGACGATGTTAAAAAAATTTAAATAGTCAAATCGATTTTCCTTCTTTTACCAGTGTAAACAAACATGGCGTTTGCAAAAGAAGGCGATAATTTCGTGGCTAAAAGGGGCGAGAGCGAGTCAGTCATGTTGAATCAGTACACCTTCGCAGTTTCAGATGAAGAGTAAACCACTCCACGCTGCAACGTCTGTCTGAAGGCAGTATCAACCCATCCACACGAAAAACTAAATTAGGTGTAAACGGAAAAGTCGTTTGTCATCCACATGGAAACATGACATTTTGGGTGATTGTAAATTATACTTTTTGAAAATGGGTCATAAATCCGTAAACGACGACCATTTCATCTCCGTGTGGATGTCTATCTGCATCTCTGGAAACGATTATGTGACACACAGCGAAACTCTTTTATGGCGCCTGCACATGTCCGGCCGAAACAGCGTTTATGCACATGCTCCGTACTCTTCTTCTGTCTTTTGTGCATTTCCTGGGTAGTGGTACAGCGCCACTCACTGGCTTGGCATATGCACTACATTGTTTTTAGCGGTTTAGTTTTTCAAAGATGATAAAAAAAACTTTCTATTTTTAAAGTGAAGTTTGATGAAGTTGTCACTGCATAAAAAATTTTAATCGAAAGTTGAGTTTTCAGAGAAAAAAAATCTGGATTTTTTTTTTGGCCAAAATCACGCAGCCCCAATGGGAAGTTAGTTTCAGTTTACCTTTAATAAAAATTGATTTTTAAATATGCGAGATAACTCTATTTCACTGTACCAGCAAAAGTAGGCATGTATCATGAGTGGGAGCACAGCTGCACACCGACCTCAGACTTCAAACATTGCTGTCAGTCGAAGGCACTGACGGTTCGAGCTACAATGGACCACCTTTGCACCTGTGAGCGCGAACATGTGTAACATCATTTGCGATTTACACCATGCCGGTGGGCACAGTGCACAAAATCAACACGTGCATCAGGTGGGAAAAAACAATAACATCAGCAGTAGCCTGCACCTGCTTACCGAGGAAATGGTTAATTTGGGGTTTTTGGTTTTGAGCTGGTTTATACCGAGCACGACTCTTCATAGGGGTCTGTTTCTGGGTGTATTTTTGTAGTTTCATCCTCGGTATATTGGGATTTTATCACTCAAATGATAAAAACTCTGAAAATAAGTTTCAGAGCTCTGTGGGTTCAATCACCGGATATACAACCCTCCTAAAGAAGTTCTTGTATTGCAAGCGTACAAAGCGAAAACACATAAAGCCGCTCTTGACTCAAACAAGAATATAAGACACCAACATATATGATAATAAGATTATTGCCCTTTCCAGTGAGGCACATCTCCTGGAAAAAAAGTGTTTTCTCTAAGGTATGGTTTTATCATCAAAATTCATTGAAACATGAATTTTAAAGCACACATATTGGAGTCTTGCAAAATGGATTGCAACGCTAGGATTGGGTTACTGCAGCAACTGCAATACCATGAATTTAATCTAAACCTACCTCCTACCTGAGCTATCACACCACTGTGATGAGTGTTAGCAATGTTCCCAGAGCCCGCTGTCTGCCCAGTCAACATTATTGGCTGTCAGAAAATCAGCAGAAGGAGACACTTTGGCAAGTCGATAATTCCCAGAGAGTAAGACGACACCGCGGGCTTTTGAGCAACCGCTGAGAGCTCTCACCGCATGAACAAAGTGACCTGTTGTTTCGCTCGGCGCAGGTTGACAATTTGCCATTCTGTCCAGCCTGCGCCGCAAAGCGAAACTCCCATTCTTCAAAAGGTGCCGTCAATGCTTCACATACAATGAAGCCATCAATTGTCAAGCATTGAATGGACCCTCAAGGACTCTCCAGGCTGCAGCCACGGATATTTGTCTCGCCCTCCTCTCCTGTGCCGTAGATGTGATTACTGCTGAATCAATGCAGCACAGAGAAAGCAAGAGTAAGAGGATCATTTCCCGTCTGTGCAAATGTCATCCTGGGCTGATTGTACAGTAGATGCACTCTTGATTAGATGAGTGGATCGATACAATGGTCCTTTTCTGCAATGCAGCTATCATTCAAACAATCTAAATGAGAAAGAGAGTCTTTCTTTCACTGGCTAAAGGTGAAAGAGAGAGAGTTAGCCTGGACAGTATGCTTTCATGAAAAGAGTAAAAGAGATAGAGAAGCACGTGTAGTTCATTTCCATAGAAGTGCTGTTGCTTAAAAGTTAAATGCAAAGATGTGAAAGTGGCCCGAGGTGACCTGTTGATAGAACGATGTGTCGGAGCAAGTTGAAAACATTTCACTTGAAGTTTGCACAGCTGCCAGAAACGCATCAATCTGCTTCAAACATGAAAGAGAAACGGACCCCAGCTCTGGTGAATTCAGAGTTCAGTGTGAGGCTGGGATCACTAACAAGCAACAAGATGCAGCCCCACAAGAGGGGTCTGTGAGGATGTTTTGAAGCGCCAAATTTCCTGGATGTTTCAACAGAGACGTGTATGCGACTCTTGGAAAACACCAAGAAAAGAGCCAAAATGAAGCAGAAAACCCATGAGTCAGACCAGGTCTGTCTTGCAGGTTGGCGCCAGTATGTGGTTGCACACGGCCACGCTAGGACATGCTATGCTATCCATCATCTACACTTGTTGACATTGGATGTAGCCGCTAGCCAGAGCTGTAGCACCTCTGTGAACTGCCCTCAGATGCACCAGTGCTTTCAGACTTAATATTTTATAATTAGTGTTAAACACAAAGTACAGCTGATACTTAGGGAAAAGTCACTGGTTTCAAGTGAAATTTTGATTTGGAGGATTATTGAAGTTAAAGGGATATTCCGGCGTAAAATTGAGTTAGGGTAAAACACACCGTAACATCGAGTTAGACACCCCGTTGAGAGATGAATGTTGCTGACCGCTTACTACCGACTGTTAGCTACAAAACATTTCTTCATCAAAGAGACTAAACACCACCAACCTACTCTCTTCCAGCAGCCGCTTGTTTGTAGCGAGACCTCAGACCAGTCCATTACGGACTACAGTGGGGTGATGCAACTCAAGGAAGAACATTTATGATCATTTCTTCATGGAAATACAATCAGACAGAGACGCTAAGGCATAAGAACTACCGCGTCTGCAGTGGAAAATAGTAAATATGGTGATTATTACTTCAAGAAAATGATAAAGAAATGATCATAAATGTTCTTCCTTGAGCTGCGTCACCCCGCTGTAGTCCGTAATGGATTGACCTGCGGTCTCGCTACAAACGAATGGCTGCTGGATAAGAGTAGATGAGTTGTGTTTAGTCTCTTTGCTAAAGAAATCAGGCAAAGTTACAAAGATGTTTGGTGTCTAGTACTATGGCTGTGACCCTATATGTACTGTTGATGAAGTTAGGTGCTGTTCTGAGTATTATTTGTGGCTATAGAGTGGTGTTTTGGTTGAGGTTTGTTTATGGCTCCTCAGACCACTGTGTATTGCTATCATGTGGTCGTTACTAAAGTTGGTATAACTAGAGAAGCAAGCAGTTGGCTGTCTAACTCGGTGTGACGTGTGTTTGACCCTAAATTAATTTTACGCTGGAATATCCCTTTAATGCATTTTTTTTTTTTTAGATTAATTCTCTGTTGATATTAACACCTTATAAACATTTGCAGTAAAACAAAGATGCTGGGCTGAATGAATCTGAGGTGATACAGACACTCACACTATAATGACCTTTTTTTTTAACAATGTATAAACCGCAGAATGACAGAAGACAGAATGACACAGTTAGTTGGGTGTTTTCAAATTATAATTAAAGATATTTTGGGGACTGATTCATCCCTTTGTGCTACACCCTGTCATTACAGATGCTATCCCATTACACAGTGAAAACACAACGTAACAACATACGACTTCTGAAAACCGTCAAGTGTGTGCTAAAGTAGGTCACGCTGGTTTTATGTAATAACATAGAAATACTTGAATCCTGTTTTCTCTGAAAAGACGAGATAGCTGCACAAAAATGCTGCAATATCATATTATTTTGACGCAAAACAAAACAGCTAAAAGTTAAAAACCTGTTTCAAACACATGAATCGACCACTTCAGAAGTTGTTTCTTCCTTCGAGGACTGAACTTCACGTCACATTTTGGATATTTTTACACAACTTCTCGCAGATGAACTCATTCAGTAGCGGGAATAATTGCAAAATCTAAACTTTCATTTACAATCAACGCCAAGAAGTCAAAAAACAAGAAACCACCTGATCCTTTCTTTATCCGTCTGAACTGGCATGAGACTAAGACGAAACGATGACTCTTTCATCATCGGCTTTCTTTGAGTGTTTCTTCCACAAGTTCAGACCTAGTTCACCTCTTTCTTTTCAGCCTTAAACCTTTTGTACACTCCGCTGACAGTAGCTGTCACGCTTGAGTGCAAAGCTTACAATTAGTCTGCACACCCTCTTATGATGAGAGCTAGGTGCTTTCTGCTCCCAGTTATCAAGACAGATTCAGCTGAACTCCCCGAAAAGAAAGAGTTTTACTTTATTTATAGAGTTATACGATCATACCAGCATGTGACTCATATTTATTATCTCCCTGAGGTTCATCACTTCAACTCTATCATAGTCAGATCCATCTAGATCTGGCCAATGCTCAGCACAGACTAAAAAACACCAGACTACATCTTTAATCGCTCTCCTCGTCAGTGTCATTCAACCCAGGCGCAAGATTTTCAATATTTACCCAATTATAACTCAACTTTTAACGCCAGCAATCCATCTCCTGCTGCAAACCCCCATGTACAAATCCTGCCCTTAAAGAAAAAACACACTGTGCATGCACAAAGACTAAAGGCCAGTGGGATATCTTCTGCAAAAAAAACTCACCCCGCTCTGGTTTGGCTCCTTTAAGTAATGAAGCCACAACACCGAAACCAGAACAGGATAAAAGCTACAAAGCACCGCAGGAGCTAACAACCCCAGCAGTCCAGGTTCATTAAAAGCAACCTGAGCCTTTATTATATGGAGCTTCTGTCTGTCCGAACAGCGGTCTGTGCGAAACTCAAACAGCAGACACCAAAGGGATCAGTCGTTCTCACAGAGAAGCGTTTGTGCAGCCTGATCTCACTTTTAATACGTTTTTTAGTTTTCAGGGTTAAATGGGGTGATGATATTTCCAAACCTCAACAAACCTGCTGACACCTGGATGACAGTTTTAATCTATTTATCTATTACCAGGTTAATATATATGGAGATTTTCACCCCCTTTATGGTAAAGCTTCAGTGTTTCCTCTGTAGTGTATTTGGCTGGACAGACCGCCCTGCCAACGAGATCCTAACCCAGAAATTAAATTAGAGATATATATAAGTTTAATTTTCATTTTTATCTAATCAGCCTATAAAAATTTGCGAAATTTCAGATTCTAAAGCTCGCAATTGTTTCATAACTTTCAAGAAAAATGTATCTCTCCACTCCTCTGTAAGGAGCAGGGCTCACGCGTGCTGATATACCACGCCTTCCGCGGGTAGCGTGCAAATTTTTTTTCGTAGGATGGCAGGGAAAGGTCCCGTCCTCCTTCGCCTCTGATTGGCTAGAAGTGCTGGGATTCGATTGGTTATTCCTTATGGCTGTGATACCTCATCGTCTGTCTGGTTAGGGTTAGGAGATTCAGAAGTGCGACAATGTTCTGTTCGATGTACAGAGCCGACAGCCTGCGTTCGGCTTGAGTGTGTGATGACGTTTCCAGCTTTTCTAGCCAATCGGAGGCAAAGGAGGCGGGACTTTCCCCTACCATCCAAAGAAAAAAATCATTCCTGTATTCTGGTCGTGAGCACTTAACGCTCATACCCTTGAAGTCTTGCGCGGGATGGTTTTGACAACCCGAGGTTCTGGCTCCTTTCCATCATGTTAGCCGCCAACAAAACAAGAATAAAAGTGGTCATGGAGCACTGAACTGTATTTGAACATTCAGCACCCCGATTAAAATATCTGCATTCTTGAAAAAGATGGTATGTGGTGATGCAGACGTGGCACATTGTCTTGTGGATGATAACTTGAGCATGTCTCCTTACCCCGATAACAGCGATGGCTCATCTCACGCCACCCCCCGTATGACGCCAAAGCAAAAACACTCGGGGGAAACACTGAGCTTTATGTGTCTGACCATCTTTGGCACAGGCCATCCCCTCAGCGCCGTAAAATGACTCCTTAGAAAAAGACCATTGTGTCAGTTTGTGTTTCACTTGTTTGAGGAAGTTTCATGAGCTTCATTTTTATCTACCTGGCCTGTAAAGTCATGACACATACGACCCGATAGCGCCTGATTTTGAAGTCCCTCTTTCTCCGCCATCGTATAAAGTTCGAGTAGAAATAACCTGGAGACAGAGTGTTCTTTCCAAATATAGGACCCCTGGATGTCTCCTTTGTTAGTTTGTACAAGCGACAGAGCACAGGACACACAGATTAACCTGTGGCTCACGCTCCTCCGACCACATTAGTCATCGCAGCCGCTGTGTCAACCTCGATTGGACAGGCGTTTACTCACAAAGGGCGTTTATCTTCGCCACACAGGGCCATGTAGTCAGCCTTTTATCTCAAACTATATGGTGATTCAGAGGTTCAGCAATCAGGACCCCGGAGCAAAGTCTTTGTGTCGAGCATCTGCGCTCCACTTTTTTAATAACAGACACTCAGCACAAACGTTGGAAATGTTGTGTCACGGTTTATTCTTCGCTTTATTGTTCAGAAAATAGCCATGACTGAATTAGCTTCAACCACAAAAACCCTCCCTCTGTCTGCACCACAATAACATGACTTCATACTGGATGATTCAGCCTGGACTCTTGAACTCTGCAACTCTATAAAATTGTTTAAGTCAAACAATCTCGTAAGTTGCGTTACATAACGAGGACGCGAGTCATAATAAGTTCATGGATCCCGCTCAGCTGGAGGGCATCTTTATCCGGTACAGTGTCACTGCACTTGTTCTGTTTCATTAACATGGGCATACACGCTGTATTTTTACTGTAATTTAATGATAACCAGACAACCAGCGCTTTAGCAGAGTGTGAGACGTCGATTCAAGGCCACATGAAACTGCAGGATTAGGACTGCTTCTCTTTTTCAAAATAGGGTCGCAAGTTCAGATTCTTGGTGGCGTGTGAGGCAGTAATGATGAGGATGATGACGACTGAGGAGCAGAAATGAGGGGTCTGGTTAACGACCACACAAAGGCAGCTTTGTAGTGTTTCTTTAAAAACGTTCATTCCTCACTATTTTTGTTTTATCTTTGCAGCAGATTTTCAAAACTTTTACAAGACTCAACATTTTTAGACAGAAATAAGGGGGGTTAATTTGAGAAATAAAGTCCACATCTCTTATTAAATGTTAAAAAGACAGGAGAGAAAAGGAAAGTTGTGAAATGCCAGACTGGTGAATGACGAAAAAATATGTGAAAAAGTCAGAAATTTAAGGGATACTCCAGCGTAAAATTAATTTAGGGTCTCTTTGCTAAAGAAATTAGTCAAAGTTAAAAAGATGTTTGGTGGCCGTGACCCTATATGTCCTGTTGATGAAGTTAGGTGCTGTTCTGAGCATTATTTGTGGCTATAGAGTGGCGTTTTGGTTGAGGTTTGTTTATGGCTCCTCAGACCGCTCTGTATTGCTATTGTGTGGTCATTACTAAAGTTGGTATAACTAGAGAAACAAGCAGTCGGCAACATTCATCTCTCAAGGGGGGGTTTCTAACTCGGCCGGAATTTTTCTATAAGTCTGTGATCATGTGAATGGACTCAAAACAACTAACTAAGGATGGGCGATGAATTATCGTTCAAGATTTATCATCAGAAAATTCCTCCACGATAAATATTTGCCATCTCACGATAAGCGCGATAAATACAAGTTGATGATGTAAGCGCGAGCCGTAGCTAACACAGATAAGACTATCAAACAAACATGGCTGAAGTTGGTGAAGAAGACGTCTCTGAGCAGTTTGTTACTGAACGAGGCTCCACATGAGGGATTCTGCTCATTCTGTGCAATAAGAGATGTTTTTACATTTCACTAGTTTTCTCTATAACTTTCCACTTAAACTTGTAGTTAAGTATCTTGTTTGACTATTCCAACTGGTGTCCTCAAGACAGAATGAGTCAAAAATATAGATAGGAATTTCAATATTTTTTATCGGAACTTTTATCGTTATCGGCAGAATGGCAAAACTTAGAGTGATACATTTTTTAGCCTATATCGGCCATCCCTACAACTAACCCTAAAACTGAGATTCAGGGACTCAGGATATATTTTTCCACTGAGCGTCTTGGACTATGATGTAGTGTTGGGCGACCATACGTCCCCTTTTACGCGGACATGTCCTCTATTGTGGGGGCTGACCGGGCTGTCCAGGTTTGTCAGGGGAAGTTTATAAAATCCTTCAAATGTCCGGGGTTTTGTATGGAAGTCTCGAGTTTGTGTCACGTGGACTGAGTTAGAAGCTCGTAAAAGACACTCAATCCAACCTGAAAAACTCTCAAAATTAACTTTGTGCGACTCCATGACTCCGCCCCCACGTAGTCGTGTCCTCTTTTGGGATTACAGTCACCCTAATGTAGTGTCACATACAAGCTGTGTAGCTGGTAAGCATCTCATTGCTACCTAATGTCACATACTGAGAGTTGAATCTGTTTAATCAAAAGTCAGATTTGAGGTGTAAACTCTCAAAGCTGGCAGGTAAATACTGACATGTTAAAGAGGTCACACACTCACATATACATGGAAAGACTTTCATGTCGCACTCCTGCTGACGCAAGTTTGAAATAAATTTGAAATACATCATTCTTATATTTTTGTGACTATTACAAGAGCTGCTGTAATACTGAGTTTGGATTGCAGCATTTAGGGAGAATTTCATGCAGTTTAATCATAAATTTCCTGTATTCTAACATTCCTGCTGCTCCCAGACTCTTTCAAGGTGAGTTTGACGTTAAGACGGGAATGATCTCATTAACATTGAAGAGCTTGTAAGTTAGGTAACAGTTAATTACTAAGAGGCAAGGACGTGTCCACACCTTCCATTTAGAGGTGTATTGATTTAATAGACTTAAATGGTTTTTAGTGACAGTTTTTAGGAGGGTACCGTTCTTAAGTCTTCTCCTCATTGGAACTGCTAATTAAGATTGCACATGCTCCACAGTTTCCTCTCCATCTATGGCCCGAGGCTGCTGAATAAAAGGACCACTTCAAACAGCAAGAGAGCATCTAATTAAATTTCGCCGCAAATTAATGAGACACTGTGTTTACGCCTCTGCAGCACGATTAGTGCAGCTAGCAAGACTGTGTAAAACTGATGCTAGTGGTAAGTTTTAAAGAGGCTCAGGGAGTCCATTACTGTTCTCCCATCTCACCAGCACCTAAATGATATGCAGATACTCGAAGCTGATGTTCCTCTACGGATGAAAAACCTTGTTTAATACAGTAGCCTGAATGGCCTCTTTACATTTACTAGCTTGTCCTGATATGACTTTGCCACAAATCGTACTCAGGGTCGGCTGATTGGAGCCTCTTCCTGTTGCTTGATGTTGTTTTACTACATGCAGTTTCAGAGGATGCGAAGTCGTCTTTCTAAATCCCACATAGAAATATAGGGATATTACTTATATTATAGGCAGGACTGCATGATTTTGGCCAAAAATAAAATCCAAATTTTCTCTAACAACTCAATTTCAGTAAAAACTTCACCAAACTTCACTTTCAAAATAAAGTCTTTTAATCATCTCTAAGGACAAAACCACTGAAAACGATGTAGAGCATATGCCAGGCCAGTAAGTGGCGCTATAATGCTGCCAAAGAAATGCACAAAAGACAGAAGAAGAGTACAGATCATGTGTATAAAGGTTGTTTTGGCCGGACAAGTGCAGGCGCTATATCAGGCGTGTCATATCATCTTTTCGAGAGATGCAGATAGGCATCCACACGGAGATGATATGGTAGTCGTGGTCCCATTTTCAAAAAGTACCATTTACAGTCACCCGAAACGCTATTTCTGTGTAGATCAAACGCCGATACCACAAAAAAAAATTCCTTTTACTCCTGAATTTGTTTCCGTGTGGACGGGTTGATACCGCCTTCAGACAGACTTTGCAGCGTGGAGTGGTTTGCTCTTCATCCGAAACTGCGAAGCCGTACCAATTCCACACGACTGACTCGCTCTTGTCCTATTTAACCATAAAATTATCGCCTTCTTTTGCAAACCCCATGTTTGTGTGGGAACTGGGGAGCACTCCTGCAGGAAGGAGGAGCCTATGGTGGCCTGGAGGCACAAGACATGATGGAGAGGAAAATCAATCTGACAATCTTAATTTTTTTAATATCGTCATAATTAAATAATCCGATGGAGATTTAAAATTGATCACTTGTGCAGCCCTAATTATAAGTTTTGTATTTGTCACAGGTCGCTTATGAAAGTGAGTGTTTTTGAAACAACATCAGAGTCAAAGCAAAAGTCGAGCTGACTGACACATTGTGAACCCGAACAGCTGATCTCTGCGCTGAATGCAGAAGGAAACATGTGGCTTCTGCAAAAAAAATGCAACCTCTGATGGAAAATGTCCAATTCCAGGCTGAGTTTTTACCAACATTAGTGCTTCGGTTGGAGTTTCTTAAAATCAGCTTAATTACAGGATGGAGTTGACCCCATCTGCAGCGGTTCATAGCTTCAGTTTCTGTGTCAGCATTCCTGTCAGTTTCTTAATAAAGGGCCTGAGCCGATAACCTGACCAGCCCACTGGTGTCCTCTGCAGCTAACACACTCAATATCCACACGTATCTCACACTGACCCACTTAAAATGAAGGAAGACGGTTGATAGGTGTTATGATTACTCCAATACTACCACTCCAGACTAAACCTGGGGGATCACGGACATTCAAACAGTCTCCAAACAACAAGACCTGGTCTTGGTCTTATGTTGCTCACATACAGAGTTCTGACAGACCCTGGAGAGGAAAGTGTGCATCAAAGATGTTACCTCAGTGCACAAAATCAGCACATTTGCAAACTTTTTTTCACTCTGTAGTCCACCAAACACTCTTAGTCATAATCTGAGTAATTTCACAACAACATGACTGACCTACCAGCTGTAGTAGGTCACGTCAAGATCAGCTCATGATGCCTCAACAACAACTTCCTGCTGGTTGTAGAGGCTGTCGCTTGATATCATCTGCTGAACATAGCAAAACTGAGGTCCATGATTTCTAGACCTGAAATGGAGATGATAATTCATGCCTTTGTTTCATCTCGCATTGACTACTGTAATGCTCTTTTTATGTGTTTTAACAAAAACGCTGTAAATCGCCTTCAAACTGTACAAAATGCAGCTGCGAGGCTTGTAACTGGACCGGAGAAAAGGGACCATATCATCCCAATTTTATATTCCCTCCACTGGTTAATTTTAAGATTTTAGTTCTTGCTTCTCGAGCCCTCCATGATCGAGCTCCCTCGTACATCACTGAGCTGCTGAGACCCTATTCCCCCTCACGTTCACTAAGGTCATCAGACCACAAACACTTAATGGTCCCTCGCACCCGTTTTAAAACACGAGGTGACCGCTCTTTCCAGGCTAGTGCCCCTCGCAAGTTTTACGAAAGGACTTAAAACTTTAAAAATCTTTTTAGACGGGCTTTTAGCTGATGTTGACGTTGTGGGGCCTCTGTGAAGTGCTTGTATCAGTGCCATGATATGTATTGTGTTTCTCTGTTTCCTATTGGATTTGATCCTTTTTGTAAATTTACTTACTTACTTAATCAATCAATCATCAATCAAAGTTTATTTATCTGGCTCCAATTCACAACAGCCGTCATCCTTTCCCTAAGAAAAAGAGCAGGTCTAGAGCACGTTCACTTAAAGCTCCTGTTGATTTTCTGGACAAAGGTTGTGACAATCTCCCCAAAACAGTCATTTAAATTACAACATAGAAGTTGACAGTCGTGTCCTTGACGGTCTCATTTGTTTCGGTGCATCATAGAGATGCGTCAAAGTTAATTCCAACTGATCAGAAACTCCTCACAGGAGCTTTAAGATTCACTTAAAGGCAGTTCGTTTTCCTCTTTCGGCTATTTTGATATTTTAATAATCAGGCTGTAAACTCACCCTGCAGCATCAGGACAAAATGATGCAAGGGTTCAACAAAAATCCATCCTGTTGTGTGTTGTTTCCACCAATCAGTAACTCAGTAGTCATCGTATTTGCCTAAATCAACCACATGTCCGAGGATAACCACGTGTCGGGCAGCGGGACAACAGACACAACCGTGTTCTCTCTAAACTTCTCAGCGAGGCCGACAAACTCACAGAGCATACCTGGTTTTAACAGCCTGTATTTAAGAGGCTCATATCTGCTTTAACAAGACTCCTCTTGTCCTCCAAGGGTCTCACGAATAAAGGCTCTTATTTCTGTCTGTTGGGCCAAAAGTATTTAAACACGAGGATTTATGGCGGTGCAGTTATTGCATTGAGACACAGCATTGTAGGCTTGACGTAGGAGATTTTTTCAACAAACACAGTCGTATATCAGTGCAGCAGCTGAATTGTCAGGAAGGTATGAGAAAATAGATACCACCCAAGCATAATAAGAAAGTTTCCAGCCTTGGTGCTTTTGTACAAACTGTGCTCACAGACTGTACATTTTCCACCCAGGAGGGGAAATGATGCATAGAGCTGGCTGTATGTCCCCTACAGATAAGAGCGGGCTGACGCTGACACTAAATGCTGCAGTTCATCACCAAACCTCTCTGCTGCCTTCAGCCAATATCTGACCTGCAACACTTGGAGCGACCTTTCTGGACTTTCCTCTGAACACTGCTCTGTGTGTTCTCCCACAGCAGGAAAGTTGAACGTGCCTTTTTCTCAGACTTTCCTCAGCTTACCGACTATCTGACATCCAATCCCAACAGCCTCATTACCCACTGCAAGAGTGTTGTTGCGACACGACAGATCAGGAGGAGGTGCCAGCAGGTTCAGGTGTGGGTCTTGGCCCGCGTGAGAACTGCAGTTGGAGTGGACTTTGGCCCTGCCTCACGCCACAACACTTTCCTCCCTAAGAAAGACTCAGAGAGGCTTAAACACAACAAAACAAACAACTGTGGCGTTTGGACAAAGATCTATACATGAACTAAAAGTATTCTGCGGCGTCGCGCGCAAAATGTCCAAATTCAGAGATTAAATGATGCGTAAAAATCAAAGACATAAAATATGAGGACGTTACGGCGACGTGAATGCGTAAATCGAGGTGACACGTTACATGTTTAACCCAAATATCAGTAAACATGAGGCAGAAAAGAGTGAAAGTGTTCCCACTTCAGTTTCGCTTAATTTTACGCACGAGTTCCGTGACGAAAACTTTCCCTTACGCAGCGCCTCAGCCTGTACTGCGCTTCAACTTCCTTTATTTATGAATCTGAACATATAAAACTTCTTCAACCGTCTTACCTTCCCAGTGTCTTCTGCAAGATCCAAAAGTGGCGAGATAGGAGAGAGAGACGGCGCACAAAATCCACCACTTGTTGGACAGAGCCATGCTTCCACTTCTGCTGCTGCTGCTGCTGCTGCTGCTACACGGGGGGCTGATCTGCGCTGTGAGTGAAGTTAAGAGGGAAACTTCATCAAGTTGTAGGGCTGAAGTGTGCGCGTGTGCGAGTAGGAGTGTGTGCGGGGTGCGTACTTCCGTTTGATAACACTTCTTCTCCCCGGTCTGGTTTAGATAAGAAATAGTCCTTCCAAATAATTCCCTGCACTGTAACTTCATCAGAGTGGGCTAAAACTTCCGATGACTCATTACGCTTCCCAAAGAAAAACGTCAAAAACTCTGAACAGTTTGTTTTATCGTCTCACTCCTCTTCTTTTCCCATCATTTTGTCACAGACTGGGTTATTTTTGTACTGAAATATTAAAACTCCCCTGAACTACAGCTCTCCTTGTACAACAGTGTTAGGGCCACGTTAAGAAAAAAAACGAGACTTCGTAATTACTTATGAGAATAAAGTCATGATAAAGTAATAACTTACAAAAATAAAGTCATAATAAAGTAATTACGTACGAGAATAAAGTCGTAACAAAGTAATTACTTACAAGAATAAAATCGTAGTAAAATAACTACTTTCAAGAATAAAGTCGTAATAAAGTTATTGCTTACTAGAATTAAAATTGTAACAAAGTAATTACTAAAGAGAATAAAGTCGTAATAAATTGATTACTTACGAGAAGAGAGTCAGAACAGAATCATTACTTAAAGTTGAACTTAAAGTCGTAGCTAATAGCTATTCTAACCTGTTGTTAGTTGTTCAAATGAGCGCTGTGGAGCATTTTGATTAATTGAACTTCAGTATCTCGGTTTCACAAACAAGGAGATACTAAATCCTTTGGCATTTCAGCATCACATTGTCAGAAGTATCAGGACATGTGCAAGAAATGTATCTTTTCCGTTGAAAGAACCAGGCGGACTTGTAGGGAATCGCTGTTTTTGAGGAGGGCGAAATGGCTGGAAATGACTGCGCAGAGGCTAAATCCCTGAATGCAGCCTTTTATAGCAATATAATATGGCTTTAGTTAATCGTATGAATCTATCTGCCATAAGGTGTTGCTGTCGGTGTTGTGCCGGCGTCAGAGACAGACATGATGCTCGTCGTAGATCAACTCCCTCTGAATCACAAATGTTGATCATCAGTTGGATTGTTTCTTGAGAAACAACAAAAACTCTCTGAATGACCCACTGATGACCCCACTGATAACTCTGCAGTTGACCAGTTCAGACATTTCCTCCTCCACAAAAGCAGCTTTAAGACTTTATTTACTTTACGACTTTATTCTCGTAAGAAATGATTTTATTACGACATTATTCTCGTAAGTAGTGACTTTAATCTCGAAGTCATAATTTTTTTTCTTAATGTGGCCCTAAGTTGCTTGCCCTTAGTTGCCCTTAGTTGCATCTTCTCAGCCTCTCAACATTGCCTCAATCTGCAGGAATTCATCTCCAACTGATGAGATTTTTTCTCTTTTTTTTTTTTTACCCACACTCGGCTGTCTCTTTCATTCAGGAAACTCTCACCTGAGTAATAACCTTTGGAGAGGTCTGAAACCACATTCGGGCTTTTTTTCGCTGGTGACACATACTGTAATTGAGCCTCGAGCCGGCAGATATGTATGCTGAAATTACAGTCTGCCAGTCTATTTGCACCCGCACTTTGAAAAAGTGAATGGATTCATTACAGCGTGTTGGATATCACAAAGGATGACAAACAGGCGGGTTTGCCCAGAGTAAAAATTCACACTCTCTGATTAAAGCTGATTGTCATCTGCAGTACGAGCAGGAAAAGTTATCGGAGACAGTTTCGTGATTAGGATAAGTTTTGGAAACTTTCTTTAGTGAATTTAAGACTAAAGATCAAAGAAAAGGCCCCGACATGAGCCAAAGGAAACCAGGATACCCATGACACCAAAAACCTTAACCTTCAACAACTGTGATACAATCAAGACCTCAGTGTTTACAGCAGTGAGCGGCAAGATACATGTAAAGACAATCAACACACTTTTCCACTGATACCGTCAGTTTAACATTTATGTACTGACCTCTCTTCACCACAGACAAATATCAACAATGTGTACTTCCTTTAATTAAAGTTGTGTACTAATACGGCTCATTTAAATACCGGGTGTGTACTGTTTCACTTTTACTCTTGTTCTGTTTGACTATTTCCCAGAACAGACCCCTACAGAATTGGTCATTACAGTTACAATAGCAGTGGGTGAACTTAAATGGCCTTCACAGATCCCTGACTTCATATCCAACATCTATTATAAAAAAAAAAATGGAAACCCCCCCTAGAGCCAGGGATTATCTCCCAACAAAACCGCCTCCCTCCACTAATCCTTTTGTGGCTGAAATGGAGCAAATTCCAGCAAATTCAGACAAAACACTACACTGACAGTTTTTAGTTCACCAACCAGGATAATGGTGTAATATATGAGGCATAAAGTTGAGAACTTTTACAACTGGGAATTAAAAGTGGAAAACAGTTTGTATGGAAATTAGCAGAAGAGGCATATTGTTATAAGTTTGTTTAAATTTGTTTTTGATCAACTGAACAATATCAGAGACTCTTATTATCTCTTTAATGAATGCAGTTGACTTGATTACATGTTATCATTCATTTTAAATTACGAACATTAAACAGACACTTCTTCAGACAAGTGCTTGTTTAAGAAGCTTTTATTTTGATGTTTTACTCTGTGGTGTTCATGTAGCTGTATTTTAAAGCATGCTTTTATTCTGAAGTGGTGTATTTGCTCATTCTAATGTACAGTAAGTTAAAAAAAAATGAATAAAAGGTCAGAAGGTTTTACGCACCCCCGCAGGCATGTCCAAACTATTCCACAAAGGGCCGGTGTGGCTGCAGGTTTTTCTTCCAACCGAGCAGCAGCACACCAGACTTGATTCAGTTCATCAGCTGATCTCAGTCTTCAGACAGCTGATTGGTCAGACTGCGTGCTCTTGATTGGTTGGAAGAAAAACCTGCAGCCACACCGGCCCTTTGTGGAATAGTTTGGACATGCCTGCAAGAGGCACAAACTCTTACATGTGTTTGAATTCAACATGAATCATGAGGTCTGCTACAGCTTCTTAATCTTTCACCTCTAAAACTTAATTTTTAGCATTGCATTTTAGTTTTCAAGATTGTTATCATCAATATAAGTGTATTGAATCATATATATATAAATTCATTGTCTAAATAGGAGCAGGCACTTACACCCATATGTCTCTGATGTCACTGATAGGCCACCATCCCTATACAACAAGAGGGGTGAGCAAGGGAGCGGTTAAATCTAGACTCTCATAGCTAGTTATTCCTAAATATTCTAATTTCTTCTACTACTACCTACGCTGTGTTTTCATATTCCTACCAATACCCCATCATTATGGGGCGTCTCTACCATCCCGACCTCTGCTGACCTGTATATTGAGTCAAATAGACTCTGATTTGATTCAGTTAAGTCCAAAAGAGCTTGTTTAAGCAGCTTTTATTTTCTTCGTTTCTTATTTTCTCCAGTGAGTCGAGCTTTGCCATCAGAGTGACTGATTTATTTGTACACCAAATACCCCAGCTTTAAGTAGTCTTTGTCTCTAATTGTACAGTTTATTGGGACAAAGGCTCAACTTGTCGGGACTAAGACGTCTGGCTTTCAGATAAATGCGACTCTTTTAGTGGTTCAGAATATCTGTTGTGGTTTTAAATCTTTTATTTTCAGTATAAAGCCTCACACAGCTGCCAGGGAGAGTGATCAGCATACAAACTGAGAGATATTGGAGGTTGATATTGTTCCAAATATGATGCCCACTGCCAAAGTTTTCGCCACACTTGCCAAGACATACTTTCTATTTGGGCCAAAGTGAAGACAGGAGGTTCTGGTCCAACAGCCCAGAACATCTGGTAAAGTCTGAGCAGGGAAATTTAACAAAGTTTGTTCCCTCTCCCCGAGGGGACACCGAGGTGCCATGAAACCAGCCTCCCAAACCTGAACTGCTCCCTCCGAGCTCGTAAACAGCCAGCAGTAGAAGTCTGGTCGTATCGGTCAGCTCCCCGAGGAGACTGTGTGCGACAATAAAGAGTGAGGCAGAGAAGGAAATAAAAAGAGTGTGCTTTCCTTTGGCAAACAGAGATCTACAAATGTCATTGATTTACAGATAAAGTAAGAGCTTTAGCATCTCCACTCCAGGATGTCATGAAGATAACTGACCCACTTACACCCATTGAGATATTACCATTAACTTTATGAGTCAGTTAAAGCACATTAACTCACTCTGAGTAAACTATGACTCTTTCATTTGCATAAGTCAATATCTGCCTCGTAATACTTTTATTGTGAAATGGTGTGTCATCGTTAGTAAAGGTTTAACATGAGCTGAATGGAGCAGCAGGGAGTTTTGGTACAATACTCATTTCCTAAGAGTGTGGAGACAGTAGAGAGGAGTTTTTCAGTTTTCACTTCTCATTGACAGGAATTTGAATTAATTTAAGTTTGGGGGGAAAAACAAGATACTGCAAGGTTTCAGACGTTTGCCCTTTGCAGGTCAGATGATGGTGTAAACAGCCTATGATTGGTCAACAGACCAAAACAAATGACCTTTGCTGAGCAAAGTTAGCTAAGTACAAAGCAATACATAAATCCTCAAAGATCACCGTCTTTTTTGAGTGACTGGATCCAGACAGTCTCAGATTTTCTTAGATTTGGATGTTGCAGAAACATGTGGAGCTGCGAAAGTATAGTGGCATTTACAGTACAGTACTGTTAGAGAAGATATTACTGTAAACACGATATTATGTCCGACATAACAGCATCAGTCTGAGGGGTTTCATTCTTAATCACACTGTAAAAAAAGTCTGTTAAACCTCAACAGTACAAGACCGTAAATTCTTGAAAAGTCAATAATAGTTTTTGTAACGGTAGACTACCATTAATTCGTTTATCAGCTCAAAAAGTAAATTTTATTCTTTTCTCCTGTAAAGAAAGACAAAAATTTACAATCAAAAGCTCAAACACTATCAAAAACAAAAAAATACTGTAAATTTATTAACACTGAGTGCTGTAATTTTTGCACTAAAATTAAGTAAAATAATATAAAGCTACTGTAAATTGTATGAACCACAGTGATTTAAACAGAAAAATACTGTAATTATTAAAAAAACAATGCAAAAAAAAAAAAAGTTTAGGTAAAATCACATGGCACCTCTGTAAATATATTGACCCTCATGTTAATAACAGTATTTAACCGTAAAATTAGATATGAACATCTCTGTTAATTTGATAATAATACTCTGTAGGAAATACACGCTGTTAACGTCAATTGTATCAAAATACAGTTTTTGAAACTGGAATTAACACCTAAAATTAGACAATCCCACTTTTAAAAAGAGATTTCTGATGTTTTTGGGTCGATGTGGCACTCTCTATATAATACATTTCTCTAATAATGACGTTAAAGGACATGAAAAAAAAACAAAAACCAGCAGAGGGGCCTCTTGCTCTACATTCCCCCTGTAATTCCCTTCACACCGGCTCAAGAACATTACAGTCATTTATAATTTTGCTCTTTGCTTGGTGATTTGTAGATAAACCATAATCTACCTGGTCAAAGGGGTCCTGTATAGACTGGACTATCATTGGGGCCCTTGACTTTAAAGTAATGAGGCCAAATGTGATGTATTTAATGAGGCCCAAAGTCCCCGGTGTTGCCCCACTTTACCTTGAAGCAAAACTTTGAAACCAGCGAGTGGGATCTTTAAATCACTTTACAACCTGCCCAAGGATGTATACCGTTAATTTTCTGTGGTATTTGTTATATAATTTTAACAGCAAAGGATTTTAAAGAGGTTTAATTAGGATGCAAAGAAACAATAATAATCAGCAGTAGATGCGAAAGAAAAAGAGTGGATTCTTTCAACCCAGATCTGTCCGATTAGTCCAGGTTTGAGCCTCAGATCCTTAAAATGACCCTGAAGTACTTTGCCACACTACGCTGACTTGAGACTCTGTCAGTGTTCATGCTCGGTGGTGCATCTGTGCACATGTGTGAGATGTCAGTGCCCAAGAATGCGGCCGTCTGCGAGACTAATGGTGCAGTGTTATTACTCACTGTGTTCAGGGAAACTGTCTGTGCATCTGTGGTTCGCCACTTTCTACAGGGGGGAAAAAATGAGCTGACAGCGAGTCACATGGTTTAATCTACAGCAAAGCTCCGATGGAATTTCCTGTGTGCTAATTTCCCACGATATCATGACCTCAATATCCCTCACTAAAAATAATGTGTTGTAGGGAGACGACTGCTGACAGCTGATGGGTTGAGGCAGACGTTTTAACGACACTGACTGTTCTCTGTTCTCAAGGACTCACTGTACAGTAACCTCAGACAACCGGGGAACCGTGCTGTTACCCGCCTGTGAGAGAGAATGACATAAAATGAGACATTTTTACATTTTATAACAAATATAGTCTGCTTTTTTCAAATATGTGATGAAATAGTTGTTTTATTTACTTAATTGCACTTAGTTGGCTTTGTTCCGCTGCCATTGCCTGGATTGCAGGACAGGATGTTGCTCCACTTTTCCCTCTCAGAGATGGTCAAGGTCCAGAATCTGCTCAGGCTGCTCTCACATCTATCATTTTTGATTTTGAAGACCAACCCGAAACGCCAACCCTCTTTACGCCTCAATGTCTGCCATTACAAACGCTCACGATAGCTGGCGTTCTTGCCACAGTGTCAACACGGCAGGACTCCTTTCTGGTGATTGATTCAGTTCTCTTACTCAGTGGTCGGACTGTAGATCCTTCATATCTAACTGCACCTGTGTGTCAAAGAGTTGGCCAATCCTCCAAGTAGTCCGTCATCTCCAAGGTTGTTTGGGTCCAACAACTTGTAAATCATGGAGCCACAGAAATGTGAACTTTATCAAACTAGTTTGGTTCTTCAGGCTGGATCAAGTGCATGTGGTCTACACCTGTTCTGGAAAGTTTTATGTTTGTATTTTGGATCAAGGGTTAAAGGTGTGGTAGGCAGGATCTGAGTTAGTGCCAGTTTTTGGGAGAAATCTTGAATGTAAACTCTACCCCTACAAACCAGTTTCCCCCTCAGCTCCTCCTCTCCCCTCCCTCTCTGTTCCAGCAAGCCCCGCCCACAAACAGACACGGATAAACACTTCAGATAATTACAAATGGGGCCCAGTCAACGTGAAAGTAAAAGCATTGGTGCTACTGTAGATGCCAACAGACTACCAGCAAACACAATGTTTGCAGGACTTCTACAACTAGGATAAAGTGACATACTCCAGGACCCGAGGTCAACAGTTTAGCGATGGCGCTACAACACGCTACAGCAGGTCCGTTTGACAAGAAACACTTCAGTTACAGACACTTGTCTTACTTTGTTAAAGCGGTTTACCTGTCCAGCAGAAAGGTTACAGGGTCTGTAAGATCTCCAGTATTTATTTCATTTTCTTGCTTGTGTCGGCAGTCGCGGCCAAAGGAGGATTCAGACAATTTTCTGTACTTTCTGATTGGTTTCTACTATCAGATATTGTAGCACGCTAACTTTGTTTGGGCTCATGCAGGTTATTCGAGGATGTGGAGTCTGCCTCGCAACACAGGGGAACAGCTTCTGCCTCACAACCAATCAGGTTGGGGGAGGCGGGGAATGGCTTTGTTTACAGTCAGAAAGAGCGGGCCACTCAAAAAAACTTAAAATGTTGACTCCACAAATATAACAAAACACATCTATATCATTATATTACCAAATATCATCAATATCTAATAGCTATTGACTGATATTAAAAGCTTTTTTGTTTATACACCACAAAAAAGATGCGTCTTTAACGGATTCCTGTCTACTCCACCTTTAAAGCACAAAAATTAACATGTTAATTTATTGGTAACAGTAAATCCAAACAGCTCCTCCTTGTGGTAAATCAGCTGACTGCTAAATTCTCCCAGCTCCACTCAGAGTTAAGAGGCATCAGTCTCCGTCCTCTTACCCCCAAAGTCTTGGATTAAACCCTCTTAAAGACCACCTCATCCTGTCAGACTCTGTTTGGCTCACGTAACACTCTCACAGTCTCTAAGCCGTGTTAGAAATCCTCTGCTGCAAGTTTCCTGTTAAACCGAGAGACATGACCCAGTATGTTTGATTAAGCAGTGAATGTAATCAAGCTAATGAAGCTAACTGTTTTTAGCCGGAGGGTTTGCATGTGCCGTCTCGTCTTCTGAGACGCCTCGAATAACACCGCCTGTTTAGAAAGCTCAAAGTAGTGTTTCATCATGGAGCTTAACTGCGCTGCCAACCGTTTCTACTCCACAGAGAGTTAACCTTCAGATCAATAATTTAGTGAGTCAGCAAAAGCCAGAGTGTGACAAAGGATGGTCCTGTACGGGGGAATAAGAGGGCAGATACTTTAGTACAGGCTCACGGTGTGGGCTGAAATATGTGGCCACTTATAAATCACAGTACAGAGCATGAGTCACAGCTCCAACACTTGCAGCTTCTAATGTGAGACTGTCCTGCTGGATTCTGCAGCCACCTGGTGCACTTCATTATCCGTCTCAGTACAATCTTTGTGCCGTTCTCAGAAGCTCGGGGGCCGCCGAATAAGCCGCGCTCTTTGATGTGAAGTAGCGCCACGGTTACGGTCCAAACAATTTAAGACACCTACCACGGCGTTTCCAAATGTCTGAGCAGCTTCGGCTTCGGCTGCAGCCAGGCCCTCCTGCTGACACCGGGAACTTCTTCGAGTTAGTTGTGAGATGTGAGTATGAAGCAGTGTTCTCGCCTAGAGCTGCCGGGATAACACTCCGGTTATTAGTCTGCATCTGTTACCTGACTGAACGCAGGTGTCATCTACTCCAAATGTCAAATTAAATTGATGCTTCAATCGGTATCTCCTCGAAGTGTTTAAAAATTCAGCAGCAGGGAGAGAAAGAGAAACATTATTTATATAAATGAAGACATATTCAATGGAGGCTGTTAATCCTCTCCCCTACAACCCAAAGCAATAAAGTGAGCTGATGAGTGAGAACGTTTTCATCAGATTTTTCTTTCTTTCGGATTTTAGTTTAATTCAATTTCGCACCCTAACTCCAATCGAGTACCACAGTCATATTAATAAAGCCACCATATTTTTGAAAGAGCTTTTTAGAAAAGTAGTTCGCAGAGACCCTCTGGGCTTGAAATGATTTGTACCAGGAGACAAGAGGGAAGCTCTTCCTATCAACCCCTATCAGAGGAATCTACGTGTCGTCTTCTTTACCTGAAAACATCAAAATACAATCATTCGGAGACTTTGCCAGAGCCTTGTCAAAAAACAACAACAACCGGGTTACTGAAACATCATGAAAGCACTCAACTTGAATATTTGGCTGTATATTATAGCGGAAAATATCCCCTTTCAGCTCACCTACCATACAAGCCAGTGTTCAACTTCTGAGTCTGATTCAGATGCTTTCTAAAAAACTGGAGCACCACCTTATCTTTCACTCCATCCAACTTTGGCCACATTATTTTGTCTCTGATCATAACTGATAAATTGAGTTTCACCTTGAGTTCTTTTGTAAAGGAGAGATTCACAACCTTGGACACTTTGTAAAGGACATTTTCACCGTGATAAAAGATTAAACTCAATCCCATTAGAATACTCAGTGTTTGCTGCTGGCTGCTGTATCTTCTGATGGAGTCAAATCCAAAGTAACTCCATGGCAGGTCCGGCACATGTTGATAGTTTCAGAAGATCACAGAACTTGATTTTTTTTTTTTTCTTAAAGATCAAGTTTTGGCAGCTTGCTGTCATAAAAGTCAGAACATAATGTTGGCAGTTGCTCTGTGGCTATATTATGTTCCAGGGGAGTTTCGTTATATCATAACAATACTTGTATACATGTATTCTCCGTGATACTGTTGCTAGGATACAAACTCAACACCTTGAGGCACTTGCAATAACCAGGAGACTTACCGTCAATGTCCACCGCAATTGGAACAGCTACAAAAAAGGTCCTATCCGCCCATTGTAGCTGATTGTAGCCATTCAAGTTAACGTGTCAATTTCCAGCGGCTTCGTTCCGTTCCGCTGTGGATCGCTGGACTCCGCAGCTGATTGCAAGAGTTCTGTTTTTACTGGACGCCTAACCATGCTGGATAAAATTAGCTCCTTAATCTGAGACAATTTAAAATATTTAGTATTCCTAACAAAAGTAGGGATCTGTTTTTACAGTGATAAGTCTTAGTGGTTAGGGGCTTTTAGCTAAACAGACCGGGTACATCGTGGAGTATGATATTTATAAGTTTGTTAAAGTTAGTTTTTGCACCAGTTGGAATATAGAGAAGGAGATTGTTGTTGTTTTGTGTGAATGAATTCATATTGATGGTCATTCTTTGAGGGTAAAACCTTGATAATTAGAAGACCATATTATTATGCATTACAGGAGATTTTTGTCCTGTCGCTGGAGGGATGATCTCTGGCCCAATCAGGATGTTTTAAATATTGCAAATACACCTGCTATTCCTGCTATTATTTCGCTATTAGCTGTGGAAAAACTGCATTAATTTCTACATCTGCAAGATCATGTTTTTTATCTTTCTTTGTGTTTTCAATCTTTCCTCAAAAACGTAAAAGTGACCCCTCCTCTGGCGCCGTAGTGTGGCTCCACGTTGAGCCCCTAAATTTCTCCTGCTCCTTCAGCATAAAGAGTCCAGACTGCATGCACACACTGATGGAACATTGCGCTGGAATTTAATTAAAATGGATTTACCTACTGTGCTAATATCAGACACAGGTGCCAGAGGGGTTTCCATCCAACACAATTACTTCATACAGAAACAGGAGTACAAAGACTGCGCTCTGCAATTAAGGTCCTTTTTTCCATCCAGACTAATGACGGTGGTGACACGGCAAAATTAAAAGTAGGACATTAAAACTCAGACACAATAAAGACGCTCGTGGAGTCGGTTTATCGAGGAATATTCTGATCTGAAAATGACTCAGCAACCTTTTTGACGACATTGTTCATTTGAATAATGAAATAACGGCACGTTAGCTTCCAGGAACAAGTACAAATGCACTTTTACTGACTCAGTCGTGTCTGAGTGCCCAAACTTTAAAAGTTTACTCACTTCTTCTAGTTAATTATTTCCCGAGGAATCTTGTTGACATGCTGTGTTGACACCAAGCTACTACTCGTGAATCTAAACTGAAGAGCCTCCCCTCAGATTCTTCACTAATCTGGTTTATTAACTCCTAATGTGTCGCAGTTTTCATGACCCCGGGTCTGCAGAGTAGTAAACAAATCATTATTTTCAGTATCATAAAGACCGGCGCTATAAGGCGGACAGTACGAACAGCTAATGAGGAGAACTCAGTGATTCAGAGTCATAAGGAGTCATCTGTTGTAGATGACTGTGGAAAGTCTGCTGACCGCCCTGAGTGTCAAACTAACAGAGTCAGACTCTTTAGTTTAAGTTTAATTTAGTTTGAGCAGAACACAACCACAAGATAGAAATTCACTCAGTTTTATTGTTTCTGGCAAAGTTTTTCTTTTGTAAAAACATCACATTAAAGCTGCTGTGAGGAGCTTCTGGTTTGTGTTAGTTCTGGCGCCCCCCTGTGGACAAAGTGATATCTATTATCTGTTGTCCTGTGCATGTGAAAGTAGAGTTTTCATTTATCAGTGGAATTATCAGCCTTCTCTCTGATGGTCTAATTTGCTTTTAGATGTAATAAAGACGCTCCAGTCCTGTTTATAGCCTGTTTCTCGGTCAGTTAAAAACTCCTTACTGTACCTTTAAAGGCCACATTAAAATGCAGAAAATGGAAAAATGTTATCTCCAAGTTTTCTCACAAACAGATGGTTAATTTTACCAAAAGCAAGTTTGATTCAAATTTGCATTTTGCATGAATCCTAACTAAACAGATTTATAATTATAGGTAAAAATCAAATGGAAAGTTTCCAGAGTTTGTGATGTACAGGTTATATTTTCATATTTATCTTGTGCTGACTTCTCTCTCAGGGTGGCTGGCTGCGTCTATTTATGCTGTTTTTGTGCCGGCTGTACCTTTATTCAGACTTCAACTCAAACTAAATGCAGTTCAGCATTTTCACAACATAGTAACCTATAGTCGGTGCAAAACGCTCAAAACACAAGCTCTTATATATGTGATAGTTTCACATCTTTAGTCAAGGCAAGGTTACTCAAAGAAAGAGACGCTTTGATACTAACAGAGTTAACAGAGGGCAAAAATAAAGATAGAAATGACTCAGATTAATGAGTCTGGTGGTGTTGGGTCTGTTCAAAGTGTTCAGAAACCAGCTCTGCTCGCACTCAGAAGTCTGTAACAACATAATCTAATTGTCCCTCCGGACACAGACTCACAAACTGATCTTGTCTTCATCGTAATGAGCTCTGTAATTAATTTATCCAAGGACGTCCTCCTGCTCGATCTGCAGCCCAACAATTACAAATCAATAATAATTGGAATCCAATTTTGTTCATATGATAGTGTTGGATCTGTTAATAGTGAACGTTAACTATGAGGAATCGTCTCAGTGAAGAGTGAAGTGCTCTGAAATCAAAATACGGATTCCACCTTTAACTCTCAGATACTTTTGTTTAAACGGAAATCACAGTGAAGACTTCATCTCCGTTCTTGTATGTGGATGTAAATGGATGTAAAAGCAGGTTCTTCTCTTAACATTCACATAATGTTTTATTGTATATTTGCAGACAATTTGGTTGTATTGTCTCCCCAGAAGAGCTTCCTGGAGCAGCTGTTGAGCGTCTGCTGCCTATTTCCTTGGCGTTCGGATGATCACAGCTCGTAAAAGTTTGTATAGGAAAACTCATTCACCTGTGCGTCTTTGAGGATAAATCTTATTCCTCCTCAAAATTGAAATGCAGTGAAATGAAACTCTCTGAAAACCTAAACTTTGTTTCCCTGATAGAGGCTTTGGAAGAGCAGGATCCTCCTGTACGGCGTTCAGAATTGACAGATTTGATGCAGCTGGTTCACGTGTCCGTACCTGAGAGGAGGACATTAACCAGTCCACGTTTCCAGTCAGAAGAGCGGCGCTGACAGAGCGATGCAGAAATAATTACATTACCAGCTGAAATTACAGGCTATCTTCTCCACAAATTTTGCCAAATTGCTGTGATTCACCCTCACAAGCTCCTCTGCTCCGCTGCACAAATAATAGGCTTCATCCGAGGTGATGCAATCCCATCATGCAATGCAAAGCCAATGCTTTAAACCTGTTTTAATCATCCCTCTCCTCCCCTCGGCTGTCAGGGCTTTGTCTACACGGACCCAAGGCTGGAGGATGTAATGGGCTGTGACCCATCCACTGATGGATTCACACAGAGACTGATGGGTTCAGGATTATCATGCAATACCGCATCCTTTAGAGGCAGATAGGTGACTGAGGCATTTCTCACCGACAGCAAAGATTTCAGCAGCTGATGGCTTCAGAGGGAATTGCACCTCTAATTTTAGGATCGGGACCAGAAAGCCGCATATCTCAGCAAACTGGGAGCCTTTCAAAAGCGGGGAATTGCTTGAAGTGTAAGCTGGAAATGTAAGCTGATGTCCCTGCTTGATATTCATTTCAGAATAACGTCCTCTCTTATAGGTTCAAAAGCAATTTAGGACGCTGGAAAATACCTGGGAGGACTTCAGACAGACTCGGCTCCAGTGAATAACCTCCACCCACAGAGGATGCTGTGACGGTTTCATCTATCAAAACAAACATGATTTTAGATTAAAGTTCTTGTGCAGCCACTCTGCCGGCTTTATATAACAGGATTTAATTACCAATCATGTTGCACCCGTGGGTGTGAGGGGTGTCGCAATACTCGCCCTTTTACTGAAAGTGAAACTCAGTCCCCTGTTCTTAGAAATACTTCAAAACTATTTATTAAGAAATGGGACAACCTGACAGAACAACATAAACCTCTGAAAGATAGATAGCATTGTTTTATAGATCAGCGAGATCTACTTCTTAGTCGAGGAAATGACGACATGTATAGAGATGGAACAAGAAGCTTTTGACACGACTGATCATTGGAGGGCTCCTGATTGGCTAAATAGCTACATGAGTCACAGGAAACAGTTTGTTTTCATGGGGAAACTCATCAGGATACTTAGACGTTACTTGTAATGTTCCACAGGGGTCAGTATTGTACAAAGATGATTAGGGCCACAAAAAGGAAAAATAATTACAGGAGGTCAGAATTTTGAGATTAAAGTTGAAATTTTAAAAAGTTGAAGTTTCAACTTTATTCTTGTCAACTTTAATCTTAAAATTTCTATATTATTCATGACATTTCAACATTTTGTAATCTCAAAATTTTGACTTTAATCTTGAAATTTCAGTTTTGATTTCAAAATTACAACTTTATTAACATAATTTCGATTTTTTTTTGTATCTCGAAATTTTGAATTTAATCTTGAAATTTGTTATGATTTACAACATTTTGACATTTGTTTGACGTTTCTTGAAAATTAGACTCAAATCGCGAAATTTTGACTTAATAGACATAATTTCTATTCTATTATCTTAAATTTCAACATTATTCACAATATTTTGACATTTTGTATTCTTGAAATTCTAACTTTAATCTCAAAATTATGACTGTTGAAATCATTTCAATTTATTTAATCTTGAAATTTCGATTTTAATCTCAAAATTATGACTTTGTGGACCTTATTTCGATTTTTTTTTAACCTCGAAATTTCACCTTTAATCTCAAAGTATGACTTTTTTGACATATTTTTTTAAATCTTGAAATATCGACATCAATATTGAAATTTTGACATTATTCACGCAATTTTGACATTTTGTAATCTCAAAATTTTGACTTTAATCTTAAAATTTAAATTTTTTAATCTTGAATTTTGACTTTATTGACATAATTTTGATATTTTAAATCTCAAAATTTTACTTTATTGACATAATTTCGACTTGAATCTCCCCCCTGTCATTATTATTATTATTTTTCTTTTCATGTGGCCCTTTCATGTGTTTCGTAGTTTTGGGACCCTCAACTGTTCATTTCACATACATTTTAGTACCTGAACACGATTTTTCTCATAACTGTCTCATAAATGTTTTAACCAATCCAAAGATATAAAGACACTTTAAAGATAATACATTTCTGTATGTCTCAGTACATTCATCATCTGTCTGATCGGTCCTTTCCTCTCTGCTACTCTCTGAGAGAAGTCCCGCAGACAGAGCAAATCTATCAAACTTACATCCTCGTCGCTGACCTCACTGCAAACACAAAGTCTTATATTGCGTTGAGAGCTCTCTTATGCAGGCCGTGTCTCGTATCAATAATATCTGTCTCTCTGGGGATCCGGCGGTCGGTTAGAAACATCACTCGCTTCATTGGTGTGGACTTTGCCTGTGAGGACTATCTGTTATTAAATCAAACAAGACATCCCATAGTTGGATCTGACGCAGCAGAGTAATCTCTGTGTAAGCTGGAAACAATAACTGCTGCTCCCTGCTGTCTGAATCCGAGTACAGTTCATACCAGAGGGAGGCTGAGAACAAATAAACACAAAGCAGAGGGGGAAACATTTCGAGAGGGAAAAGACAAGAACAGACATGATGTAGATAGATGAAACATGACACAAATCTTTGGTAAATAATGTATCCCTCCATGAATCTTCTGATAATCCAAGAAGTTCACACTAGAAGGTGTTAGGAGCTTAACTAATCCCCATGAATCATGTATATCTGTCTGTAGCTGCCTCCTCTTTTTGTTGTCAGGATGTCTTTTTTTATTTGCACTGAAAAACCTCCCGCTGAAACCGTATGTATGCGCTCTGTCAATACCCCCGCTCCACTCTTCATTTGCTGCCTGTCACAGGCTTCAACAACATGACTAATGAAGTAAATAAATAAACCTCCTTCCCCTCCTCTTTTCAACCTCCTCTCCCCTCGTTCCTTTCAGGCAAATGGAAAGCAGCTCAGCCGCTCTGAGATCCGTTTTTAGGTTATACGTCCTTAATGCATCTGCCAAGCCTCATCAAGAAGCATTAGTAAGAAATAGAAGCAGCAGAGAGGAAGAGAGGGAGGGAAGTTCACCCATAATCAATGCAGCATATGCAGAGAGCCTCACTCATATGATCAGTGAAGGAAAGAGGTTTATCCTCCTCTTTATCAAACCTATTGATTCAGATGAAATCTAGATGCAAACATATGATCATTACCAACACGATGAATGTTATAACTCTTATATAATTCGCATCAATGAATGAATGAAATCGAGTAAGCGTGACCTTTCATTCCCTCCACTTTGTTGTCTATTAATTAGAGAATTTGCTGTGAGCTCTAAATAACCCTGAGTTTACATCGTGATCTTTATTTACATCTATCTGCACTTTCTCTCATTTTATAAAGCCCAAATCCTTGATAAAAAAAAGTACATAAAATCCTAACTCTGTTCAGTTTGATGTGTTCATTTTAATCCCTTAAAGGGACTGTAGAAACCTTGTGATGATAAACACTCTCCTGTTAAAATGACCTGATTTTTTGGGGGGAGGCAGGAAGACACCCACACATGCTCAGTTATCATCCATAACATACAAATATATATATATATGTATTTGACACACTCATGCAACAGAACGCTCTCACTCAAATCGAGTCGACCAGTCAGTCAGAGTTTTGAGGCGAGCTGTAATACTGCACACCAAGAACCCCTCCACACACACACCCACACAAATCAACAAACCTGCGTAATTACAGAAAAACTCAATATTAGCATCGCTCAATAAAAACTAATGAAACAGGAACTGAGAAAATGTTTCCATAAATCTCATTGATTTAATAAAAGGAAGACAGAGAGAAAGAAGAATAACCAACTTTTCATCAAACTCCCGCACTGTGAAACAGCCATGAAGTCTATTCGAATGTTTTCAAACTTGCAGAAAACAACTATCTACTGAGTGAAAGTGAAAAATATCTGGTAAAAAATGACAGAGTGGTTCTGTTAAGGTGCAAATAGAAATATAAAAACGTCACAATTGACAGCTCTGACTGATACAGTGAAGTAGATGATGTCTGTGTGCCCTGCAGGTGGACGTAACAGTTTTAACATCGAGGACATAAAAACATCAATTCATCAATAGTTGAACAATACACAGAACCACAGTCAGAGTGCAGTACAACAGATTTAAAATAAATGTCAATATGATGGTTTTTGGAGTTGATGTGGTGTTTTCCACTACAGAGTTGTGTTTGTATTCAGGATTTTCCAGATTTGGTCATCCACAATCTTATCACAGATGTTTGCTTTCGAACTTTGCTCTGATAACAAACTTGCGGTCCCTCTTATGGGGCACTCACACCAAGCGCGAGTAAAATCACCTACTCGCTTAATTCGCGCCAATCTAGACGTGAATGAATAGTATTTACTCACTTCATTCACAAGTCAATGGTAATCCCTGCCAATTCAACCAGCGGGATCAAGTGATAAACAAAGGGTTTTTACAATTTACCAGGTAATCCAACCTCCTCTCTTGCCTCCAGGTGAGCTCTTTTTTATTCCAGTTTCGGTAATTGAAAGAAAAGGTATCGCATAATTCGGGGCACCCACACACCAACACGATCAGTTTGTCCTCTACGCTCGGTACCAGTGAACATCCCGCCCAATTCGCATCATTCGCGCCGCCACAGTAGTGGGAGCGTCTTATCGCGTCTTTGCATTGACCTAACATGTAATTCATTCGCGCAAATGATTTTACTCGCGCTTGTTGTTTGGAGACACTTATCCTTCGAGTTGAGAAAAGTAAATAGTCCCTGATATCCAAAAAGAGTGTCAAACTTTGATTTGTTTGACTAAAGCACAGTCTTTTAATTTACTTAAGTCTATTTCAGGTGATCTCAGGCCTAGATTGGTCGCTGATATTGCTGGATCATATTTATATTTTTATTTTCTACCTGTTTTTTGGATTTTGAACCCATGTGTTGACTCCCACTACAGAGTCACATCTATTTCTATCACAGTTCTACCTAAAGGGCGAGAAGATCACCACTCTCTAACTTCTTTAATGATGTACTACTGTATAGATGATGATGAAATCCCCAAATTCTATGCAGAGTTATGCCCAAAGAACATTATTCTGAAATTCAAATCAAATCAAATATAATATGAGGCTGTATTTTCACAAACTAACAGAACTTTTTCAAATCCTAAACAGAGCAGAAAAAT